AACTCATGGGATTGTTATGGGTGGCACCTACATAACAATCTCAGACATTAACCCTCCAGAGGGGTTTATACCTCCTCGGAATTTAGAGTAAAATAAATATTTCTTCAAATAAACAAAAACGATTTGATATCTAATGATAACGTGTGGAATAAATCCCAACAATAATGTATATATAGATGGAATTTAAAGAAATAATGAAACTGCTACCTACGTCCTACAAAGACAATTGACTATTTGGAATCTTAAAGTGTATCCCAGGATATAAGAAACATTCTGTAGATTAAACTGTAGCTATTTCCAAAAAACATGAAGCTTGAATTATACCAGTTAGTTGTAGCAAGATTAAACAGATGTGAGAACCGAATACCATTATTAAAAAGCCCCAGTCTCCGACACCTTTAATAGTAAAGTATATTACCTAAAAAGACAATAATACAAATACTCACAAAATGTTATCAACAGAATAAAAACGATGAATGAATGGGTTATAACAATTTCAGGAGACGAGGCAAGAAAGAGGCAGCAAGTCCCCTTTCTGAAGACTACACAGAGCAGTCAAGCGAGCAGCCATCCGATCAATATCCTGCATCTGGGTAATTATATTGCATCATAGCCTCAGCTCGGCCAGTAATATTATTATATGCCTTTCACAGGAATCGGTCTAGTCTCTAGACCAATCAGTCGCTGGAAAATAAGATTGCGCTGTCGATTAAATCATCCAAGATATTGTTGTGAAATGCATTAAGAGGCATTAAGACCGTTACTGACGATACTGGCGATATCAGCTGCACAGTTTCGTGGTTTTAGCTTTAAGAATATTACAAATGTTATCTTGCAGGGATGTCGATTACTACGGAATGGAGTCGGACCCAGAAGTGGAAGCTGAGGAAGTAGCCCCAGTGGCAAGAGGGCGTCGTACTAGTGGACATGGCAAACCTGGAGCCCGTACTAGTGGACATGGCAAACCTGGAGCCCGTGAGAGCAGTTTGACCCGCGGAAAATCTCCAAGAGAACCCAGCCTTCCTAGAGGACGAGAACATTCTGGGGGAGGTAGAGGCCGGGGGAGAAAGTGAGCCTATAAATGGAGATAAAGTGAACTGTATCAGTCAGCGAATTGGACCAATCAATTGATTGCGGCCATATTGTATAAACGGAGAAATATTATGTAAACGGAGAAAGTTAGCCCGTTCAAATTCAATCGTATAAAAAAAGTTAAAAAGAAACTTGTAGTTAGTATAGAGAAATCAAATAACCGTCTGTGAATAAATTCGCCACAAAGTTCCTAATTTTTACTGGAATATAAAACAGACTTCTGAATAAGTGCAAAATAGCCACATCTCGACGAGAGTTTCAGTCCATGTCCGAAAATTCTTGCCAACAAATTTTTGGTGAGAAACAGATTTTTGGCTTCCCGTTTTAGCAAAAAAAAATTTGGCTAGAAAGATCCCAGGGCTACTTACAAATAAGAGCAAAATTTTCCCAATGGCCATAATTATATGTTAATTATGTAATAATTAGTGTAATTATTAATAACTTTTTATATAATACACAGATACACATTCCTGCAGAGAAACACTTGCAGCAAATTTATTCACAGACGGGGGGGATCATACACTTAGTACCGTACGTGACGTTGGGGGGGGGGGGGGGGGGTCATATTTTTTCCTCCAAAACACAGTTACTATTTTTGTACTAAGTGGTGGGTCTGCTGCTCATTTCCTAGAAAAACAGTTAGTACATGGTACTAAGGGGGGTGTCCAACCCCAAAAAACCCATTTTACCTCAAATTTCAGTTTTGGAAATGGGTTTTTTGGGGTTTGAGGTATAATTTGCCCATTTCCCAATGTAATGAGCTGTTTAAAGCAATTTCTGGGTGGGTATCTTATTTTATATACCAAGACACTGTTAGTACCATGATTTCTCAACAGTTAGTACCGTAAAAGCCGGCAAAAGGGGTGGGTGTCTTAGATATTATCCTAAAAAACAGTTAGTACCGCGAAGGGGGTGGGTGGGTCTTTTGAAAAATTCCAAAATTACCCTTACGTCGACTTGACGTCATGTACAGAACTTAGTACCTGACCCCCCCCCCCCCCCCTCCCGCACAGACCATTACCATATGAATAAGCTTACTGTACAAATAAAGTATAAACCATTTTCCCGGTACCCTTACAACAATATGAATGAACCATGTGATCGAAACTTCGAACTCCAGAACACAAATTCTTGAAGATGATGCGGACTGGATGCCTAAAAGCGCCATTCAGTCTGTATCAGTATGATAAAAAGAAGGGAACTTATACCCAGACAACTTTTGTAAGAGCTACCTTTAGTTGGGTCGTACTCTTACTGCTTGGATCGTACTCTTACTGCATGAGTGCAATTGGAGAGATTTATCAGCCTACTAATCAAGATATTAGATATGCACCCTCCGCAAGCAACTCACCCTCCTCATTTGCCCCTTCAAGGATTGGTAGAGTCTTCGTTGCAATAATATGACCTTTAAGTTAAAGTTCCTTGAAACATGGGATCACAGAGCAAAGAACTTTGATCGATAGAACTTGGAACCCCTTTAATTCTACTATGTGACTCTTTAATGTACTTTATTCAGTTATTTTTTATACATATACTTTTTTCTTTTGTGATACCTACCAAACTGTCGACCTAGTTTAATGTTGCCCACGCAGTTTCACATGTTAAATTATCAAATAACTATTCCTCTCAAAAAGATATTGGAAGGAAAGATCAAAAGAGGAACTAAAATAGCCATGGTGGTTAAGATAGTATGTTTAGCTAGGACAGAACCTGAAAGTGAATCTATTCAATTGTATGAATAAAATTAACAATTCGCAAGCCTGCGTCAGACAAATGAAATGGAAAATAATAGTAAAAGGATAGTCCCCCTCTGATAGTAGGGCACTGCACACTTATATGTAGACAATTGGAATTTAGAATAATGTTACAATGTCACAAATAATATGTTAATTGTTAAAGCTTAGTTATTATGAAATTAAAACTGATCAGAGCAGACTTGTAAAAACAAAACGTGCTTAGAAACTAATGGAAAAAGTTGACTCCCACACATTCAGATTATATTCATAAACTTAACTCCCCCACAATTTAAATAAAACGAACTTATCTAAAAGTAACATAAGTTCGAGCTTTTATGCATCAAATTTTATATATTCTGAGTAATTGGTCAGGCAAAATCATGTCTGATTGCTCAAAATCTGTCTCCAAATGGTGCTCAGTCCTGCGTGATTTATGTGGTTTATGAGGCATATTGCCTATGGGAATTGAATATTATGTGACAACTTGAAAAATCACGCTGAATAAAACATATTTTAGTGACCAAATTTGGATGATAAAATGATACTGGCACAGGTGAATGAGGGTTTAAAAATTAAACGTGCTCGGACTACCGCAAATCGAGATATTTTAATGTCATATTGGTTGAATATTTTGTGACAATTTGAACGATCAGGCTGAATAGTCAGCACGATTACTTTAACTATTAAACTGGGTGCAATTTGAGATATTAAATGGAACGATCGGCCAGGGAAAAGAAACTGCAAGTTATCCTGTTCAATCGCATAAATAAAATGAGAGAGAAACCTTGTAGTTGGGGAAATTAACAGGAGTAAAGAACCATCTGTGATTCTGTGGATAAATTGCTGAAAGTTGTTTTCTACAGGTTAGTCAGCACGGTTACTTTTACAGTTTTACTATTAAACTTATAGAGTAGCGGGTGGTAAACTTTGACTTTGAGTACTGAAATGTATGCTCTTACAGTTGAAATTGTAAAATTGTTGTAAGTAGAGCTCTCTTATCTGTTGGAACTCTCTGGTTACTATCGATACTCTCAACTTTACTCAGTTTACAATGTAAACGATATATTGGCATCATTACTATTACCTCATATAGAATACATATAGAATAGTGGTATAAGTAGTAAAATAGTGTACACGTTAATAGCTGACCGTCTGATCTCATGTATAATATCGACCATTTCCTTCTATTTAAGTAAATCACTGAAATGGTTTGGCTTATTTGCACAGTTATCCACTCACAATGAATGTGCGTTACTTTCGTTGCTTCGGTATTTTGTTTAACCTCTACCAATTAAGTACCCAATTAATCAATTAAGATGCAACTTTGGCCTGTACTACCATCTGTGTAAAAACATGTAGCGGTCCAATTGAGACATAAACCCGCCAAAAAGTCTTCACCACAGCCGAGCGACGTGATTGGCTGCTGTTTTGTTTCCAGGGCCACTGATTGGCTGTTGGTTCGTTTCCAGAGCTCTGATTAGAGGCTGACTATGTGACTCACTGGATGCTGCACACCAGATCCTAGACACTGTATTTCTGACTAATCCCGTTGTACAGTACACTCTCTACCTCACGGAAATCTTAATCTGGTCGATTTCTAGAGTGCTCAGCTCTTGTCATTTTGTACACTTTGGCAACTTTCTGAATGGCCACGTTATTGGATTATAACTGTACAGTTTTGTTACTTATCTATGGTCAGATTGTTGTGAAATGATGATCTTTCGCAGCATTTTAGTTCTCAGTCCTTGAAATAAAGTACACTTTTGCCTCATTCGACTAGAGCTACGTTCGTGCGATGTAGTAAAATTTCTATCTACTGCACTCGGTAACATTATTAACAATTGCAAGTGCTTTGTTTGTGATTATTCACTTTTAGGTCAATCCGTGTTGCTGATTAACTTACGTCATTTATTCCACTTTGACAATATTCCATGATAATAACCATAAAGTGCCATTACAATTAACGTTACATACTTTAACCAGCAGTTTTTGGGCAGCAAATAGCGAGAAATAGTTTTTGTCACCACGAACAACTCATAGATACGCTTCATCAAGTCGTGTTTTCTGTACACAGAATGCCACACAAAACAATTCGCATTAGAATTGAATGTGTATTATTCGTGCTAACAAGCAGAAATAAAAAACATTGATATTAGCTTATTTAAATTACATAGAATTAGAAAGACGACATTGAACTAACACATTTCCCTACTCTAGCGGAGAAGCTACAAACTCATACCCATAATGTGAGTACAAAATGTGCAGGTTACAACTTAAATAGCTTAGTTCATACCAAGATGTACAAGGTCTCATTGGTCCACCGGTTCAGGTCAATGATGTTATGTCCAAAGCTAATGGACGGAGACTTAAATTTCAAAGATACCTAACGTTATTTTACTACTTTTATGAAATATCCATTAAACCTGAACTCCCCAGGGAAGGACAGCCACCAGCAGAGGGAGCAGCACCACCACCAGCACCAGCAGAATGGGCCTCTGGTCTGCTCGGATGTTGCGAGGACATTGGACTCTGTGTCATCACCTACTTTGTACCTTGCCTCACTTTCGGTAAATTTAGATTGCTCAATAGCTCAATGCTTTCTATATCTCAATACCAATACCAATCTTAGTCCTAATTCCATTATAATTACGATCGATCTCAGTAAGGTTCCTACTCGTTATATCATATTTTCTCTAAAATATCTTTCTGGCCGTTTTTAAACTTATGTAGCCGACCTGGAAACAACCTTCTCTCAACAGGTCAAACAGCAGAGGCACTAGGAGATGACTGCATGATGTCTGGGTTAGCCATGCTGGTCCCACTCCTTAATCTGTATTGTTTGGTCACTGTCCGAGGAAGGGTAAGTGTCATTGTCACAGTTTTAGATGTTTAGCAGTTCATGGTTACTATAGTCATGGTGGTAACAGTCGATCTCCATATCTACGAAAACCGTGGTTACAGGCAAATTGAGTTATATAAAAACCTGGTTTTTTTATAACCAGGCCGCTGCTAACGAGATTTTGGACAGTTTCGAAACAGTCTCGGTTCTGACAAAGTTTGACATGTCATGAAAGACCACGTTTCTATAAACTAGACACCTGCAAGAGCAGACACAAGAAACAATATCCGGCAAAGTTATTAGTAATCAAATAGATATTTGCTGATTTGACAGAATCAAATCATAAAGTGATTAAAAATAAATCAGAATAGAAATGGAACCGCAATTTTCATTTTCTGTTTTTAAATATCCCCGTGCAATTGGTTCCTGGGCATATTCCTGGGAATATTCATAGTATTTGATAATCACAATGCACAGGGAGCAGTGGAAAGAGCCGGATATTTCAAATGTTTAGTAATGAGCTAGCTCCTTCAAATAACAGCACCAATTTCAAATTTTGTGTTTTCTTTGCCTGGGGGGGGGGGGGGGGGGGGGGGGGGGGGGGGATTAAGTCATAATATAACCAATTGATATAATAATAAGGTCAATATAAGGATCAATCTTGACCTCACAGATCCCATGATATTACCAGACACTGCATCCGATATATAAATGTTGATACTAAAAAATAACATAAAATTAACGAATTCCCCACCAGATAAGAGAAAAGTACGGTATTGAAGGCAGCCTGGTTATGGATCTAGTATCGGTACTCTGTTGCCCACTCTGTGCACTGGTTCAATCTGCCAGACAGGTAAAAATAACTAAGTAAAAATAACTAAAGTAAAAGTAACTAAAGCTCGCAAACTTGCTATTTAAGAAAATACTCCTTGTATCCAGTTTTTGAACTGTTTCAGTTTGTTTGATTTGTGATTTCTAGAGCTACGGTCGCATTTGTAAATGATTTTACCCATTTATTCGAAGTTCAAAATTCTCACAGTTCTTAATTTCAGGTAAAGATGACGCCCGGACAGGCTGTTCAGCGGGTATAAGACAGAAATATCAACGAGAAATTAAATTTCATAGTTGTATCGTATTCTAGAATAACGATGATATTAGAATACTGGGCGGTATTTTCGCAATATGGAAAATTAGAGGATTTTAAGCACCCCATAACACATAATTAACATAATTAATCGTAATTGAAATAAAATGATTTACAGCATACAGTACTGGTCCTCCTACTTTCAAGGAGATTAAATACATTAATCTAATACTTAGACACTACACAACATTAACATGATGGTGATTGGTGCAGCGGAACATTTCCGAATATAATCCGAAATTACCATTTCAATTAATGACTATAAGTCTAATATATTAGTTTACCATGCGGAGGACAGTTCCTTATATTAAAATGAAGATTGTCATTTCTTAACAAAATACAGAAAATTGTTTCAATTGGTTCGCAATATTTAATATTCTTGCATGGACTTCTCTGGATTGTAAAATTGCACACAAAAAAGTAAAGATATCTGAGCCACATCCAGAACATTTGATATCCAATGTCTCCCCCTAAAAATTTTGTTATGCCCTATACTAACAAATTTCTCGAATCCAAAATTTCTTCGCAGTCAGAAGCTGCCGTGTTTCAGGATGTGGGTAGCTGAGAATTACGGAATAAGGCTGGTCAACAGCTGGCTGAAGACAGTTATCTGACTAGAGATGCAGTTATCGCAATTAATTATGCAATATTATGTCTGATAAAATAATAAAAATATAAAATTGTACGAACCTTGCCACTTTGATTAATTGAGTCAGGTTCAGAAGTCAGGACAGATTTGATGCGGAGGCTGGATTTATAAAAAGATGGCTTAATTTGTCAAAAATATTCAACTCTACAGCGTCTATACTATACTACTAGTTGTAGAAAAGATATGACAACGAAATGATTAATGAAATAATTATATCAAACAGGGACAAGCAGCACACAAGGGGCGTCGCCGACTCGCCCACAAAGAAATAAAGATTAATTGAATGCCGAATGGTCTCGAATCTGAAATTATTTGTCCATAATCATGTCGTATATCCACGTGGCACGTGCGCGCGGCGCACAGCACTTTAGCTTCATGTCAAATAACGCGTTACAAAACTTGTGGAAGAGGCGCTATCATCTAAGGTTTATACACTGTACACCCGAAATCAAAGGTACAGTGTACACTCTGATACTTATCAGTACATGCTGCACTTACGGAGTTACGGGAAATTTGGAGATTAGGTTTGGCCAAGATATACGGCCACGATTAATTAAGCCACTGCACTTTTACGTTCATGTATCCTAACCCTGTGGAACTTGGGAGGCTGCTGGTTCCAAGTAAATTAGCGTATTCTTCATCGTGGAGCTTTGGTAGGTTAAGGATCGATCCAGATGCCCATGCCCTGGTTCTGATGGAGTTCATGTGGATGAGGAGACGTGGAACAGAGAGACGAACAGCTCGGAGGACTGCAAGAGATTCTTCTGTTTAGAGTTTCCCAGACTGAACTACAGAGTATTTATGTTTAATACCGATTTTAATACTGGGCGGAGTATTAAAAACCATGCACATGATTCTTAGTACTCCACATAATGCCAATAAAGTAACTCAGTATTAAACATAAATACTCTGTAGTTCAGTCTGGGGAACTCTAAACAGAAGAATCTCTTGCAGTCCTCCGGGCGTTACCGTAATATTCGTGTCTACAAAATAAATGAGCTCTAATATATCACTTAGTTCTTGGATTAATGAGAAAAGTTTCTGAATCCAAAATACATGAAAATAAAAGTGGTAATTTCCTGTGGCCGTATAGTGGTAGTATCGTGGCCGTATAAGAGTGGCTGTGTATTACCATAATACAGTTGATTTTCAAATGTTGTATTTGTTATATATTTTTAACTTCATGATAGTTCGAGACTCGTGTTATCTGAATGTTCTTCACAATCATAATCAGTGCTTAGCAGCTAGACCCCAGCAAACATACAAATATTGATTCATAGTCATTAAAACGAGCAGTGTGAATGGATTAACGATGCGTGTACTAATTTTTTACAAGTATTTTACAAATATTTTACAAATAGCTCTGTCATTGCAATTCAATCATTATGTAAAGTCTAAACAACCTTCAAATTGAATGGTTTAATTTAAATGGTAGGAAGGGACCCAAACATTGTCGATGTTAAGAGATTGTGATTGCATTAATGTATTCAGTACGTTTAACTTTATTTCAGGGTATTGTCTTGTATCTGAACGGTTCATAGTCCGTCCATTACTAACAACATTCTATAATTGTCCTGTGAATTGTCGTGTCTCGGAGGAACAATTTCTACTCTCTGCTTTGGTGTTTAACTGAGTCCAGGTTCCTAATTTCGAACTTTCCAGACGATTCTCGCCCTTCTGGCGGTCTGGGTGATGAAATTAATTTTAGTATTTTGATTGTGTCAATAATAGAATAATGAATATAACGATTGATGCTCATTTATTCATAATTTCAACCTTGATATTCAAGGAGCACAAAAGTTTTGGAAACTTCTTTATGATTTTGATAAAGACGATCTTAAAGGTGTAACAAAAGTATTCCTCACTTAGTCTTACTTATCTTTGCTGCTACGTTCTGACCGTTTCTTTGATTTCCGTTGTGTACTTGTTGGCGATCCTTTTCTGTGTTCTGAGTCTTTCCCTTTATCGGGGTCTCTGTTTCTGAAACGATAATTATAATCTGAGGCTGTATTATACTCTATAGGGGGGGGGGGGGTGTCATGTCCGTCTATGTCCGCCTATGTCCTGTCCTTTTTGGATTCTATGAGACAACGGACGTGTTTTTTGGGACATTGGCGGACACGGACGGACATTGGCGGACTCGGACGGACATTGGCGGACTCGGACGGACATTGGCGGACTCGGACGGACATTGGCGGACCCGGACGGACATTGGCGGACTTGGATGGACATTGGTGGACATTAGCGGACATTGGTGGACATTAGCGGACAAACATTTTGAGGACTGAAGAGTACTGAAGAGTACTGAAGAGTACTGAGGAGGATGGCTGAGAAGGATGGCTGAGGAGGATGACTGAGGAGGATGACTGAGGAGGATGACTGAGGAGGATGACTGAGAGGGAGGAGAAGGATCAGGAAGACCCAGGAGGAGGAGGAGGACCCAAAAGGAGGACCTAGGAGGAGGAGGAGGAGAACTGAGGAGGATGACTGAGGAGGAGGAGGACTGAGGAGGACTGAGAAGGAGGAGGACTGAGGAGGATGGCTGAGGAGGATGGCTGAGGAGGATGACTGAGAGGGAGGAGGAGGAGGAAGAGAAGGAAGAGGACTGAGGAGGAGAAGGACTGAGGAGGAGAAGGAGGACCCAGGAGGAGGAGGACCCAGGAGGAGGAGGACCCAGGAGGAGGACCCAGGAAAAGGCCCCAGGAGGAGGAGGAGGACTGGGGAGGAGGAGAACTGTTGAGGACTGATGAGGAGGACTGAGGACGAGGAGGAAGAGTAGGAGGAGGACTGAGGAGGGGAGGAGGAAGAGGACTGGGGAGGATCAGGAAGACCCAGGAGGACCCAGGAGGAGGAGGAGGAGGAGGACCCAGGAGGACTGAGGAGGACTGAGGAGGAGGACTGACGATGACTGAGAAGGAGGAGGACTGAGGAGTACTGAGGAGGATGGCTGAGGAGGATGGCTGGGGAGGATGACTGAGGAGGAGGACTGAGGAGGATGACTGAGAGGGAGGAGGAGGAGGAGGACTCAGGAGGAGGACTCAGAAGGAAGAGGAGGAGGACTCAGGAGGAGGACTCAGGAGGAGGACTTAGTAGAAATGAGAAGGAGGACTGAGGAGAACTGAGGAGGAGGAGGAGGAGGAGGAGGACTGAATAGGAGGAGGAGAAGGAGGGGGACTGGGAGAGGACTGGGGAGGAGGAGGACTGAGGAGTACTGAGGAGGATGGCTGAGGAGGATGGCTGGGGAGGATGGCTGAGGAGGATGACTGAGGAGGATGACTGAGAGGGAGGAGGAGGAGGACTCAGGAGGAGGACTCAGAAGGAAGAGGAGGAGGACTCAGGAGGAGGACTCAGGAGGAGGACTTAGGAGAAATGAGAAGGAGGACTGAGGAGAACTGAGGAGGAGGAGGAGGAGGAGGACTGAATAGGAGGAGGAGAAGGAGGGGGACTGGGAGAGGACTGGGGAGGAGGAGGACTGATGAGAAGGATGAGGAGGAGGACCCAGGAGGAGGACTGAGGAGGACTGAGGACCGAGGAGGAAGAGGAGGATGAAGAGGAGGAGGAGGACCCAGGAGGAGGAGGACTGAGGAGGAGGACTGAGGAGGACTGAGGAGGACTGAGGAGGACTGAGGAGGATGGCTGAGGAGGATGACTGAGAGGAAAGAGGAGGAGGAGGAGGAGGACTGAGGAGGACTGAGAAGGAGGAGGAGGAGGAGGAGGAGGACTAAATAGGAGGAGGAGGAGAGGGACTGGGGGAGGACTGAGGAGGAGGATGGAGGACTGAGGAGAAGGATGAGGAAGAGGACATAGGAGGACTGAGGACTGAGGAGGAAGAGGAGGAGGATGAAGAGGAGGAGGAGGACCCAGGAGGAGGACCCAGGAGGAGGACTCAGGAGGAGGAGGAGGACTGGGGAGGAGGAGGACTGTTGAGGACTGATGAGGAGGACTGAGGACGAGGAGTATGAGGAGGACTGATGAGAAGGATGAGGAGGAGGACCCAGGAGGAGGAGGACTGAGGACCGAGGAGGAAGAGGAGGAGGATGAAGAGGAGGAGGAGGACCCAGGAGGAGGAGGACTGAGGAGGAGGACTGAGGAGGATGGCTGAGGAGGATGACTGAGAGGAAAGAGGAGGAGGAGGAGGAGGACTGAGGAGGACTGAGAAGGAGGATGACTGAGGAGGAGGAGGAGGAGGACTGAATAGGAGGATGAGGAGGGGGACTGGGGGAGGACTGAGGAGGAGGATGGAGGACTGAGGAGAAGGATGAGGAGGAGGACATAGGAGGACTGAGGACTGAGGAGGAAGAGGAGGAGGATGAAGAGGAGGAGGACCCAGGAGGAGGACTCAGGAGGAGGAGGAGGACTGGGGAGGAGGAGGACTGTTGAGGACTGATGAGGAGGACTGAGGACGAGGAGTATCATAAGGAGGACTGATGAGAAGGATGAGGAGGAGGACCCAGGAGGAGGAGGACTGAGGACCGAGGAGGAAGAGGAGGAGGATGAAGAGGAGGAGGACTTGGAGGAGGACTGAGGAGGAGGACTGAGGAGGACTGAGGAGGATGACTGAGGAGGATGGCTGAGGAGGATGACTGAGAGGGAAGAGGAGGAGGAGGAGGAGGACTGAGGAGGACTGGGAAGGAGAAGGAGGAGGAGGAGGAGGACTGAATAGGAGGAGGAGGAGGGGGACTGGGGGAGGACTGAGGAGGAGGATGGAGGACTGAGGAGGAAGAGGAGGAGGATGAAGAGGAGGAGGAGGACCCAGGAGGAGGACCCAGGAGGAGGACTCAGGAGGAGGAGGAGGACTGGGGAGGAGGAGGACTGTTGAGGACTGATGAGGAGGACTGAGGACGAGGAGTAGGAGGAGGACTGATGAGAAGGATGAGGAGGAGGACCCAGGAGGAGGAGGACTGAGGAGGAAGAGGAGGAGGATGAAGAGGAGGAGGAGGACCCAGGAGGAGGAGGACTGAGGAGGAGGACTGAGGAGGACTGAGGAGGACTGAGGAGGATGGCTGAGGAGGATGACTGAGAGGAAAGAGGAGGAGGAGGAGGAGGACTGAGAAGGAGGAGGAGGAGGACTGAATAGGAGGAGGAGGAGGGGGACTGGGGGAGGACTGAGGAGGAGGATGGAGGACTGAGGAGAAGGATGAGGAGGAGGACTGAGGACTGAGGAGGAAGAGGAGGAGGATGAAGAGGAGGAGGAGGACCCAGGAGGAGGACCCAGGAGGAGGACTCAGGAGGAGGAGGAGGACTGTTGAGGACTGATGAGGAGGACTGAGGACGAGGAGTAGGAGGAGGACTGAGGAGGGGAGGAGGAAGAGGACTGAGGAAGATCAGGAAGACCCAGGGGGAGGAGGAGGAAGAGTAGGAGGAGGAAGCATCTAAATGTTATTTCCATTTTTTTCCGTTTTTGTCCATTTTTGTCCGTTTTTGTCCGCTCTATTTTTGTCCGTTTTGAAAATATAGGGTACCGAACGGACAAAAAACATGATCCCCCCTATAACAGCAAAAATTGAACATTTTATTTAGCAATTTAGGTGTCCATTAATGTCCGCCTATGTCCGCCTATGTCCGTCTATGTCCGCCTATGTCCGCCTATGTCCGTCTATGTCCGCCTATGTCCGCCTATGTCCGCCTATGTCCTGTCCTTTTTGGATTCTATGAGACAAGCGGACATAGACGGACGTGACACCCCCCCCCCCTCTATACAATATCGTGATAGCTGCATGCACTCTATGATCTGAGAACGACCGATAAATTGAAAATATAACGTGACAGTTTTACGTTATGCTCTATATTCTATAATTATATTCTTTATCACTTACTTCCGATAATAATAGTAATCCTCCTGATATCTCTCTTCTCTTTCTTTTCTCCTATGTTCTCTATCTCGTTTGTATTTGCTGAACGTTACTGACGGTGGTTCTGGTGACGGGGTCTTCTCTTTTCCGAATCCAAAGAACCCACCCTCAGACTTTTTTTCTTCCTCCTCATCTTCATCCTTCTTTTTACTGCAATATGGAAATATATCATTAAAGAAATATATGGTGTATATGGTATCTGGTTTCAAACCATAAGACCTCGAAAAAGGTTAACCCGCAAAAAAACAAAAGTCAAAACTATAGCCCACCTGCCAAAAAGGCCCCCACTGAAGAATCCTCCAGATTTCTCCTCTGGTTCTGGTTCTGGTTCCTCTTCCTCAACTTTCTTTCCGAATGGGTTACCCTGAAAAGGTCCAACTCTTGATTTGATCACTTTCACAATTCTTTTCAGCCTCCGGTTACGGTTATAATTCGAACTAGAATTAATCTTAAACAACGGATAATTTTTGTCATGAAAGTTGAAACCTGCTGTACTTACAAAAGAAGGCAATTTTGGTATTTTACCACCATCTTCACCGAGTTGTAGGGGAATATTTGTACTTTGCTCGACGGCTGAGACTTCCAGAACATCAACCCTTCCTTCTAAACTGTCTAGTCTTATTCCTGCAGCTCCAACCTGAGAAACATGATCGCATATAATTTAATGTTATGAATTCGGATGCTCCGATAAACATTTATATACAAATCTAGGTTTTTAAAATGACAACCGAGCGAGACATTAATTTTGAGTTTGAAGGTTCAGCACCAACCTCGCTCTCACCCAAAGCTATCAATATCTCGTTCATCACTGCGCTGAGAGCTCCGTCATAGCACTTTCTCTGTTCTCTCAAGAGCTCTTTGAAAACAGCGTTCTGAGCTGCAAACATCCTCGCTACCTTAAAGCAAAGAACTTGTCACAATGATCCGTACAAAATTCAGTTAAATCAAAATGCTAGTTCAACTAGATTCACGATATATGTTAATTCTGGTGGGAAGGTGAGGCATATTTTTTGTCACGTGATAGCAACTAACTAATCAGCATTTACTATTGACTAGTCAGTAATCAAAGCCCAAAATCTCTGTCACGTATCAAAACAATATGTCTCACCTTCCCACCAAAATCCACATCTATTAAAGTTTATCCATTTTCATTTTTTTACGAACTAAAAGAAGGTTGGGAATGTTTCGATATAATTTCAAAGTGAAGAAGATGGCTGACCTCTTCTCTTGATATCCCAGCGGCCATGATATCGATAGGAATAGTACCGGGGTGTCTCCTCGGGAGATCATCATCTGATGAACTCGAGGAGGAAGAGGAGGAGGAGGAGGAGGAGCTGGAAGAACTGGATGAAGACTGAAGAGTGCAGGGGTAATGTTATTTTTAATCATTGAATTACATTCTTCAAGTTGACAATATGTTTATCCAACTTAGTCTCCCATATTATACACTGTTGCATATTACAGGCTATCAAACCTTTTTCTTCTTCTTCTTCTTTTTCTTCTTCTTCTTTTTCTTTTCCTCTGCATTAAGAAAGCCTCTGGAAACAGCGTCCATTCTGGTCTCCCCAATCTTTTCCTCTAGCAGAGCTATCCTCTCGTGGTGATTCCTTAAGACATCTACTATCGGAATGCCTAGTTTCTTGCCTACAAGTGATGCCTAGGGGACATTTCCTTGAAATTATCCCAACTCAAGAATTTCGAGCATTGCACGGCTGGTCGTTACACATACTAACCATTATATTACTGTCAGCTGTCACTAAATTAGGCTGCTAATTTTAGCTAATATTAACCTTCAGCTGGGACTCCGGTTGAGGGTGGGATTGTTTCTCCTTCTTGTGATGATAGTTAGGTTTGTCATGATGTTCTTCATGCTCTCCATTCTCCGGAGCTGGTTCTGCTGCTGGATCTGCATCACCTCCTTCACTGAGATGATGGTTATGCCATTATTTATGTATTAAATCATCGCTTTATTAAAAGAGTGCAGTTTAACCAGATTGACAGTTGACGTTGTTAATTTAAACGGCTTGGATTTATAATAAATTAACCTTACTGTCCTACCTCCTCTTGCTCTTCCCCATTTTATGTTGCTCTTTACATGATCCTAAGATAAACAATCATTAAATAATTTAGTTATCGGTAATTAGTCTGGTGGATTCGTGTATGTGTTATTGAGTTTCATGATTTGATAGTTCTTTCATTCAATGAAAGGTATTTAGTCTACTAATTTGCCCCTGATCCGCAAATTATTTAAAATGATAGTGACAGCTATTGATCTAGTCAAAACTAGTTTCATTATTCCTACTCTATATTATTTTACGATGACTCTTATGTTGGTGGATAAAAGAATCGAATTTTAAACATATCATAAAATCAACACTATCAATCATCAAAAATAATATCCGAAAAATTGCAAACATCGCCAAAAACAACGTTAAAAAAAAAACATCAAAAATAATATCGCGATAAAAGTTCTGCCAATGTCCATTTCCTCTACTTTTCAGCCACAATCTCAGCCCACAAACGAGATCCAACCATCGGGTTCACAGACTGCTGCTTTCCTCAATGATTTGAGCTCTACTCGGAGTAGCAGCAATACGAACAGAGACAAAGCTGAAATTTTGAATTATAACCTTTTAATTAAAATGATAGGTGGATCAATTACTTATTAGTAATTTTGATCAGGATGATTCACATAAATTCTGATGGGTGATAATTATTTCAATGACAAAAAAAATTGAAAATGCTCTGAATTATATCATACCCGTCTGAAGAATCTTGAGCAGAACCCACCGCCTTCTCCACCTCCTTCCCCGCCATGTTCTCCACCTGGACCAGCTCCAGGACTTCCTCCTCCCATTCCTCCAGGGGCTCCACCAGAGGGACCTGGTCCATCACCTGCTGGCTCCATCCTGGACTTCTTCTTGCGTCTAAACCAACCCATCTCTATTGTAAGTTGTACGTTAAATAGGGGTGCATCGGTTTTGTATACTCGTCATCGTCAGAATAAATCAAACACTTGTGGCTATCAATTTCATGTCAAATGTAGATCAAAAGCTTTTGAAGAAGACCACTCCCAACAGCAGTGTGGGTAAAAACATCAAATTAAAAATGTAATTTAAAACAGTCCGAGAAAAAAGTCGCCAAAGGATCGTGAAATTTACAACATGGTAACAGTTATTGAAAGCTAAACTAACAGGTGCTTCAATTCTTTGAAAAACAAAACATGGTCTGACTGAAATCACTCTTAACATGATTGCGGAACTTATAAATCCTGAAGTATCACAATAAATCAATCATCAAAAGCCTCCTTGCCTACTACATTTGTCTCATTTGAATTCCCTCAGAGGTGGTCTGACCACCCTGTCCTTTTTGTATCCCTCCTCTCATCTGACCCTGGTTCTGTGTCCCACCCCCTCTTACTTGTAGTCCACTTTGGTTCGTCATACCACCTTGTTGCTGTCCTTGATTCACCACTCCTCCCCTAACCTGGCCCTGATTTGTGACTCCACCCCTTTGAACTCCTCTCGTCGTCCCTTGGTTTTGTATCCCTCCCCGAGGGCCAGGGATTCCCTGATTGGGTGCCCCACCACGCATAGTCCCTTCATTCACTAAACCACCTCGCGTTGCTCCTTGGCTAGGAATACCACCACGCACTGTCCCTCGAGTCGACACCCCTCCTCCAGGGACAAAAGGATTTCGCGGCATGTACGAAACCGCGAAATTTCCCATTCTCCGCGACAAATCGCGATTTTTTACGTTTTCCGCGACAGATCGCGAAATTTCCCATTCTCCGCGACAAATCGCGATTTTTTCAGTCCTCCGCGAAAAATCGCGCATTTTCCTTTAAATCTGAAGACCAAATTTACGCATTTTCCTTTAAATCTGAGGACCAAATTTGCGCATTTTAGGTACCTACATTCTCGATACGTACCTCTGAAGGCGGAGCTTCCGGAGCTTCCGAGCTCGTATTGCGAAGGGGAGGCCTGCCTTCCGAGATCGCATTACACGGGGAGCCCTAGAGTCCAAAATCGTGTATTGAAGGGTATGTGTGAACTTTGAACACCGAAAAAAATATTTTCGGCTCATAATGATCAGGGTAGCATGAAACATGAACAAAAGTAGTTTCCAGAAAAACTTTGAAAAATGTTGACTTAGAAAATTTTCTGTCCGAGTCATTCTCGATACGTACCTCTGAAGGCGGAGCTCCTGCTTCCAAGCTCGTATTGCGAAGGGGAGATCTGCCTTCCGAGATCGTATATGGAAGTTGACCAGTAGACATATAAAACTTGGCCAGACGACATAAAGTTGACCAGTAGACATATAAAACTTGACCAGACGACATAAAGTTGACCAAACGACATATAAAACTTGACCAAACGACATAAAGTTGACCAAACGACATAAAGTTGACCAGTAGACATAAAAAACTTGACCAAACGACATAAAGTTGACCAGAAGACATACAATGGATTAAGAAATCGAACAGTATGTTAAATCAGTGTTGTTATTGAATCGTCACTTGTCAGATATTTCGTCATCGATAACGTCATCGTTATTCGCTTGGTATTGTATTCGCTTGTTATAATGGACCGCTTTGTCAAACGGCCTGCCGACAAACCGGCTGGACCTTCGTCTAGCAAACGCTCGAAACAGGCTAAACAGGGCAATGTAACAGCTTCCACGAGAGTGGCTGAATTTGGCAAATCATCGTTTTATGCTGACAATGGGAAGCTATTTTGTAGAGCATGTAATCTCGTCGTAGACCACATAAGGAACAATCATGGGCTTCCCTCGGGATGTGGTTAGAACTTCTAGAAGGTTCGTGCAGGGGGCCGGGGTAAGGATGTCGTCCAGGTTGATGTAAGCTTCAAGGGGTAGAGGTTGGATACTAGATGGGGATAGACTAGAGGGATATGGGAATTGGATTGAAAAGTTCGTAGTATTCCATTGCTATAGTTGTGAAGTGTAGATGGTCGAATGATGATGTTTCCTGTCGTCTGTTGAAAGTTATATAGTATCGATAACGAGATATGTCATACAGTACGTATGACATTGCAACATTTGAGATCATGTCAAAAGTTATGGCAGCTCTTGTTGTTATGGACCCCCATCAGCCTGTATCAGATCATATGATGAGATCACATCCTCATGGGACATGAGCCGATCAAATAGAATAGTCAAAGAATATGTGAACTCTAACTAAGCAGTAAGCACTGTAAATACATTATTTTTTGCCGCGAATTCGCCGCGATTTTTCGATTTTTCGCCGCGAATATGCCGCGATTTTCGAAATTCCCGCCGCGAATTAGCCGCGAATTAGCCTAGTTTGGCTTGTCGCGGTGCCGCGATTTTTGGCCAAAATAACCGCGAAATCCTTTTGTCCCTGCCCTCCTCTGGTTTGTCCCTGGTTAAGCATCCCACCTCTCGTCGCTCCTTGAGGCTGACTAGTTTGTCCCTGGTTAGGCATCTCACCCCTCATCGCTCCTTGAGGTCGAGCACCTCCCCTCACTTGTCCTTCATTAGTAACACCTCCTCTACTTGTTACTGGCAAACCTTGTCCTTGATTTCCGCTTCTTTTCTTGCTCCTAGATAACCCGAGTTTCTGGAGAAATCCTGACTTCTCTTTGGGTGGTTCTGACTGTGGTGGTACGGGGACTGGTGCTGGTGCTGGATAGGATAAACGGGGACTAGGTGGAGGACTTGGAACTATGACTGGTTCTGGTTCAGGTGATGGTTCTGCGAATATGTGCTCCGTTCTGGGTCCAGGAGAAGGTTCACTCGGTTCATCAACCGTCACGGACCTCTCTTCTACCTCCGGTCCAGGAGACGTTGTTCTTGGTCGGATCGCGCAGGGACACACTATTGTTACTCCTCCACATATGCTGTTACCAAACTGAGGTGAGGAGATAAGGTTAGATGATAGTTCGGGTCATTAAAAACATCTGGGATTCTACTTCAAGGAGATGCACAACTGTGCACTCTAGTCACCGAGGAAAAGAATGGCCACTATAGATCTTTAGCAAAATCAGTCAACATTTAAAAAGTCCTACCCTAGCGCAGATTCCAGGTCCGGAATGGTTTCTGTCTCTTTCTTCCTCCCGTCTTGCATCCATCCTTACCTCGATCTCTTTAACTCTGTGCTCCTAATGATCGTGCAAGTAACGACATATTTAATCAATGGGATCAATATGAATTTTAATAACTAATCTGTCAGTACTTGACAGTCAGGCCCTGGAATTCACTGGGGACGCACTCTCTAATTCCTGCCGAAGAAAACTTGACGTACTGTATAAATGTATAACTGCAAAAAAGATTTAGAATATTCACCAATAAGCCATTCGTATGATTCAGAAAATATACTTTAACTTACAAGGTTGTTGACTCTTTCCAGAGCTTCATATCCAGCTTCATCGTCAGCAGCAATTTGCTGCAATAATGTTTATTCATTTAAGGACACGTTCATTGAAGTTTGGGGATATTGGTAAATTTCTTTAAAATAGCGTTTTCGACGATAGTGGCTCAATTTTAGCATCAATCAATCTAGCGTGTTCATAAGTTCTGAACATTAGCCACGTGACCCATACTCCCATATGCACTGCTCAGAAATAAAATGTATTGCTTTTAGGTACTATAATGTAAAAAATGTCACATTTTTGTGACATTGTTTACCATAGCTGCCCAATAAGCATTTTTTTAAAGATCTATATATCGTAAACTTTGTCACACTCAGAATACGAGACCTCTTTTCTACTGTGAGGTGTCCTCAAACTCTTTCAACTCATTATTTGATGGTTCTTCTGCCAATCATAGCCCTAAAATATGTTGTTTTGAAAAGTTAGCAAATACATGCACTTGGTTATTGGGAAATGATGTAAATTCTGTCATATTATATGGAATTTGAAATTCTAGGTAAATTTCCGAAATCATTTATATCTAATTTTGGTTTGGAAGGCGGGAAAACTCTATATAAGGACGATACACGGGTACAATTGATTCAAGTTTAGGGCAGTTGATGTAAACATCGTCACAAAATGATACGACATCGTAAATAGGTTAAATTTAGAAACAATGATTATATAATGAAATAGTCTGTGATTAACATATTACGTACATTATAAAATGGGCATGGGTTTTTATATTTCCTGTATCTCTGTATTAATCATTTCAGACTATAATTAGGACTGTTCACGTGAAAGAAATTGTATCTTAATTTTACAATGACGTACACGTATGAGACGAAATTTACATTTCTTGACCCTATTTTGAAGAACCATACCTCGGTTAGAATTCAATGTTCTTCCAGGAATTATTGGTTGGTTATTGTTCAGCAAATTAGAACCCAAGTTTAACAATGCTGAGTTTAATTTTACTAAGTTACTGAAATGTTACGAAATTCACTTTTCCTGCCCCAACAGTATAATTTCAATGTGACGAAAAATTGGCATGGGTTTCTACATTTCTTGTATAAATCTATTCCAACTATAATAAGGACTGTTGATATGAAAGAAAATCTATCTAAATTTTAAAATGACGTATGTGACGAAATTTACATTTCTTGCCCTTATTTTGAAGAACTATACCTATTTATGAAAAATAACAGACTCTAATTTTGTTCACGATAATTATCGTTAATCAAAGAAGGGAGCGGATGCCTTAAATGAATACAGTCTGGGCGAGAGTCATGAAAAAATAACTATTCGTTGAAATATCGTCCCAGAGTCTTAAACAAAGAACCTAAACTTAAAGAGAACTGAATGTTTGTGAACTGGAAGTGGAGCAGCTATTTAAGGACAGCTGTGCTCATCATATTTGGTCTCAACATTCCTCCTTATCTGCATACTCGTATCAAGATATATATCTGTAGTCTCGTAGTTTAACCACAGTTGTGCTCATCATATTTGGTCTCAACATTCCTCCATATCTGCTTACTTGTATCAAGATATATATCTGTAGTCTCGTAGTTTAAGTGTATTAAAACTGCGCTACACTTCAGTCTGTTACTATGATCTGTGATAAATTTAAATTTGTAAATGTTCAAGTAAAAGAAGGCCGTTCTAAATAAGAATTCCACTGTAGTTCGCTTGCATCAAGAATCAAGATACTTTGGCTTTACTACCTTGCATCAAGATGTAACTTATAGTATGGTAGTTAAACTGTGCTACACTTCAGTATGTTACTATGATCTGTGATAAATTTAAATTGAATTAATTTATTTGGGTTTTTATATTTCCTGTATCTCTGTATTTATCATTTCAGACTATAATTAGGACTGTTCAAGTGAAAGAAATTGTATCTAAATTTTACAATGACGTATGAGACGAAATTTACATTTCTTGACCCTATTTTGAAGAACCATACCTCGGTTAGAATTCAATGTTCTTCCAGGAATTATTGGTTGGTTATTGTTCAGCAAATTAGAACTCAAGTTTAACAATGCTGAGTTTAATTTTACTAAGTTACTGAAATGTTACGAAATTCACTTTTCCTGCCCCAACAGTATAATTTCAATGTGACGAAAAATTGGCATGGGTTTCTACATTTCTTGTATAAATCCATTCCAACTATAATAAGGACTGTTGATATATAAGAAAAGCTATATAAATTTTAAAATGACGTATGTGACGAAATTTACATTTCTTGCCCCTATTTTGAAGAACTATACCTCGGTTAAAATTCGATGTTCTTCCAGGATTTATTGGTTGGTTATTGTTCAGCAAATTAGAACTCAAGTTTAACAATGCTGAGTTTAATTTGACTAAGTTACTGAAATGTGACGAAATTTACTTTTCCTGCCCCAACGGTATAATTTTAATGTGATACAAAATTGGCATGTGTTTCTATATTTCCTGTATAAATCCATTCCAACTATAATAAGGACTGTTGATAAGAAAGAAAATCTATCTAACTAAAGCAATGGCTGATGTGACGAAATTTATATTTCTTGCCCCTATTTTGAAGAATCATACCTCGATTAGGATATAATCTTATAATGTTACTTTATCACCATACCTATGTCGATAAACTAGTTATTTTGCCAACAAAGAGCAAATAAAGTTATAATATTGTTCAGGTGTTGAAATTTTGCCAATGTTAACATATCACTGCCATATAATAATTTATATGACCGGTGTGTGGTTGAAATATTGTTAATTGATCCATAGTACGTAATATAGGGTGTTTAAGTTGGTATACTAATATTTCAATTTCACACATGTTGAGATATCATACAAATGTATGTGACAAAGTTTACCTATTTCTGCCTTCTGTATTTTTATTTGCCTACAACAATGAAATATGTGAACAATTCCAAACACATTCAGCGCACAAAAATATGCTAGACTATTCGGCATTTCTTGTCAGGATGTCATAAACATCCCTCATATAAATTTCTTAAATGTGTGACGGAGTTTACATGGTGCTACCATTTAACGAAAAAAGTCGCTAAATATGTAGATAATAGTCATATGCAACTATCCTATGAATTGGAAATTTGAAAATTTGGTCAAACACGGCAACAAGGGGTCCATATAAACTCTGCCACGTTTTTATAGTGTGACAAAGTTTACAACTTACTGCCGGCCGCATTTAAGCGATATCTTATCGTCTGATAAAGATATCGTTATGCGACAAAGTTTATCTAGAGGATAAAACGATTATCCTAGGCAAAGAGGGTTTATATAATTTCATAGTGTGACACATTTTAAATCTTCGTGCCATTCAGTAGGGTCACTAATATTTACCAATATCCTCAAACTTCAATGAACGTGTCCGTAAATAATCGGAAAGTTACTTTCTACTTGTAACATAACAAGGGAAAACTTGTTTCCAAGCATTTAATTGTGCTTAGATATTTTAATTCCTTTCGGCAAGAATATCAGAATTAGCACTTTTTAAAGTTTACGTCTCTCAAGACTTTAAAATCCAAATGTAGTAATTGTCCTGGTTAAGTTGAATGATGAGCCACAAACCTGATCCGTGGACTGGGACCCCTCGTTCGGCTTACTTTGTCTACTACTGAAACATGGCGGCAATCTTTCGTCCCATTTTCAAATACATCGCACAAATATAATTTATTAAGTAATTTTCTCAGGAATTTATTTGTCTTCGAAATTCACGAGAACGGAAAAATTGGCTATTTCCCCGATTAGAAACTGCTTCCAGCTTTGTGTTCAACGAAAACAGAGACCTCTTATGTGGTACACAACGTGTCAGTTTTGAACCAAAACTTTTAAGTGTCCAAGTTAATGATAAAATATTGTTTTAGAACATTGAAGTGACCGAATGCAGAAAGTAATCCAAAATGGTTCATGTTTCAATGGCCAAATTTCAAATGTTTTTGGTTTGCTAAATATCAGTTGCGATGATTTTCGAGGAGAATTCTCCTCTAATTTCAGCCTTTTTGAATGAGAATGAATTGTGAGTTGTGATTTGTGATGCTGTATGAATTTGTATTATAACGAACAATGCCAGGAGGATACTCCCGTGGTATTCCTTTTTGGTGAAAATGAATATGAAAAATGAGTTTTTGGGTAAAATTTCGAGGTGAAACGTACCGTAACATCTTTCCGCAACTAATATTTTTGCTATAGAGAATGCCCGTAAACTAAATAATTAACTATGATTATTCCCAAAGAACAAGTTGTATGCAGGACTAAGATTCACTCCACTTACCTCCTACGAAATGGTGCCTTCATCGAGTGACAACCCCGATCACGAACAGTTGCCGAATTTCTTCACATACAAGACAAAATGAAATCAGTTTAGATTACAAGCAAAGCAAGTGATTCCGTGAGCTTTGTGGGTATAGCTGTCCTGTGAGCATGATACGACAGTACTGATTCATGAATCTCGACCTGTGTCTACATGGAGTCTATTTATAGATTTGGTCAGGTCGTGATTTTTAGGATTTTTATTGCTATACCAGCACACGACAAGGCCCGGCGTATCGTTGTTGATTCATTGCCAGTTTTAGAATTATGGAGTCATGCTTACTTTTAGTTGATCACGACCACCCTTAGCTTGGAGATGTGTAAAGTCATGTTTATAGTTATAAAGCTCTATTGAGACATATGTGCTAAATGTGTATCGATGTACCACGATATACCTTTTACTTAATTGGAATTTTGTTCTGCTGTTCAGTTTCAGTTGTTTGTTTTACATGCCAATTGTGATATTAGAATAAGCGTGCAGATTCCCCCTATCTCTTCCCCTTTCAAAATTAAAGTTGTCGTCAGGCACATATTATGGGGTTGAAGGTTTTTGTCCCCTTCTGACAAGTTTTGCACCACATCAACAAAAGTTTTCATTTTCGTTAAACACAAAGCAGTTTATATTCGGGAAATGACCAATTACTTTTTCAATCTATCTTTCGAAAGTCGAGCTCAACTCAATGCGATCTAACCGAAAACCAATAAATTTAAGTTGAATTCCAATCCTACAAACATAAAGTTAGAAATAATTAAATGAACTCAGAGGGTACAGCTCGCTAAATCGGCATTCGGCAAGGTGCCAGGACGACAAATGGCGCGACTAAAGGTCACGCGAAAATTATTTCGATTATCACGTGATTTACACGGTACGTGACTGACACTCCAATAAAACGTGACCGATACTCGCGCATTTCCAAGAAACGCGCGCCAAACTGCGTGTGACGTCTTAAGTACGTACTCAAGTAGGTACTTGAATGTTCGAGAGCAAATGAAATGAACAACCATGTTCGCGCGTTATTTTAGGCGCGAAACTGGCTGTGATTATAAAACCGTTCGTATTATTTTATATGTGTTTCAAGAACCCCTAAAATAACAAAAAATAATATATTTGTTTATTAACTTGATAATATTGTTACCACTTTTCCATCTTCACTGCCATCCTAAATACATATTTATATAAACTAAATATTATTACTCAGGGTTGCGATGAAATGTAAATAATTGACACGACTGAGGGATTGAGGCTATATCATATAAATTAGAATGTCTGGAGCGAAGCCAAGAGGGCCCAATGGGTCCGGTTCTCAAAGTATGCCACGGCTGTGACAGTGAGCCTTAGATAATTCTGCGATTTCATATATTTTTGCGTCTTTGGTAACTTCAAAATATTATTTCATAGTAAAAAGTTCGACTTTGTCTTTACGGTTTCGGCAGATCAAACTACAGAAAACAGGGAATTATTATTGTGATAGAAATTAATCTCACAGGTTACCAGTACGATGCGTCCTGGAAAGAGAACCCTCAACTCTCCTGGGTGTCGAGAGGAAGAAGTACTGACGAGGCTTACTGTCAGTACTGTCAGTGTTATATAAACATAAGGAGGGATGGTTTGGAGGCCCTGCTCATCCACACTGATCTGGAATCCCATCAGTTTATCATGAATTACAAAAGGGGTTAGCAGCTAGGATTAGCTGAACCTACTCCCATAATTTTGATTTCACTATAATTCGATTGTTTTCTTATAATTATAAACATTTTGAACTTAGGATATTATCAACAAAATTACATTTCCACTGGGTTACAGAAATGTTATGTTTGGATTTTACAATGCAAATGCCAGTCCCCAAGCCTTTCGCAACAATTTCCACCCAGATGGAAGAGTAGCAAGCAGAGACATCTCGGCTAGTACTGAAGCAAAGGCAGATTTGACAGAAAGAGCTGAGATATTGTGGTGTTTACAAGTAGCAGCAGCCGGGTACCCATACCATACTGCTAACAATACTGGTGAGATTCTCAAAATCTCCGTATAATTTCTTACTAAACTTCTTAATTGGACTGTGCGAAATTTTCAGCTTTGAATCTATTCTTTTGTTATTATTTTTATATCACCAGATTTGTTTTCGGCCATGTTCGTTGACTCTAAGATAGCGAAGAATATCGTTGTCGGACGAAGCAAGCTGAAGTATGAAATCAACAAGGGAATCAACCCATATCTTTTAGAGGTATAGCTTTAATTGATGATCATTTAAATAAAATACTGATTGATTAACAGTGAATTCTAATCAACTGCCAGTTTAATTTGTTTATTAACTTTAAATATTTACAGCAAATTTTGAAGCCAATTACAAAAGATGGAAATTACTACGTACTTCATTTTGAGGAGTCAATCACTGATACAGGGAAAAGATGCTTAGATATCTATGCAAGGTTAGGTTTCATATTTTTAATTTCACATCCATGTTTATAACCTAAATCAGGTACTTTAGGTTTTAACTCTACCAGTATAACATTCTTTTGGGTATTAAATTCAATATAATTATAAATTCAATAACATAATAATCAAATCATCTCTAATATTCGGGATTATCCCAAGATTCCATATCTTCTCACTGAGGAGAGTTTTTTTGTGCCTTCTTCTCCCTTGCTCGTCTGTTCTGAAACCAGTACAGCACAGTCTTCTCCGGTAATCCAACTTCTTCCGCTACTTTAGTTCTGATATCATGTCCCAGGTACTTGTAGATAGAAAATACTAGTTCCAGTTGAGTCTTCTGGTGGTCCGTCATTTCAGTTCGAGCTTTTCTTTTCCTTACCAAAGGTTTTAGGACTGGAGTTGGTGTCACTGCAGAAAGTGATGGAAACGTTGAGTGTATAGGATTCATTTCAGTGATTGAAGAGGCTGCTTGTTCCAAAAGAGAGGGACTCGAGGAAGCTGCTTGTTCCAAAAGAGATGGTCGCAGGAGGAGTGGAGACAGGAGTTAAAGGATAAGAAGGTACCTGTTGAGAGACCGTCTTCAGTTTAGGGGAAACCCTCCTTGATCTCTGATAAGGTGAGAACCTCTGAGGAGCAGTTCTGGATACAGTTTCCAAGACCGGGGTATAAGGTAGTTGAGCTGTATTGTAGATGTCGGTGAAATAGGCAGGGGTTGCAGGGATAGCATTGTCACAATGTTGGGTGTAGCTACAGCTGTTTGAAGTAGGAGACGAACTATTCAGTTGGAGGGGAACAGCAGGTAGGTAGTCTGGAGTCTGTACAGGTGTTGATGGAGGGCTAGAGTAGTGAGAGAGGTGATTGGTGAGGAGAGGTAGTTGCTGAAGAGGTACAGTTGGATAGTATACAGGAGTTGTGTAGAGTGGGGTGAGGGGAGGAGTTTCGAGTCCACTGATGGCTGATTCCCATTGAAGGTTATAGCTGGAGACGTAAGGGTAATCGAAGTTGAAAGACATAGTTGTAGATTTATTGCAATAGAGAATGATATTTGGTTCAGGGCTTGTTTCCTTCTTATATTGTTTGAGAAACTCTATCCCCGCTCCTAAGATTTCTCCCTACTTTGGTATTTCTGACACCACCCTCATATCGTTGGTGACGTTCTGAAGGGGCCGCCATCTGTAAACGGTTTTTTAAGCTCTATGAAGACCATCACGTTCACCGGTGTCAACAAACATGGAATTTGTTGAAGGGTGAATTATGAATTTGATAAACTATTATGGGAATCTGGAATAAGAAAAAAATGTGTACTATTGCAATAGAATTCATCAACAAATTTTATAAATCCAATAAACAAACAGCATTCAATTAACAAAATCCTTAAATGTAAATATTATTTTGAGTATATATTACAGATTCTGGCATGATATTGGCGGGAAGGTTGCTAATGTACAAATCGGTAGTCATGGAATGAAACGATACGACTCTGAGCAGACGTACACCAAGTGCTTGGATGTGAGTTATTCATAAATAGTTATAAGGCCAGAATATATGATTGTTCTATGTATTTTTTTGTGTTTCGCGCAGTCCAATTTTTATGAAGTTAAGACCTGGAAATACAAAATACGCGCGAAACATGAAGCGTCTAGACATATGTCTAGACAGTTGACGCGCCAACGTCTGTTTCTCATTGACAGTCACTACATGGCTGCGTTGTGTAACCACGTACGATATATCGCTTCAGGCGCGCGTAGCACACGTGCACACTTTGTACGACGAACGATTACACATATTGGTCTAATTACTAATGCTACGAGCAATGTACGGTTTGAAGTTGAAATCCGGGAACAAAGATTGCTGCCTTCTATTGATTCTGACGCTATGAAAGTATTTCCGTTTAAGGATCTCAGTAAGAAATTCAGTAATCCTCAGTTTAGATTCTCGACCTGTTTTAAATATGAGAAGTCAATCCGTGCTGATGTTACCAATTATAAGGAACATGTTTTAAATAATGAGCCTATCTCTAATGTTAATTGTTTTTGTAGTCATTACAGTGATTTCATCAACCCGAGTGTCGGGCATGTTATCACTGGGAACGTAGATATTGTTAAGAATAATAAACTTAGAAAATTATTTAAGAAAGGTTACACTTTTATTGAACCAGTTTACAAAAATAGGTTTGCTATTTTTAGGAGTGTTAAATCAGACTTACATAGATATATTAAAAGTCTGGCAACTAAGTACAGTGTCAGCACTAAATTATTTGATGGTTGGCGAGCCATAGTTTTAGATACTCTTAAACCCAAGATTTTTTCCTCTAAGATATTTTGTAAGCGGAATCAGACTGTTATTTCCTCGGAGTTTGAGGACCTTAATGTCCTAAAAGAACATTTTATTATGACTAGCGTAGACAAAGCGAGTAATAATGTTTCTTTTGTCTGCAAGAAGTACTATTTAGATAATTTATTGCATGAACTTTCCTCCACTAGTACTTATCAAGTTTCCACAGATTCTGAAGAGGATATTGTAAGAAAGCATGTGCAATTTTGCCAGAAGTTTAAGATTCCGGTGAATGATCTTTCGGTACCATTTATGCACATGTTACCGAAATTCCATAAACCGACCTTGGATTTCAGGTACATTGCAGCTGGGGTTAAATCTTCTACTAAAGTTCTTTCTAAAATTCTGAGTGGGGTATTTAAACTGCTTGGTACTACTTTAAAATACCTAGATAATTTTAATTTTAAGTTCTTAAACGCTTCTGGTTATTGGATTGTCGACAATAAAGACAGAGTGACATCCAACCTTAATTATCTTAATAATGCCTGCTCAGCTAAGTCAGTGTATTCGTTTGATTTTAAGAAACTGTACACCAACCTTCCCCATGATAAACTTATTGAGAAGTTATCATCTTTAATTAAATTATGTTTTGAGGAAAAGAAACTTGACTTTATCAATATCAACGACCAGTTTAAAGCTAGATGGTCGGGAGTTAATAAGACTAAGTGGTCTTTTACATGTAGTGACCTGATAGATATGTTTAAATTCTTAATGGATAATATTTATGTTAAGTTTCGAGGTGTGATCTACAGACAGGTAATTGGTATCCCAATGGGATGTGATTGTGCTTCCCAGGTCGCAGACCTTTTTCTATACTGGTACGAGCATAATTACATCACATTGCAAGTTAAAAACAAGAACCCTGTGGTTCACACTTTGAAACACGCCAGTCGATACATTGACGATTTAACCACCCCCAATATCAACAATAAGACTGTCGATATTATTTGCAATGATATTTACCCCGCAGAGTTGAAGATTATAGTTACAAACTCTAGCAATTTATCTACGACTTTTCTTGATTTAGACATTAATATTTTGAACAATCGTTTCTACACTAAATTATATGACAAACGACGTGACTTTAGTTTTAAAGTCGTTACTTTTCCTAACCTTCGCTCCAACGTACCTGTTAAACCTTCGTATGGAGTATTTGTAGGTGAATTATATAGGATATGCAAATCTTCCTCAGTAGTTACTGAATTTATTCATGATGTTAAATTATTAATTGATAAACTGATTACCCAGAATTTTGAACGGAAAATCTTACATAGATATCTTAAATTATTTATTAATAGTCAGCCAGCGTGTATCCTCAGACACTGGCATATTTTCACAGTTAATGACTTCATGTAATTATAGTGTGTGTGAAGCCCTCTTGTAATTCCTTATGCATGTTACCTTTTGCCTTTCTCCTTTAGCCATTATTTCTTTGATCGTATCGGTACAGTTTACTTTCACAGTTTATTGTTAAACTTTCAAGCGGTAAACCAGTTTATTTTCTATATTCTTTCAGACTTTTATTTAAGTCTAGTTAACAGTTATACATTATTATATCATATTTTATTGATCTAAGGTGTAGTATTGCCAGATCCTAGTTCATTTTGTAACGGAGTTTTATACTAACAGGAAACGATGTAACAGAGTCGATATATTTTAATGTTGCCATGGGGTGGCAAGTCCCCATACATCGCAGTCCGGTAGTTTCATTGCGTCATAATATAGTATATTTTGAGATCCCTCACCAATGCCCAAATCTCAACCTTCATTAAGTTCAACAGTTTGAGGTCCTCCTCAGTATTCAGTAAAACAAGTTACAATTGCACTTATTGCAGGCGTTAGCAGCAGTGAAGTTGCCACTAAAGCAGTTGGTGTACGTATCTACCCACCGAACAGGAGGAGATCTGGAGGTGAGCAAATACTCCTCAATTTTCATATAAACCTCTTCATTCTTGATACTTTACTCGTCCGTTTAGTGTTGCTGATACTAAGATACTAATAAATATCATCCAACTTTTCAGGTCTTTCGACGTCTGGAAGAGGCAATAACTTCCAACAGAGGAGTTCCACTGATCGAGACTCTCCCGTTTAATGAGAACGTTATTTACACTGGTTACGGCAGGGTGAGTTGTTTTTAATTTGAATGTTTCATTATAGGGCTGGTAGGTGTGTACTCTAAATGTAAATTAAACCAAATATACTGGAAGATAAATAACCAATCAATATTCTAAATCTGAGTCTGTCATGAACCAGTTCAACAACCAGTAGTTCAGTTATTTGAGGGGCACACTCCTTTTGTTAATATCATAACTAAAAGATTATAATTCTTTCGTCGTCCTCATCTTTATGCTCCTGGAGATTATGTTATGTTTATGTTAACAATTAAGAAATTGATCATATTCATATTGTGTATTGATAGTTTGAATAACCAATTGCATTCTAACGAAATTCAATATTGGTTTGTCGTATTCTCAATCATATTTGCAAATAATTTATAGATTCTACAATATCCCCGTAAATTCGCAGTTACTGCTAGTGCTAATATTTAATAATCATTACCAACCGGGGTTTCCTGTCACGCCCCATGACGTGCAATTAAAGTCAGGGTTGTGACATTATAGCGACTTATTAGACCCTTATTAAGGGCTTAGTAAGTCGCTATAACGTCACAACTCTCTACCCGGACTTAGAATTTGACGTCAAATTCTACGAAATATTATTTAAAGTTTCCAAAATGCTGATGACCTTCAACCATGCCACCAAAAATCAGGAACACTACAAGTGGGCGAGTAAGAATATTAATAGAAGTTATATCGGTAAATAGCTGTATGGACGTAAGAAATACTACTATAAAAGTATCTAAATTCTAAAAGTAAAAGCGGCACTTTACACCTGTATCTAAAAGTGGCACTAATAATAAAGGTGTTGAAATGTCTTATGCTATTCAAACAATCCCCTGGACAAATCAACATGTTGGTCAAGTTACCAGTTAGTACAGATTATTGCGGCGGATGGGGACGACCGGAAGCGAGTCTATGATCTGTGCCGGTGCTGTTTGCTGCACCCATAATTTATAACACCTTATTAAGGGTCTGTCAATTCTCCTATAGGGGTTCAGTGCTTCACTTTGTCAAATAGAAGTAGAACAGACCTTTGCATATTTGTCATTATTAAAACTTCATGATATTATTCAAAAGACAGTAAACATAAATGTAATGCTAGCAAAATTTTACGATCATCTTTATGTTATCGCTGATAACTATTTTTAATCCTCACAATACTTGATCACAAGACAGTTGTATTAAAAAAACATAAAATCTAATGAAAATTTTTGATAGGATAACAAAACAATGTTGTTTTCCGATCCTTTTCATGATTCTTAGCATAAGAAATGGGCTGAACATTAGAAATCTTGTTAATCAATCATTCGTCTCCTGAAACCTTGGACATAGATCAAACACTTCTTATAACTTTATAACAATTGAGGAACGTTTATGTTCGAGTTCCAGTAGAGTTACTGTTTTCTTAACTAAATGTCCCCCACAGTTACTGCACGTGGTGGCAAACTGGGGGTTGGAGGACCTGGTGTACGATCTGCGCGCCTGGTTCTGCACGTGCAAAGAACCAGACGCACCTTTCCTGTCCCTCTTAGAGGTGTTCACTAACGAGGATCTGGGCCATCAAAACGAGAGATTTGCTAACAACAGCCTCGTTAACGATCCTACTCCCAAATCATCGTATAGGATTAACGATGCTCTTATTTACAAGTACCTGAAGTTTTAATCAAGTTGAATTGTTATTGTGGTTGCCAGTTCAATGTATTGCATCACATCCTCACTGGCAGTGATGGTCCGTCTATCTCACGTCATATAACACAAATTAATTACAACTAATAACCCTTTCAGGCACACACTTGGACTAAACAAATCGTTCGCTGATGTCCTGGCAAACTGGCCCTGTCTGGTCAAGTACTTTCAGAACTACGTGCCGAACAGTGAGCGCGGAGTTCAGAAAGTACCCAGGTTCCAGAGACTTCACGCTGCTTTCACCAACCCTCTAACCTTACTCCGAGTAACTTTCTTGAGGAGTGTGGGTAAAGTGTTGGAGGATTTCATGGACTCTTCCATCGGAATGGAGGGACCGTCTATTCATGTTTTGTCTGGAGCTGTTTCGACGCTAATCAAGGACATTGGAGGTAATTAACTACCAGTGAATTATTTTTAGTTTACGTTAGATTACCTTTTGACATAGTTTTATCAATAATTATCCACCATTCTTTTCACATGATTGGACCATTTTAAGCTCTGTTTTTCTTTATAGGTCGGTTCCTGAAAGCAGAACCAAAAGCTGACATAGTACGAGGAATGTCTCATATAAAATACGAGGAGAGGGAGGAGCAACTCCCTAACGACATGATGAACATTGGGGCACCTCCCGGTGCTCTCTTTAGAGAGGTAGTTATCAGTTCTTTAATGATGGTCGAAATTCGAGATCAAGCGCTAGATCAAGATGGCGCTATTTTAATTTATCACTTTATATCCAATTTCAATTATCGGTAAACAACTCATTTTCTTCAACCGTGGTAATACAATTTATACGAATTGGTAATGAATTAGAACCTTGTACAGCACTAACCATGATCATGATGTATTTAACATAAAGATCCAATTCAGATCCCCGCTCTGAAGCTAGCTGCATTCTACGCTGAAGTGAGAGGAGCGTACGCTATCTTGTTCGGCTACCTACTGGAGAACAGCCCGATAATGGATCCTGTTGTTAGGGGGTGCAGGGCTCTCGACCCTTGTGAGTTCGTTTGGGAGTTCTCATCATTTTGTAGAATCTGACGATCTAGCAAACAAATTTGAATTCAGTCAGCTGGTAAATTATTGTAATTAATGATCGTGTTGTATTTCTTTGTGAACAACTTATCTCCACAGTAAAAAGGACAGATAAATGTTTGTACACCGCCATGAAGTCGTTAGCAGAATCAGTACCTCAAGTGGTTCATCCTCCAACCCTCAACAAGGTTCTAGAAGAGTGGGACCTTTACCAGGTATTGGCTTGTTTATAAAGGGTGTTACATGTTTCTTTTGAGCCAGATATATAGGCGTCAAAAGATATTCTGTGAATTGTAAAAGAGAGGGATCCCTAATTCTGGCATTTAACTGTTAAGTCTGGACATTATGCCTCACATACTATCAAAAGTATCAATCTCCAGACATTGGAGATAGAGGAGATACAGAGCAATGAAACAGTGGAAGATTATTGGGACAGGATCTTTAAGATCACTGCTCTTGGAGAAGTTTCGAGATTCGGGAAACTATCCAAACTTATTCAGGTAAAACAGTTTTGTAAACAGATTTTTTACAAAAGGTTTGTTATTTAAGGGAGGTTGGTTTCGAAATTAAGGGTTATTTTGACACAATAGCCATGTGTAAACTTGCAGACAAAAGGGGTCCGAAAATGGAAAAATATTGCTGACGTAATATAAGTATAACAATAACCCACAATACGGCCAGGTAGCGCAGTTGGTTAATCATCGGCTTTGTAATCGTGAGGTTGCGAGTTCTAATCCAACTGCCTGCCTAGTCGTGGGGTGAGCGTCGTTGACGCTCTGCTAAGGATCCCGAGTGGTCTATGTAGCCCCACGGTTCACTCAGCCGAATGCTCGAGAAATCGGGTGTGAGGGTTAAATGAGGAGCTGTGCTTGATCAACACAGCGAAGCCTCGGGCGAAGAAAGTGTGGCATAGTGCCTTAACCGTCGCTGGCCTTAGGAACGATCCTTCGGCTTCTTGTAAAGCTCTTCCTTGAAAGTGCTGGTTTACATTGTAATGCAGGTAATGCCGAAGTAAAATAACAAAGGTGGTCGACTCATTCGATGGCCTTGTTGCGTCGCAACGAATCCTCATAAGATAAGATAAGATAAGAACCTTTGAATATTGTCTACTTCAGGTGATGCTGTGTATTTACTACCGATCACCGAATAAGGAGCGATCACTAAGATCACTGGAACACAGACGAGCCACAAAGATCGCTCAGGAGTTTGTCAACTTGCAGTGTTCAGGCAAAGTGAGCGATGTAAACATGACTGCTGGACTGATAGCTGCGTATAAAGAGGGCTGGGAGAAGTTAGTTTATCTGTTGATGAGAGCAATAGGATCAGGATTTATAATTACTGTTAGAGAATAATACTCGTTATTTTGACTTTACCCAACCCTTCAGTTCTCGTAGCCCTCTGTTGTCAGTCACGTATTTTGCCTACATGATTTCACATATTTTAAAACTCCCAGGTACTCTGCCCACTATTCGAACAAGGGGCTAGCTCAGAGTGCAAAATATGCAGTAGGGTCGGGGATCATCGGCGAGGGTGTTAACATGCTCCTTGGAGCAGACATAACCAACGTGGGGTACCATGGCATCAGAGAGGTGGAGTTCATTTGTTCGGAAGGTAAAAGCGCGCAATTCACAGTTACTATTTCCCCACATAACGTTGCTCAATCAGCATTCATTATTAAAATTAACATTAACAACACTGCTTAATAATTTGAAACAACACCAATTTTTTGTGCTCAGACACTAAACAGTGGAAGCAGTTTGAAAAAAGTGTTAAATGACAAACTAAAATGTTTCCTTATCCTATCTAGGAGTGTCCCGTATAGAACATGGTCTAAAGAAGGACAACTCATTGGAAGTGAACGCGGGCATGGCCCTGGTTGAGGAGGCCAGGTCCAAGATACGAGTGATCAGAAGTAAAATAATACACAGAGAATACATCAGGGAACTGGACAACAACAACCGGCTACTTTCCATAGGTAAGTTAAAATAATTACCAACTAACATTCGCATTTCTCCAGATTCTGAATTACACACACGCTCTGGATTCACCCTCCAAGTTCAGCACTTCAAGGCCAAGTTAAAATGAATATTACTGTTATATCACAAATATAACCTCGCTTTAAGTTTATATACAACACGAACCACACAGGTCTGTACCGGCTGAAGCAGTCCCGGAACACAGGTAAAGAGGGAGAGGGAGCAGCCAGCTTGGAGGTGATAAAGAGAGGAATGACCGGGATTAGTGACCTCAGGATGGACCTCAGACCAGAAACAGCTGCCGCTCATGTGGTAGATGAGTGAACCCTCTGCTCTTGCTGTATAGTGTAAAGAATATAATCGTAAATACTTATAGACGTTGGTTTTCTGATAAATATTGTCCACACTGTCAACCTTAAGCCCTATCTTCTTTCATAATTTTAGTTCTCGATTAGGGAGAAAATGCAACCTCTTGGAGCCATAGCCGAGAATTTAAATTTTTGTATCGCCTCGGTCACGTACCTTTATCGGATTTTAAATTATTGAACTGGAATATATTTCAGAGTGAGCAAATAGAAGCGGATAATGATGAGTCCTGTATGCTTTGGTTAGAAAGGGTGCTAACAAATAGTTCAGCTTAGAGGGTGTGAGTGAAACTCCCTTCGAAATTCAATCGAGTTGGAATGTGACGGACTTCTCAGACTGGATTTTATACTACTACTAGATTCATACCATGACACTAACAGCGTGAACACGTTTAGAATTTACTGGTGGGTAAATTTTAGCAACATTATGTTTCGCTAATGTTGCAACAAAAAATATTATTACCTATATTGAAATTACTCTGACAAATGATGTCAATATCTTTTACCATTACCAACACGGAGCCAGAAACTTTGAAATTTCCATTATAACTTACATCAGATTCGGACATTAACAAGGCACAATCCTCGTGATTTAACATGGAACCTTTTTGTTTACCAAGTGAGATTATTTCTAAAATTAAATATCTGCTAAACTTTCATTTGTCAACTATGTCTAAACTTATTGAGACAATCGACCACTTATCTGCATCATTGATTGCGTTTGTTTCAGAAATATTTTTTTGCTGCTCAAAGATATGCTCAACCTGGGCTCGTGTAAATGTAAAAAATAAAACTCAAAGATTAAAGCAAAATTAAAACATGCGAAACATATACAAGAATTGAAAATTAAATTTTCAAAAAATCAGGTTATTCAATTAATAATGTGACGACCGTCCTAAAATGAAATACGTGACACCCTTTTGAATTTTTTAAAACTAAATATTGATTTAATATTATACAAAATAAGGTAAAATTATCGAATCTATATAACATTAACATATTATAATAAATCATTAATAGTTTTAAATATCAAAAAAGTTAAAATACCGCACCCGCTTGTCATAATCAAAGTGTCACTGTAACTTAGAGTGTTTTTTCAAATCCAATCTTAATCATATAATGACCGCCTAAGAACTTAACGTACATGCATAACAAAATTCATAAATTGCAATGAATCTACAAATTCATTCATCAAACTTAAGTATTATAATTCAAGTTTAGTTAAGTGGAATATTCATTATTCATCATGATTAAAACAGTATTCATAAAGTCAATGCTGTACTGTATTAACAAATTATTGATATCTGTGTCCTGTGATCAGGATTCAATATTTCGGATTTCACGAAGTTCCAGCCGGAAGGTGGTTTTAACTGCTATATAACCGATTCAGAAAAGCACAGTTTTTTATGCGTACCGAAAGCCCAAATTAAAGAAGTTTCCCAAATCTTGACACAGTCCCCGTTTCTTTATCATAACTATTAGGAATAGGACCAAAGTTCGACACAAAACGTCTGCAATCACAACATTAATTTAAAAGAGCTCAATTCGACGTAATTTAACTACGGTAACCGCAAATATCACTCTTCGTCAAATTCCTCGTCAGACACATCAGCAGCTAGCTGTCTTCTCTGTGCGGGATTAAACCTGAAGCAAGGGAGAGTTAATCTTAAAAATTTCTAAATTAACCCATTAGGGACGATAGGGTCGTTTACGATCCACCTTTTCTAGAGGCTATAGAGGACAAACCAAAATACTACACGCTACGAATCTTTAGCATATATGCTTCAAATTTATTGGGCTACATTATTGACTTTCCAGTCGAGACCCAATTAATCACTAACAATTAAATAATTAGGCTAATTAGTCGTCATAATTGGAAAATATTTCACTTAACTTCTTGCCTTGATTGGGACAAACTTTATGTAGGCTTATTTTTTTGACAACAAAATAGTTGTGGGCAACGATTTCCTAGAGACTAGTGAAAAGCCCGTGATAATCAGATGTTCACAAACAGGGCTAGACGCTGTTTACTAACTGCGGTCGCAAACGACCCACTCATCCACGTCGCAAACGACCCATCACGGAAAAATCAGTTAAATGGGTGAGTTGGTCATTAGCGACTCACTAGGACAACAAAATCGATTGATAAAATACATTTTTGTCAAACTTTTACAAATATTAGTATAAAAACATTTTATTTCTTGGTCATTACTCCTGTACGTTGATTCAACTTTTAAGATCGATCAACTGGGCCAATAACGACCCAATCGAAAGTTATTGACCCAGTTGATCGATTTTAAAAGTTAAACTTAAATCAACGTACAGGAGCAATGACCAAGATATAACATGTTTTTATACTAATATTTGTAAAAGTTTGACAACAATGTACATGTATTTTATTATTCAATTTTAGTGGGTCGCTAATGACCCATTTACCCGATTTTTCGCAGTTTATGATGATAATCACTTGCTGAGAGGCGATTTTGCACATATGATGTCATTTTGTAGGCTGAATTCAAGAATTTACATGGATATATGTAGTAATAAGCAAGTGAGCCGAATGGGTCGTTAATTACCCAAATTCTTTATTCAAAAAGTTAGACTTAGAGTCACATAGTATTGGCCATATGCTTTTAACTTATGTTACAGTTTTTATTTTATCCTAGCGTCTTTGTTTCAGAAGTAATAGCCGAAAAAACCGTGGTGGGTCGTTTTTGTCCATCGCTGTATCTTTTACAGTTAACGAGATACAGATTAGCTTTTTTGGATATCTAATTTTTGCTGTAAAGTGACCTAGTGTGTTAAACGGCATCAAAATCGGCAAACTTTAAAACTCGTCGTCCCTAATGGGCTAAACAATAACGACTTGATTTAGAAACTAGGCAGTAAAAACTAGATGTGAATTATAAAGGTGCTTAGTGCTGGGTATCTTCTTTTAAAAAACAATAGCCTTTATACGGCCGATAAAAATCAACCACTACTTTCAACGTATCATTCGCGTGTTGCAGGATCAGACTTTACTACTTTAGTACCTGACTCAAATCTTTTGTGTGCGCCACATTTGAAGACAAATAACACTGCAATTAGGCTGAAAATTCCGCCAAGTTTGCAGCCTTTAGGTACTCTCAGGTTTATTCTACAGTCTAGTATATAATGTTTGTTTTTTTTTGTTTTTTTGTGTGTATGTTGCATACGCAATTGTTGAGTTTACACAACAGATAACGTATAATGTTAACCGAGTTTCCTGACAATTGAACAATTGATGATGTATATTTCTAAATTTATCCTCATACAAGTTTTAACAATTAGATGGCCAGGTAGCGCAGTTGGTTAGAACGCCAGCCTTACAATCGTTAGGTTGCGAGTTCAAATCCCACTGTCTGCCTGGTCGTGGGGTGAGCGTCGTTGACGTTCAGCTAAGGATCATGAGTGGTCTATGCAGCACCCGGTCTACTCAGCCGAATACTCGAGAAATCGGGTGTGAGGGTTAAATGAGGAGCTGCACATTGCAGCAAAGTCTCGGGCGAAGAAAGTATGGTACACACTACCTTAACCGTCACTGGCCAAATAAATCCTTCGGCTTCCTGTAATTGGCTGGTTGCACTTGTGTAACAATGTGGCTGTTGGAATACACCGAAGTAAAATAAGTGTCTTGATAAAAAAAATGGGCAGGATGACTGGGGCTAGTTGAGCTAACGAAGAGCAAAATTGAGGCAGAGTGTTCAATATTGTTACTTACAACATTAGATTTCGATGCAGTGTGTTTATAATAGAATATAAATATAATAGAATATAAGCTAAGAATAAGATGCCAGTAATTGAGTTATTATATTATCTAACTATAACTATAATCATAGTTAATGATAATCATGATAATAATCATGATAATCATGATTGGTTTACCTAATCACGTGATAAGGTGCCCCCGTTAACTACCCCGTTAAACATTATGGGAATTGTTAAGGGTGCCCAATTAAGGTGTCGTGTCACGGTGTCACATAATCACCCAGTCAATATTGTTAACGAGATACAGAAAATGCTTGATAACTTCGTCATTTCTAATCCGTTTTGCCTCATGTTTTCAGATCATATGCAACATTTGATAATCTACCGTCTCTGAAAAAATTAGGCGTTCAGCATGTTCAGAGAAAACAATATAGGTGTTTTAATATTGAATGGGCGTGGTCTAAAATATTCGAATTTTCAAATTTTGACGACGGAATCCTCGAACCAGTAAGTACAGTATGCCATCTGCAAAGCAACAGCTCTCAAATATAAAACACGGCGGAGCTATTAAGGCCAACGTATGGGTACTGACTTTTGGCCCACCCTGTATATCTAATCGTGAATAAAGTGACTCGACGTCAAACTGTCGAGGGATTACGATCCAAGATTCACCTTCTTTTGTTCATGATCAATTATCCGTATCGATAGTATTAAAAGTCGCCGCATTAACTTGTCTATGTTACTGAAGGAAGTTGGGACAAGTTCTAAAGAGGAACCCTGATGCGGGACAGGGATATATGGAAGGGATTTCGGGCGTATATCGGACTTAGTTCCGACATAGTAGTAGTAATAGTAGTAGTACATTAACTTGCCATATGATACTGTGTTTTCCTGATTTTAAAAAGTAATACTTTCTTTCTGGTGTTTTTAATGTTAAGTTATGAAAAAAGTTTGACCCTAAGTTATGGGCATGTCGACCTTGTCTCATTGTACTTGGTACTGCTGTGTACCGTGCGTCCTTCACAGCAGTCCTACACACTACACGGCAGTACCAAGTACACAAATCAGATGAATAACGGTCGATGGTGCGATAAGGTGCAATATTAGATCAACAGTGCGATTCCGCAGGGATTCCGCACCCACCGCTTGATTAGATTATAAAATTTATGCTTGACAGCTGAGCCATGGTATATGGTAATTGGTAACAGTACGATTAGGAATATGTCATATAAATCGATAATTGAAATCATGTGATCTTTTTTTGAAAAAGGCTTAAATTATGGTCCATAATCTCCGGTATTTACTTCGGCAGCAAAAATTTCTCAAAAAGTCTTCTTTCTGTTGTGTCATACCTGAGAAACGAGTAAATATTTTTTCGGCAGTTGTGGCTCGTTTATAGTTATTGGGTAATAAACGAATACAGTATTAGATTAGCTTAAGGGGGGGGGGCCAATGGATATTTTTTTGTGAAACTTGATTTCGAGATAGCAGTTGACCAACAAACTAAGACCAGTGACCGAACTTTTGAGGGGGTCCCGGACCCCAACCGCCAAACGGTGCCCGCGGGGCAGCCACGCCCATATTTGGTCCAAATTAGGCCCAATTTAGCCAAATACTCTGAACATGCCCAAAACCCAAATTTTAGGTGCTCTACTTGTAGCTAGTGGTCTCCTGAACTCGTATATGAAATTTCATCAAGATTGGACAAAAAATGACTGAGTTATGAGCCAAAAACCATATGCCCATATTTGGGCATACGCACCAAATTTGGTAGATTTCGTCCCATAAATTGGTCAAATATCAATATTTTTCACTGAAACTTACTTTACATGAAAGGTAAGCCTAAACTACATATTCTCTGTAAGTTATAGCTTTATATCTGTTTAAATGTGGATACTAAGGCGAAAAGACCACAAAAAATGAACTAAATTGCCCATATCTTGGTTCGCGATATTCGCAGAATTGATCTCATTAAAATTGTAACAACTCAATCAGTTTTCAAAATTTTTCCATGAAATTTTCGGAATCGACTCGAAATCGCATTTCCACCTTAGTTTGAGAACAGATTTTTGATTAAGGCCTCAAAAAAAATTTGGCGGCCAAATTCTGAATTTCTCCGGGAAAATTTTGGAATTTGGCCGCCAAATTTTTTTGGAGGCCTAAATCAAAAATCTGTTCTCAAACTAAGGTGGAAATGCGATTTCGAGTCGATTCCGAAAATTTCATGGAAAAATTTTGAAAACTGATCGAGTTGTTACAATTTTAATGAGATCAATTCCGCGAATATCGCGAACCAAGATATGGGCAATTTAGTTCATTTTTTGTGGTCTTTTCGCCTTAGTATCCACATTTAAACAGATATAAAGCTATAACTTACAGAGAATATGTAGTTTAGGCTTACCTTTCATATAAAGTAAGTTTCAGTGAAAAATATTGATATTTGACCAATTTATGGGACGAAATCTACCAAATTTGGTGCGTATGCCCAAATATGGGCATATGGTTTTTGGCTCATAACTCAGTCATTTTTTGTCCAATCTTGATGAAATTTCATATACGAGTTCAGGAGACCACTAGCTACAAGTAGAGCACCTAAAATTTGGGTTTTGGGCATGTTCAGGGTATTTGGCTAAATTGGGCCTAATTTGGACCAAATATGGGCGTGGCTGCCCCGCAGGCACCGTTTGGCGGTTAGGGTCCGGGACCCCCTCAAAAGTTCGGTCACTGGTCCTAGTTTGTTGGTCAACTGCTATCTCGAAATCAAGTTTCACAAAAAAATATCCATTGGCCCCCCCCCTTAAACAAGAAAAACCTCGACAAAGTTATATCATCAAATTAAGAAAGTTCGAAGATTTAGGGTTTCGATGTTCACCCAATTCAGATGGTCCACAAAGAGGAGCTAACAGGGTTGAAACTATAAACAAATAAGCATCCTGCAGTACTCACATTGCATCAGTTCTCTGTCTAAGTCTGGACTCCAAAGTGTTAAGCTGAGTCTGAAGGGTGTCGTTGTGTTCGCTTAGTTCATCTGATGTTCTTTGCAGCTTCCGTATCTGATTATTCCGCATATCCACCTGACCAGGTATTACCAGTTAAATTATTATTAATAGACTTATGGGCAACGTGTGGGCTTGGTTTTGAGGTTGAGAAAGCATACAATTTTTGTGAATGCTTAACAACTTTAAGCTACTCGGACACGCGGTAGTTATAACCACAAAAAATGATATTTTGCAAATAATGTTTTAAAATAAATGATCTATACGTAACGTATCATAATACTAATACTATAAGTATAATATAACCAAGATCTAATTATTTCGCTAGACAGAAATTGTGGGAATTGTTAATCAGAAAGAAACTTCCAAAATACTCTTAGTCTAACTATTTTGTTGTCTCTTAAAAATTGATTAAATTTCACAATTCTCAATCCCTGAGAATGGTCCCCTAGTCCAAGCTGGCAACATTTGATTGAATGTTCAGCTACCTATTTTTACCACGTTATTATAAGTTGAGCAATAAAGAGCAGTCCTTGTGACGTAACTGAAAGAAGGATACAAAATTACTACAAATCGTGACCAGATTTTACACAAGGATTACACTACGAATTTACTTGTTAGGATTTGTATTAATGGATCGTTTCCGAAAATGTCCCCTTGACACACCGTGCCGTTTAAAATAAATAGATAGCGTTTAATGTCTTATACATTTTTGAAACTGCACCCTCGCCTTGTTTTTCTCTTTAAGTTTAACATAAAGTTTATTTTAAATATAAATATAGCCTAATCAAATTACAAATTTCAATATAGTATCTTAATCAAGCCTATGATATTATGTTGTAAATATTTAAATATCTTCCATCACCCTCAGACAACCCCAATAAACCCCTCACCACCCTTCCTCATCATTAATTAAATACAAAGTTTTAAACAAGGGACAGTTAAAAACAACGCCCAAGTTTAATCTCCTAAAACAAATAACAAAATGTTAAAACTTCGCGTTATTTTCTGCAAATATCATATATTATAACTTTGTATGAAAAGCATTAATACAGCACTCTAGCTGTATTCTACGTGAAATGGTCAGGTTTCTCGGATACCACCATAGCCCATAATCGAATGCATTATTTGATAATAATTTTATCTAACTCATTGCTCTGAAGCTAACACATCGGTTAAAAGTATAGCCGTGGTCAATCATCAGACATAATTGATTTTAAGGGTTAACCCTATTGTTGTGCTATTATATTTACCCTATTTATAGATTCCGTTTGTCTGGTCAATACGGTGGTATGAGTGGGGAAGTTCTATTCTTTTTATCTGATGTAAATAATAAGAGTAACCATATTTAATTTTAATAACCATATTTAATTTTAATTTATTTGGTTTATTCGTGTATTTCAGCATAGTACATAAAACCCGATTGATGCAATAAATATATCGGCTTGAATTTCGTTAATTTCGGATACGGCCATAATGCTCAAGCATTCATATACAATAATCGGCAAGTTTCCATAAACGATATTTTATGATCGTCGCCGATAATCGCTTATTGAGCGCTTTTTCGGCGCTTTTTAAAAAAAAACCGTTTACAATCGCTTTTTTTACGATTATAAACGGTTCAAAAAAAATCGCTTATAATCGACTATAATTGGTGTCATAATTCAAAAAAGCGCTTTTTTGAATTTAAAAGCGCTTATAAGCGCTTTTAAGCGCTTACTAGCGTCGCTGAGCGATTTGAAAGCGGTTTTCCAGTAGGATTGGCGCCAAAAACGGGTGGATAAGCGGTTGGCCGGATAAGCGATTCGTAGGCGCTTTTTTGAACCATTTATAAGCGATTATAAGCGCTTATAATTGGGGTGCAATTTAGCTGTTTGTAAAGCGCAAATAAAGCGCTTATAAGCGCTTTTAAAATTGAGTCAGGAAAACGCTATATTACATCTTATAACCGCTTATAATCGATTATAAGCGTTTTTTTAGAAATCGCTTATAACGGCTAATTCATCGCTATTTCACCGCTTTTACCGCTTTTCCTATCATCCATGGCCAGGTGAGCAGGAATTAAAAAGCGATTATAAGCGCTTTTTCGATGCTGCCCCTAGCCTGGTCGGAACGGGGTAGTGCCCGGAATTTAAAAGCGCTTATAAGCGATTTCTCAATTCCCCTTAACCTGGTTGGAACTTTCATGTGCTTTTCTGAGCAACCTGGGGTGCACCGGCAGAGTCAGGATTTAAAAGCGCTTATAGGCGCTTATTGCTTATGATCGCTTTTCTACCACTTTTCCTATCACCCATGGCATGGGTTGGCAAGAATTATAAAGCGCTTATAAGCGTTTTTCAATGCTGCCCCTTACCTGGTCGGAACGGGGGAGTGCCCGGAATAAAAAAGCGCTCATAAGCGCTTTTTAAATGCTGCCCCTAACCTGGTCGGAACTGGAAATCAGAGTGCCCGCTTATAAGTGCTTTTCTGAGCAACCTGGGGTGCACCGGCAGTTCACCTAACCATGTGCTTTCGCGCCACTGCGGGCGCGCTTGTTTCACAAGTCAAGAAAGAGGCGGGCGCGCGCTACTGCAAGCGCAAGGGCTCTGGATAGAGCAACACCGGCAGAGTCAGGATTAAAAAGCGCTTATGATCGCTTTTCTACCGCTTTTCCTATCACCCATGGCCTGGTTGGCAAGAATTATAAAGCGCTTATAAGCGTTTTTTCAATGCTGCCCCTAACCTGTTCGGAACGGGGGTGTGCCCGGAATTAAAAAGCGCTTTTAAACGATTTCTCAATTCTCTTCAACCTGGTCGGAACTGGAGAGTGCCCACTTGCATGTGCTTTTCTGAGCAACCTGGGGTGCACCGGCAGAGTCAGGATTTAAAAGCGCTTATAGGCGCTTATGATTGCTTTTCTACCGCTTTTCCCATCACCCATGGCCTGGTTGGCAAGAATTATAAAGCGCTTATAAGCGTTTTTTCAATGCTGCCCCTAACCTGGTCGGAACGGGGGAGTGCCTGGAATTAATAAGCGCTTATAAGCGATTTCTCAATTCCCCTTAACCTGGTCGGAACTAGAAATCAGAGTGCCCGCTTATAAGTGCTTTTCTGTGCAACCTAGGGTGCACCGGCAGAGTCAGGATTTAAAAGCGCTTATAGGCGCTTATGATCGCTTTTCTACCGCTTTTCCCATTACCTAACCATGTGCTTTCGCGCCACTTTGGGCGCGCTTGTTTCACAAGTACGTCGCGTCTTGCTCTATCCAGAGCCCTTGCGCTTGCAGTAGCGCGCGCCCGCCTCACGGCGGTAAAAAGGGCTCTAGCCATGAACCCACCCAACGATTTCGGCACCACTGTACAGTGGTGCCAAAATTACCCGCGCTTTTGTCCTCATATCCGACGCCGCGCGTGTCGTTTTAGTCATTTCACATTTGTTAGCCGCTTTGAATAATTTGTGTTCGACAAATTTCTCGTTGGATAAGATTTGAGATTAATATTATCAAATTTTCAGAAAGCTCAGTTAGTTGTACTGTATTGTTTTTTTACACTGCCGAATGCCCATGATTCTCGAAAACACTCAAACTTTCTATTCTTGTTAAATTCTTTTGTGTTAAATTATAGATACTATACTTTTCTTGACTTGTGAAACAAGCGCGCCCGCAGTGGCGCGAAAGCACATGGTTAGGTGAACGTCGCGTCAAGAAGTGAGTGCGCGCGCTACTGCAAGCGCAAGGGCTCTGGATAGAGCAAATGGCACCCAGCTAGTGAGGCGAAACCCACTGATCTTTCCAAAAAGGTATGACAAATTTGGTATTGTGAAAATTCTCACAGTCTTTAGAAAACAGTGTTACAAAAAAATTTTAAAATCTGAGCAAGTTTATTTTATCGTCCACCCCTAATCCAGAGCCGTTGAGCTTTGATCTAGCCGCCAACCCTCCATCGATTTTGGCAACCATATATTGGTTCCCAAAATTTCCCGCACTTTGCAATTTCTGCAGTAGGGGTAATTAGGTATAAACTACAGTACAGCTGTACTTATATATTATATATTATATAATAATATATATATATTATGTATATATTACAATCACATTCACAAGCATGCAAGCTCACCTGGTCCAATGAGCCTAGCGGGAAACAGAAAACGTTTTAATTAGTTTGTTAAACGAAGTGTCGTACGTCACCTTAAGATCGGGTGACAGGGTGCTTACAATTCGCATTACTGGGCGGCGCTCAGCCAGTCATTCTGCATTCCGCCAAATCTTTATTCGTCCTGAGTGAATTACGACTTTCATCGCCCTAAAAAAGTGCGAATGCTCATTGGACTAGCATTCACGTGATCGTTCAGAACCAATTACAGCCGCGCAAAAGATCACGTGCACGCCAACTACCAATAAAAAAGAAGTGACGTATGCACTACAAGAGCCGCGCGCTGAGTTAGATTGTAAAATCTGATTATTTGATTGTAAAATCGCATAAACACGCCTATTTGCGCGTTTTAGAGGGTTTAATTACGCCAGGCTATGCTTATGAACATACTAGCTTGGGGTCACCTGGTAAAATTCGCGCCACTTGTTTCACAAGTAAAGAAAAGCATCAAGTCGCCTTCGTGCGCGCGCCCGCAGTGTTCATGTTGCCACGCGCGACACCCAATATAAAATTGCTTAGATCCGTGCCCAGGCTGCAAGCATTTTTTCGCACAAGTACCGCCTCTGTGTCACCGGGAGGTGGGGCGCCACTGCAAGCGTAAAAACCCGGGTACTTAAACATTAAAGAAATCCGATTATTTAGAGAGTCAATGTTAACGCGCGCCGTATTTGTGCAACTTAGAATTTTTTAGCGCTAATTTCGGCCAGCACAATTTTCTTCAAACAAATAGATATTAAGTATCCTTCCCGACCTCCGATTGCAACAAAAATTGGTAAGCTTACTCATAGACTTACAAGGAAAGTGTCCGAAAAGTTTAAAGCATATCCAACTATCAGACATTATGTTACAGCTAAAAGCAGCGTATTTTGCCCCATTTTTATCACTATATCAACTCCAATATCCACCACATTTTTCGGACAGTTGTGAAAGCCCTATTGGAAGGTCGTCGCCAATTTTCAGAATGATCTCATTCAAGGAACTGAAGATATATCCAAATAATACGACAAAAATCAACGAATTTGGTCAAATTTGGTCAAATTACGCAACTTTTACAGCTAATTTTGCTCCAAAAGCCGCGCACCATCAAATATGGCACCTAGGCGAAACTCACTGATCTTTCCAAAAGGGTATGACAAATTTGGTATGGTGAAAATTCTCACAGTCTCTAGAAAACAATGGTACACAAAATTTTAAAATCCGAGCAAGTTTATTTTTATGGTGCACCCCCTAATAAGCGGGCACTCTGATTTCCAGTTCCGACGTACCAGGTTAGGGGCAGCATTTAAAAAGCGCCTCTGAGCGCTTTTTAATTCCGGGCACTCCCCCGTTCCGACCAGGTTAGTGGCAGCATTGAAAAAGCGCTTATAAGCGCTTTCTAATTCTTGCCAACCAGGCCATGGGTGATAGGAAAAGCGGTAGAAAAGCGATCATAAGCGCTTTTAAATCCTGATTCTGCCGGTGACCCCAGGTTGCACAGAAAAGCACTTATGGGCAATTCCACCGTGACGGACACCACGATTATGCCATTTTTTAAAGTTCAAACGAATTTTGTGCTCAGGATGTTGCTTCTTTATCAGCTTAAACTATTTATTAGTCCACATTTAACCTTTCTATAGGTTGTGTGAAAATTTCAGACCCCTACCATTATTACTTTCTGAGATAGCACCCCTGTGACGGACGCGACTTGAATATGACACTTTTTTTGGGTGTCTACTCAGAAGGTACCCGAATCTATCTCAAAACGTTTTCTATTATCTCTAATTTGGACATGCAGTGATAGAAAAAGGTTTAGGGATTTCTGAGATACCATTTTTTTGGAGATTGCTCAGTTTTTGTTTGCGTGGCGCCATTTTCAAATTGTGACGGACGTGACTGTGACGGACACACGTTTTTTAAAAATTTCTCCAAATCTTCTATTTGACACTTTTATCTTGTTCAGTGACCTTCATTCTATGTTCATGCCAATTTTTAGGCCGCAAGTACTTCCACGAGGTCTGCAATAGCCAAAATCGTCCATTTTGGGCATACGCGAGGGTATCAATCTAGGGGCAGCAATTATTTCTCTACTTGAACAAATTTATAACTCTGGTAAAACATTCATCTCTGTTCAACACATCACACTGTTGAGACCATCTCCCAAAAGTTTCATTACTTTAGTGTTTAAAATGTGGAAGATATTGAATTTTTACTTCAAAAATATGCGAAAATAGGGTAAAGTCCATTTTTTGTGCCTTTTACCCCTGAAAAAGGTTAAGGCAAATAAAATGGCAAAACTCAGTAAATTCAATTATTGAATTGCATATGATGTTATTTGATAGTCTAGTCAACATAGTCAAACCTTATTTGACTTCAATTTGTCCTGGTTTTAGTCAAAATAGTGGAAATATGGATAAAAATGGCTATAAGTGAGCCGTACGCCCATATATGGGCATATACAAAATTATACACAACTCAGTCATTTTCTGTCCAATTTTCGATTTGACAACACCGTTTTGTTAAGGACGGTATCAGCTTTAACAAAACTGCATTTAAAGTCTGTTAAAAGATCTTTTGGAGCATTTTCAAAAAATGTGACGGACGCGACAAGTTGGGACCCCCCTTCCAAAATTTTTATCTTAAAAGATACAAGCCAGATAATTTTTACGGTACTCCCTTACCTTCAGAAGAGATAGGTTACAGTGGTTTTTTGAATATAAATAGCACTATGTGGCTCTGAAAAAACTTTTTTGCTTAATTTTGTGACGGACGCGACACCATCTTTGTGGAAATTTTTTAGAAAAAGTATTTGAGTAACGGTTTTGAAACTTTGCATAGCTCTCATTCTTATGCCTATGCTTAAGTGTATGAAATTTCATAGAGAAATATTGCTGCATACCCAAACTATGGCCCTTTGAAAATTTGAATGATTTTTGTCATTTCCGAGTAGTGTTCCTTTGAATGAGAAAAATCAAAAGTTAATGCAATATGAAACAAAAATCTTTTGTTGACCTGTAAGGTTAAGAGTCTAATGAACATATTTTAACCAAAATTAGGTGCCTATCTTTACATTTTTCATTTTCACCAAGTGGAACCTTACCGTGGAATTGCCCTTATAACTATAAGCGGGCACTCTGATTTCCAGTTCCGACGTACCAGGTTAGGGGCAGCATTTAAAAAGCGCCTCTGAGCGCTTTTTAATTCCGGGCACTCCCCCGTTCCGACCAGGTTAGTGGCAGCATTGAAAAAGCGCTTATAAGCGCTTTCTAATTCTTGCCGACCAGGCCATGGGTGATAGGAAAAGCGGTAGAAAAACGATCATAAGCGCTTTCAATTCCGGGCACACCCCTGTTCCGAACAGGTTAGGGGCAGCATTGAAAAAACGCTTATAAGCGCTTTATAATTCTTGCCAACCAGGCCATGGGTGATAGAAAAAGCGGTAGAAAAGCGATCATAAGCGCCTATAAGCGCTTTTAAATCCTGACTCTGCCGGTGCACCCCAGGTTGCTCAGAAAAGCACATGCAAGTTCCGACCAGGTTAAGGGGAATTGAGAAATCGCTTATAAGCGCTTTTTAATTCCGGGCACTCCCCCGTTCCGACCAGGTTAGTGGCAGCATTGAAAAAGCGCTTATAAACGCTTTTTAATTCCGGGCACACCCCTGTTCCGAACAGGTTAGGGGCAGCATTGAAAAAAAGCTTATAAGCGCTTTATAATTCTTGCCAACCAGGCCATGGGTGATAGAAAAAGCGGTAGAAAAGCGATCATAAGCGCCCATAAGCGCTTTTAAATCCTGACTCTGCCGGTGCACCCCAGGTTGCTCAGAAAAGCACATGAAAGTTCCAACCAGGTTAAGGGGAATTGAGAAATCGCTTATAAGCGCTTTTAAATTCCGGGCACTACCCCGTTCCGACCAGGCTAGGGGCAGCATCGAAAAAGCGCTTATAAGCGCTTTTTAATTCCTGCTCACCTGGCCATGGATGATAGGAAAAGCGGTAAAAGCGGTGAAATAGCGATGAATTAGCCGTTATAAGCGATTTCTAAAAAAAACGCTTATAATCGATTATAAGCGGTTATAAGATGTAATATAGCGTTTTCCTGACTCAATTTTAAAAGCGCTTATAAGCGCTTTATTTGCGCTTTACAAACAGCTAAATTGCACCCCAATTATAAGCGCTTATAATCGCTTATAAATGGTTCAAAAAAGCGCCTACGAATCGCTTATCCGGCCAACCGCTTATCCACCCGTTTTTGGCGCCAATCCTACTGGAAAACCGCTTTCAAATCGCTCAGCGACGCTAGTAAGCGCTTAAAAGCGCTTATAAGCGCTTTTAAATTCAAAAAAGCGCTTTTTTGAATTATGACACCAATTATAGTCGATTATAAGCGATTTTTTTTGAACCGTTTATAATCGTAAAAAAAGCGATTGTAAACGGTTTTTTTTTTAAAAAGCGCCGAAAAAGCGCTCAATAAGCGATTATCGGCGACGATCATAAAATATCGTTTATGGAAACTTGCCCAATAATCCTTTGTTTTGAAGTATATTTTTTGTAAGAGATTGTGTCTTCTGTCTACTGCCTAAAATCATTAATACATTTGGCTGGATTATCAAGAAGTCTAAATGTTAGCTCTTTATTCTGACATTTAGACTTTCAATCGAATATTCATTAATCGAATATTCATTAATATTCGTCTTTCCTAGATTAAAGAGCTAACATTCAGGACTATTCATCTGGAGTGACACGTTTTGAAAAAGAACTGTTTAGTCCAGTAGAGGAGGTTTTTAGGTGAGTTAGTTTAAAAACAGAGAAAATCTTATAATCTTATATTTATAGATTCCGTTTGTGTGGTCAATACGGTGGTATGAGTGGGGAAGTTCTATTCTTTTTATCTGATGTAAATAATAAGAGTAACCATATTTAATTTTAATAACCATATTTAATTTTAATTTATTTGGTTTATTCGTGTATTTCAGCATAGTACATAAAACCCGATTGATGCAATAAATATATCAGCTTGAATTTCGTTAATTTCGGATACGGCCATAATGCTCAAGCATTCATATACAATAATCCTTTGTTTTGAAGTATATTTTTTGTAAGAGATTGTGTCTTCTGTCTACTGCCTAAAATCATTAATACATTTGGCTGGATTATCAAGAAGTCTAAATGTTAGCTCTTTATTCTGACATTTAGACTTTCAATCGAATATTCATTAATCGAATATTCATTAATATTCGTCTTTCCTAGATTAAAGAGCTAACATTCAGGACTATTCATCTGGAGTGACACGTTTTGAAAAAGAACTGTTTAGTCCAGTAGAGGAGGTTTTTAGGTGAGTTAGTTTAAAAACAGAGAAAATCTTATAATCTTATAATCGGAGCTTTTATTGAAGAAGAACTAAACTGAACTATCGTCCAGGCTTGTAATAAATGTAAAGGTCTGAGGAGGTAATAACTTGTGTTGTGCTAGTAATGGCTAAAGCAATCTACTTTACTTAAAGGCAGTATTACCTTTATATATTTATCGATTAGTCATTTGAATTTGTTAGCCTCATCAAAACTATCGAACTATTATTATAGTATGCCTTTTATTTCTTGGAAATTGAGGTTAACATATTTTCTCAATAATTTAATCTTTTGGCTACCACTTTTAAAACCCAACTTCTCCTACAACGATTTAAAAAAATTTGATTCTCACTCTTTTTAAGAGGTGAACTGTTTACAGTTTCATGATGTGCACTCATGGTTAACCTCATATCTCAGTTTTGGAGTCAAAAATCAAAAATCGCTACATATTTCTTTTGGACAATACCTTGACGAACACTGGTGCTAAGTTACAAGTTCTCAAGTCGTAAACTGTAAAAAAATATAATAAAAAATATATAAAAAAATAGACGTTACTAAAGTTAGAGTTTAGACAGCATGTTATGATGATTTAATGACTAATAAATAATCTCCAAATACCTCATCTTCCCGCTGAGCGAGTTCCTTTTTGAGATCCTCGACCCTCTTCCTCAAGTTGTAAACCTCGTCCTCTATTACCTCCAACCTCTTCTGGCAGTGATCCAACTCTCCCGTCTGGAATAGAAAGCATCATTATAGTCCCATTAGTTGAGTTCTTAATAGCATCTAAATGATGTTCCTGTCTTATAATAATGGCAGATCCATTTAATTGAACACAAATTGAACTGTACACCTGAGAGTATGTGGTTAATATTCATGAAATGTCTGTGGTAAGATCGCCGGACGTTAGACTTAGAGAGATAATTGTCCAGCTTGGATACGTTTGCAATAGTTAAACTGCAGTTTCACCAGATACCAGCTACCAGGTCTACCGGTCAACCTGTATTTTTATCGCTGTTATTATAAATAGAGTGTGAGTAATTCACAAAATGAGGGTGCGATGTCTGACCATAAGATATATATTATATATATATATATTATGTTATATGTATTTATTATATACTCGCTTAACATGAGGCGCATATCACGACTTAGGACTAGTTTGAGGTTTGGATCACAGTTCACATTAGCACCCTGGTGTATACTGCAGACCCTGAATAGCACCGAAAAGGTGTTTTTCCTTTCTCGTAATGCCACTAAGCATCAGCAGGTATATAGTAGGTAAAACAAAGGAGGTCAACTTGGCCATGGTTCAAGCATTTAAATTCTATTTGCGTTGAGATTTTGGCCGTAAAACTTCATTACCGCCCCTTGAGCAAATATATAAAGATATTTAAATTCTAATTTTGCCCGCGAACTTATGATCAAGTTTTGTAACGGATCATCAAGCTGATAATATACATTTATAACACAAAATACTTTTCCTTAACTTTCGCAATTGCGCGATATCCCTCGCACGATGTTGGGGAATTATCTCGCACACCTCTCATTGGTAAATGTATTAGGTATATTAGCGCTCCAACTGATAGTAAGTAACTGATAATCACTAGTATATAGGATCGGAGCCGACAAGCAGGAGCTATGTTAACAGCTGCTACAAGGGTTAAATTGCTGGAGTTGTTCTAGAAAACACCCAGTATCCTCATATTGTGCTGTTCTACAATTGTTTGTTTGTTTGTTCACAAAGCTCTCGCGAAGTCGTTAGACACTGTGTCTTAAGTCTTTCTTTGAGTTTGCCTATCCCTGTTTAAACTATGGAGAAATAAAAGTGACTTTTACAATTTTACACTTTTATCACTTTTTGTCAACGAGGGTCAACACAACTCCCTCCCTTTTTTGGTTCAATTTAGTTGTCGCCCATCCCCAACATTATCTTTTAGTATATGCAATTATGTACCAGGTATAATGAATAGCTACGACATACATGATAATACATTCCTGTTAGGGTCCGTTTATGTAAATTAACACTATTGTAACATGGTAACATGGTGAAATAATTGAAACTTTTAACCAGTAGTTACCTTTTCAGACAGCTGCTTCTTAACTCGGGTGTGAGCAGTTTTTAGCATCTCCAGCTCCTGTAATTTAGAATATATAATGAACATTTGAGAAGTTCCTTTTGTTGAAATATTCATATAAAACTTAATAGGAAATTGATATTAACATCCTTTTCACGAGGTCATTTGCAAATCAAATACTTAAAGATTAAAAGTTCAGTATAAGAGTGTGTAGACTAGTGATTGGGCACTGAAAACGAGCTCGATAGTAAAACAGCTGGCATGTTTATTGTTTAATAAGAGTCCACCTCCAATAATACAAGTCCTTTATCTAGGCCCTTTAGTTATAGAACTGGTAATATCCATCCTAACATATTATATCAGTTATAATTATCAGTTTATATCAGTTGCAACCAAAGTTTTCGTACCTTGTTCCTTTCGTAGATGTCAGCTTGCAAGGTTTTGTATTCTGGGGACGCCAACGGGTTCGTGTTCCTCCGAGCGATCGTTTCTTCAGCTTCCTAAAATAAAACAGTTATATCTTCTCTTCGCTAATTAAAGTAGACTTCTATCTAGAGCACCATGGAGCGGATAATAATCATGAAGTGTCGGAAGCATGCACCATGCAGATCCCTGGACTATCAGAGCTTATCGGGTGATGATAATTGCTATGCTATGTCGGTGAATAAATTTGTTGGCAAATGACATATTGTCCAGCTGCCTGAGTCCCTATTTCTCCAATGTACCGCGTATTATTTTATATAGCTCCGTATCTCTGTAGTTTGAATAAAGATTTTGTGCCTGAATCTGTCTTTTCACCATTTCACGTTGGTACGAGTGGCGAATGACAAGTATTATGCTATACCTATTGAGGTAAAGTAAAGGGAAGTGAGCTGAGCCAGATAGCAATTCGTTAATAGTTAGATTTAAACAACTGAGCCTCATAAGTCTGAGTATTTCTTTTCATTATTAAGCCAAGTAACAAGACTGCAGATACTCATCTTCAGTATTGCACAACAACTCTCCCGGCCGTTGTCTGCAAGGCAATACTTAGTGGGTAGATACGATGCTATACTGCGTACACACAACGCAAAAGTTAAAACGTGACCCGGGAATAGGAAACAGATATTGTCTTGTAATCTGGTTTACCTTTATCAGACATTTTTCTGCGAGTAAAATTGCCTGTTGCTTTGGAAGCGGAGCTAGTTATTCATATCGACCACGTGTTGATACGATGTCTACAAAGCAATATGATGACTGATGAGTGTAGATGTGATGCTGTAGAAAATTACCCGGGAATTTTATAGATATTATCACAGACTTGTTCACCAGTTTACCTTCGTTATAAGCATTTCTCTTAGAATAAAATAATCTTATGTTTAGAAAGCAGAGGTTTTCACATCGCCACCAACCGTAAGATCGGTTATTTAACCTAGGTCTAGGTCCCAGTGCAGGGCGGCCGTCATTTGAAGACTAATAAATTACCGTAAGGAAGAGCAAGCTTAGTCATGTTTGTAGGATGGTATTAATTTTGCCAAAGATTTTTTTCCCTGCTCTTGCCGAAGGCAAAAAGATCGTAGGGAATAAGTAATCGGGTTTGGATATATGAGGTGGCCCGACGGTCCTACGTTGACGACAAAAGTCTGCTCCTTCGTAATATAGACCACTAACCTATAATTATGTGTATAGGAAGCATCTGTTATGCTGCGCGCGATGCTAGCCATGTGTTAATTAATTACAGTTACATTACAGTGAAGTTCCTCCTTCGCAAAGTTATTTTCCACAATTTTCTGGATTCATTTATTGTTGATGCGCGGCGCTACATTGGTCAAATAAATCGTCATTTTTTACCATGCACGTATCCCACTCATTTATAAAAAACATAGTGTGTAAATATGTTGCACTTTTTTTCCAGTCACACTTTTCACTCAAAAGAATTAATGGTACAAGTACATCGTAGGGCCGGGAAAATTGATCGTGCGTGGTTTAACCCAGGGGTCGACCGAGGGCAGGATTTTCGACCGAGGCCGAGGAAAATACAGTTAGTTAAGACCGAGGCCGAGGACAACCGAGGTTTCTTTTTTTTACCGAGGCCGAGGCCGAGGCCGAGGAGTGCAAATTTTGACCGAGGCCGAGGAATTTTGGCAGAAAAATTGTTGGGAAAAAGGGCATTGTTTATTAGGAAAAGCGCACTGTACCTAATCAGATTGTACTGTGTACTATACTGTGTACACACGTTAGACTCTCGAGTTGATTTATCATTTCAACCATTAGTTTACTGGAAAGCTAATAAGCAGAGCTATCCGAACCTTGCTGAGTGTTCAAGGAAATATCTATCTGCGCCGGCGAGCTCAGCAGCACCAGAGATATTGTTTTCTACAGCAGGGCACATCCTGAAGTTAAATCGCCTCAGCCTTAAGCCAACAAACTTTGAGGGGTGCTTGTTTCTCAAAAAGAACATCGGAACATTTGGGGACGACTTCGGCCCCTGTCCAAATGAATTTGAAGCCCCAAATAAAGAGGACTGTCCCCCTTCTGAGCTGTGCACAGAAGATTATTCTGATTCAGAGTGCTCAGATATTGTCATTTCATCAGACGATGAATCTTAGACTATGATATTTTTAGTTTTGTGTCCTGGTCAATTGGTCGTTTTATTTTCAATTTTACAAATTCGTTTATATTAACCTCTGTAAGTCTGTAGGAAAATTCCCAAAATTTCAACAAAAATCCTCGGTCAAATCCTCGGTAAAATCGTCAAATTTCGCCGAGGCCGAGGAATTTCGAATCTATTTTTGACCGAGGCCGAGGCGAACCGAGGAATTGTCCTCCTGACCGAGGCCGAGGAAATATCGCCATTCCTCGGTAAAACCGAGGCCGAGGCCGAGGACTCGGTCGACCCTTGGTTTAACCGCGGCGAAATTCTTGTTTGATGCAGAGTTTGGTGTTTCATTTTGGGGTTTTGTTAATAAGGAGTCGTTCACATAATATTTTTACCCCCCCCCTCCGTAATCAGTTTTACACATAGCTATTGTGTAAAAATTACACTAGCGTAATCATTCGAACCCCCCCCCCCCACCCTCAGCTGATTACGTAATAATGAATAATATGTGAACGACCCCATATCCCGTTGTCTGGAGTCTTCTCGACTCACGTCACATTTAAGGCCTTCAGTTGTATTTTTATTTTGAATGACTATATCGATCATATCTACTGATATGACATCGTTTCATGTATATTTTCCTTTTCATCATTTGATTGGAAATATTCGAATTGCCACATGGCGCTAAAGTAACAGCTAGCTAAGCTATACTTACTAAATTTGATTATTATATTAAATTTAAGCATGCGAACGCGCGCACTTTTCTACAAAAAGGACCCCGCGTTCGCCAACAACAGTACCACGTTTTTATCAATTGAGTGACGCGATGTGGGAATAATTGTAATATTGAATATTCTCAGCCTTGCTAGACCTTGCTAGACCAGTGCAGAGATGGATCATATTATACCGAAAATAGGGAAAATAAATTTAGAAGTGCAAATGGAATGAATTATGAACTAGATTATGACACCCTGCTAAATGGGGTCATTATAACACAGAATTATAGCACTAGATTAACTGACGAAGTATTAATAACCTGAATTTGTAGTTTAAGATTCTTGTTTTCTCGCTCCAGTGAACTTTTTTCTGTCTCTATCCGTTCTCGTTTGGCCCACTCTGTAGCGTTCTCGGCTTGCAGGCGTTGTATCTTTGGGAAGATATGCAGATGATACAACAGTCCGACTTTGAGGGTCGTGAAGACGCGTGCCTTAACGAATACCTGACAAGAACTACCTCATTTAGGGGCTTTGTTGGCACACACATAAGTGAAAGTGAAAGTGAAACTCTTTTACTCACGTCAGCTCGCATGTCCTTGATTTTGCGGTCCGATTCTGCGTGGCTCTCGTTTTCACCCTCTATTTCCAGGCTCAGCCGAGCTAGTTTGTCTCCTGATTCAAGCTGTATCCTAGACACCTGACAGGAGGATGTGTTAGGAGTTTGAGTTTATTGCTTACTGATCAATCATAATCACAACATTGATGTGTTCAATGAAAGTCAATGACTTTAGCCGATGAAATCACGTGAAATTCTTCTGAGACATGAGCACATCGAATGGCAACATACAAAAGGGGGTGTTGCAACTTTCTTCCAAAAGGAACAATAATTAAAAATCATGATATTTACAGAAAAAATTAAGAAATAAATAGTTTTATTGGGGTATTCACAATATCGATCGAGTGACCGCATCAAATATTCAAAACTATTTAATTGTTACACATAACTATTCACATTATGCAGTGTATACACACATAACTACTCATACATTGTGATCTAATAATTCAATCCCGCTTATGTGAAAGGGTGTGTTATGATATTGGATATAGCAGTAACATAACATCTACAATTATTAAACTTTATCCTCTAACTCACACTGAGCAAAGTGCCCCTGATTTTCTGTTTATTTCGTCCAACCCCTATTTTTATAACAACGCATTTATTCGTTGCTATGAACTAGATGGAAACAAAGGGTAAGGAAGAATGTGACCCAAAACGCCACCCAGAGCACAGAATCTCATAATACCCAGAATATAATTTAGACGTAGAACTGGGAGATTGAATAATTGAACTACATATATCTTGATAGTTGTCATGGTTTTGTTGTGGCGATTAGTGCGAGCAGCGAGAGGCTGACAATAAGGAACCCTGATGTCTCACTGTAGTTCTAAACTAGCTGCGAAGTCTCTAGACTAATCTCTAAGCGCAAAAGTAGGTATTCTACAGCACTTGCAGTATATCATATGAGTGTGATAAGATGACAAAGGAAATTTATTAAAGGGCTCGAACTACTGTACCTCGTATAATAAGTAGTTCTCGCCTAGCAACCTCATTAATTAATATAATGCTTTACACCGCTTTCTCATCAGCCCTTCCTTGTCATCTTATGCTTTTGAGAACGTTACCATCCAAATATTTCGGTCCCAATTTTGGTCGCGAGTAGGGGAGGAGAGTTGGACATTATGGTGGAGGGAGGCAAGGCAGAGTTGGACATTATGGTGGAGGGAGGCAAGGCAGAGTTGGACATTATGGTGGAGGGAGGCAGAAGACAGTACAAACAACAGCTCACTGACTTACCCATCATACTTCTTCAAACTAGTGATATAAAACAAATATTGAACGAACATATTTTCACCTATTGTAAAAATAAGTGTTTTGGCGAGGAGGAACGTTTCACATTTTAACGTCAGCAAGATTTTGTTTTTTTTGACCCCTACCTCTTCTTTCGGCGAGTTTACAAAATACGTCTATTGTTTATTGTACGAAAATTGTATCAGCATCAGCATTTCGGTCAATTTCGAAACCCCCGCTGACGTAATATGTGATCCCTCCCTAGGTCTTAGCTCTTTGATGTGCATTGTGTCCTCCGCCCTCGTGTCCTATACCCCAAACCCCATATATACATGAGGGATAATAATGTACAGTTTATTTGTCAATATTTAAACTTTACTTATTTTACAGACGTTGATATGCTGGTTGTTTCTCAATGAAAATTGTTCTCTCTAGTTCATAATGAAAAATAAAATAAAAAACACTATGGGCACTAATGTGAACTTGTCATGTGATTCTGCCATACTGTCTACCTCCGTATAAACTACCAGTGTCCTGTACCCGAATGGGTATGCTCACAGCACTGCATCCCCTTGCATTACAGGCATGTTAAATAGCATTAACACACCTGACGCCATTACCTTCCAATTTTCCCAGTGCATTAGTTTCACATGCTGTTAAAAGCACTGACGTTCCACACTCACTTCAACCAGCAACTGTTTCAATTACATGACGAATTGTTGTGGCTCTGTTTTCATTTTATCAGTTAAAATGGTTAAAATGGCGGATTGTCACTATTTCCACGCCATTTTTAATGTTTTTGGTAGTTTTCTAATGTGTTGTTGTTTACACGTGGAATATCAGCTATGTTGCTTGATCCATGATTCACATCATTATAATATAATTATAACAGACCCCCTACCTCAACTATCAATGAATTTACACAATACACATAGCTATTGTGTGAAAATTATATCAGCATGTCGATCAATTTCTAAACCCCCGCTAGGATGCTGACGTAATAATATATATGTGATCCCTCACTGCCTATATCTTAGCTCTTTGATGTTCATTGTCCCAACACTTAGTACACCTTGTGTACGATTGTAACAAGCAAAATAGCACGTACAAATCACAAACAGCACGTGCAAATCACAAACAGCACGTGCAAATCACAAACAGCACGTGCAAATCACAAACAGCACGTGCAAATCACAAACAGCACGTGCAAATCACAAATATCATGTGCCACTTGTAGCCCTAACTCACATTCCACACATTCAAAACACACATGACTTACTCACTATTTCTAGCGGATGGCATGCGAGTGGGAGGAGTACGAAAGTAGACTCAACCAACTCGGTTATGCGGAGTACGATAACGAAACACTGATCAGCGCACGTGTACACAACTTTGCAGAACTCAAGACTCTGAACACTGTTGTGGCACTTGTGGAAATAGGTAGGAAACTTTTATCACCAAAATTAGTTGCAACATATTTTCATCAAGCACATAATATCATCATGTTATGTTCTACCTTCGCTATTAAACGTTTAAAAAACAATCCGAGATTCTCACTTTCGCACATGCTGACAGTAACAAATGAACGTGTGTTTAAAAGTTGTAGTTTTAAAACCTCATCCACTCTCTCTAGGTATGGGTATAAGCTGTGTTATTTGTAACATATTAGTGTTACAACACTACGTACAGCGGCTTAAAGAACTCACCCCCCTCCTCTACTCAGCAGTCCTCATTGTAGATCTTATTGCAGGTATTGATCAGGGGGAGCAGGTGTAGGTATAACTATCCTGCCCTTTCTGGGTAACTATGTGTAGAATTTAACACCTTAAGGCCCCTTTATGCGGGGTCCTTGATCAGTTTAACTGATTGCGAGCAGCTTGCAAACGTGCTCACGGCGTGTCAAATGAAACGTGTTCCCCAGGAGATTTCTCATTAAAACAGTGGATATTTATATTTTAATATAATGGCATTGCGACACCCAGTACTATCGCAGGATTTAATGCACTCGAAAAGTTCACAATATACATACAAATTACTCCTTGCGAGTGTTCCCAGTGCTATTATATTGATTAAAGCTCACTTTAGCTCTGTAGCTCTTTACAGCTGCAGTGTGCCATGCCACATGTGGGCAAAATAACAGTGGGAGATTTCAATAATAGTGGGAGATTACACTAATAGTGGGAGATTACACTAATAGTGGGAGATTACACTAATTGTGGGAGATTACACTGATAGTGGGAGATTACAATAATAGTGGGAGATTACACTAATAGTGGGAGATTACACTAATAGTGGGAGATTACACTAATAGTGGGAGATTACACTGATAGTGGGAGATTACAATAATAGTGGGAGATTACACTGATAGTGGGAGATTACACTAATAGTGGGAGATTACACTAATAGTGGGAGATTACACTAATAGTGGGAGATTACACTAATAGTGGGAGATTACACTAATAGTGGGAGATTACACTAATAGTGGGAGATTACACTGATAGTGGGAGATTACAATAATAGTGGGAGATTACACTGATAGTGGGAGATTACACTAATAGTGGGAGATTACACTGATAGTGGGAGATTACACTGATAGTGGGAGATTACAATAATAGTGGGAGATTACACTGATAGTGGGAGATTACACTAATAGTGGGAGATTACACTAATAGTGGGAGATTACAATAATAGTGGGAGATTACACTAATAGTGGGAGATTACACTAATAGTGGGAGATTACACTAATAGTGGGAGATTACACTGATAGTGGGAGATTACAATAATAGTGGGAGATTACACTGATAGTGGGAGATTACACTAATAGTGGGAGATTACACTGATAGTGGGAGATTACACTGATAGTGGGAGATTACACTAATAGTGGGAGATTACACTAATAGTGGGAGATTACACTAATAGTGGGAGATTACACTGATAGTGGGAGATTACACTAATAGTGGGAGATTACACTAATAGTGGGAGATTACACTGATAGTGGGAGATTACACTAATAGTGGGAGATTACACTAATAGTGGGAGATTACACTGATAGTGGGAGATTACACTAATAGTGGGAGATTACACTGATAGTGGGAGATTACACTAATAGTGGGAGATTACACTAATAGTGGGAGATTACACTAATAGTGGGAGATTACAATAATAGTGGGAGATTACACTAATAGTGGGAGATTACACTAATAGTGGGAGATTACACTAATAGTGGGAGATTACACTAATAGTGGGAGATTACACTAATAGTGGGAGATTACACTAATAGTGGGAGATTACACTGATAGTGGGAGATTACAATAATAGTGGGAGATTACACTAATAGTGGGAGATTACACTAATAGTGGGAGATTACACTAATAGTGGGAGATTACACTAATAGTGGGAGATTACACTAATAGTGGGAGATTACACTAATAGTGAGAGATTACACTAATAGTGGGAGATTACAATAATAGTGAGAGATTACACTAATAGTGGGAGATTACAATAATAGTGGGAGATTACAATAATAGTGAGAGATTACACTAATAGTGGGAGATTACACTAATAGTGGGAGATTACACTGATAGTGGGAGATTACAATAATAGTGGGAGATTACAATAATAGTGGGAGATTACACTGATAGTGGGAGATTACAATAATAGTGAGAGATTACACTAATAGTGGGAGATTACAATAATAGTGGGAGATTACAATAATAGTGAGAGATTACAATAATAGTGGGAGATTACAATAATAGTGGGAGATTACACTGATAGTGGGAGATTACACTAATAGTGGGAGATTACAATAATAGTGGGAGATTACACTAATAGTGGGAGATTACACTAATAGTGGGAGATTACAATAATAGTGAGAGATTACGTGCTCGTGTTTGGGAGATATGTATTTCTATAATCTCGTCCAGTCGCTAATCTCTTAAGATACCAGACTACTATCTCTTAAGATACCAGACTACTAGTACTAAGACAGCGACATGATATCTCCAAACTTAAGCACCTATATTTAGAGGAAGAATTATCACTGAAATTTGAATATGCTGCAGTATCACGAGCTCACGAGGCTTTTATGCTGTTTGAATATCATAATACTCAACATAACTAGATAACAAATAACAATGACCTCGTACGTCAACATTTACCGTTAGTTAAGTATATTTTACCATCGTAATGATCAGCTAAGTGTATAGTTATTATGAGAAAGCATACAGCATTTTGCATTCCTTGACCTACTGAAAAGAGTGAACAGTAATGATAATAACTAGATAACAGGCAGGTAACGAACTGTGACTATTTTCAAGATAAATCCTTTTGTATTAACTAATGCAAATGTAAAGGTATTTTTATAGAATTCCAAAACTTAGTTTTCTCGACCACAGAAAACAAAAGAGTTATGCAAACACTACATTTTTAACTCCCTCAACTCAACTTCTCACATATAACCACCCAGGTATAGGATCACTGCTACAAGGGCTGACCCTCCTTCTCCTATCCTACACATCCTACACCTCATCCTACTTCTGGTACCTGGCTCCTATCACCTACACCCTCAACAGTCTCGCCTCCCACACTTCCGTCTTCTACTCCACTGTGCTGGTCACTGCCCGGACTATCATGATAACCAGACCCCGCACAGCTAGACAAGTCTCCCCGGTTCTAGTAGCCCTACTGGTGGGGTACCCTGCACTGTGGCTGGGAGTCATACTCTGGGAGGTGTGGATAGAGTGTGTCTACTGGGAGGAGAACACTCTAGAAATGATAATAGACTTGTTCGTGATAATACCCACCACCCTAGGCTCCCTGGACTACTATCTAGGCTACATCTGGACTTGTGAGCCCATAACTCCCGCCACCTCCAGCATCCTCTCTCACGTCATACCATTCGGGGTACCCTCTTTAGTATCAGGCAGTGGTAACAGCAGCTCAGGTCCTGATCCTGACACATGTAAACAGGTTCAGTGCTAAATACCGGAGAGTCACAGTCACTATCCTGATCTTAACAGCTGTGTTCCTGGTGTGTAACACGACCCAGGTACTGACTGTAGTCACTATAGACTCTCTCCAGTTGGAGTATACTACAGGCAGATACTACTGTCACTACCTGGTAGCTACCATGTTACCAGTACTAAACTCTCTGCTTAACCCTGTAGTGTTACTGGTTAGGGGCAGTGTTTTTAGCAGGCAGGACCGCAGTAGGGGTCGCTCTAATACTTTCTCTATGGGCCCTAAAGTAGCGGCTCAGAGCTAAATTGCTCATGTTTCTAGGGTAATGGGGGAGGGGAGGTTTATATATTCATCTAAACTAAATAAGGTCTTCATTTGTCCCTTTTTTATTTATTTTTGAGAAGATTTTGACCATATGTAACGTGTTAGTACTTACTACCGAAAAATGTAAAAGAGACATTTCTTAAATTATCTGAACTGATTTGTTGAACCGAATTCAAAACATTTGTATCTTTGTTATTATTTGTTCTCAGTTAGTTATGCATGAATTACACAAAAGGACACACGATCGGAATTCACAACTCACATATTCAACATAAATGACTGGAGTGTAACAGATATATAATAAGAGATTGATATTGAGACACGTACAATACATTACACAATCCATCAGATTAATCGGAGAGCACTGCCCCGACACTATATCAGAAGAATCTGAAGAATCAAGGGGGCTCTTACCTCTTCTAGTGCTTCAGTCCTCTGCCGTTTATACTCCTCCATTTTCTTCTTCAGCACTGAGTTCTCTTTGTTGTATAGCTCAGCTGACTGGCTTAGTGCTATCTTCGAACTGAAAATATTTAATTTGTGAGGAAAATGTATCGAGATTCGAGTTCTAACATATTTACAGTGTTTATCAGAAAATACAAAAACAGGGTCTGGTTGTATCATAATAGTGCATTATGAACGCTCCCTATGTGGTTACAGTACACAGTCGTGTTTTGTAATTTAGATCTTTTGCAGGAATGTGTTATCAATATTCAGTTTGATTGCACTGAAAATTACGGAGCCTGATTCAAAAATTATACTGCTTCATTTATCGTTATTCCGAGACGATTGTTGATATGCTGAACGTTTACAACATAATATATGTCTACATAATATTATTATGTAGACAATATTTAATCATAAGAGCATTAAAGTAATGATGAATCCTATTTCCTAGTATCAATCTGGAGAAGTAAAACATACGAACCATGTATTTGAGTCCAACAATCAAATCATTGTAGGTACCCGTATTTCATAGCCATGGCGATGACTGATATATGTAGTGTAAAGTTCTACTAAAATGATGATTCCGGAGACTGAGGAATTCCTGAATTTTATATAATGACTTTGCATGCTCACATTTAAGTTTCATCTAAGTTATTCAAGCATACACGATAAATATTCAAGTTTTTATTGGATTCATCAAGCAGGGTTTATAAAGTGTTTATAAGCGGTGTTTATAAAGACGGTTTTGTCTTTAATTTTCAGTTTCCAGTGCCACAGAAACTCAGAAACTTGGCAACGTTTCATTTTATCATCCATCATAAAGTAACGTTCAAATTCCACAGCCTAAACTCACATGTTTTCACACTGTGCCACTTGGTGAACACAGGTTCATATTACTAACGATCTTATATTCACTAGTCTTCTACACACGACTCCTATCTATACCGGTCACGCAGCCATGCATATAATATTTTAGATACTCAGTGTCTAAACACGCTCAATGATTAAAATAGAAAAGAGGGCGATGTCTAACAGTTTCCCGTAGTTAAATATTACTGCCCCACATCATATCTGACTGTGGATTTCTGAGCGGTATTGGATTCTCATGACTTAATTAAGATTCAAGAAGCCCCTTCTATTAATAACATCCCCCAAAACTTGGAGATTTTCCAACACAGTAAGTAATGCACATTATCAACGCAATCAAAGGCTGCTGAATTGGAGAGTTGTAGAGTTACAGAGCGGATAGTTGAATAAAGTGCTCAGAACGGATCAAGTTACAGACAGTGTGTACAGGCCTAGGCCACGGTAATTGTGGTAGTGCGTGCCACTGCTGCACGGTAATTGTGGTAGTGCGCGCCACTGCTGCACGGTAATTGTGGTAGTGCGCCCACTGCTGCACGGTAATTGTGGTAGTGTGCACCACTGCTGCACGGTAATTGTGGTAGTACGCGCCACTGCTGCACGGTAATTGTGGTAGTGCACGCCACTGCTGCACGGTAATTGTGGTAGTGTGCACCACTGCTGCACGGTAATTGTGGTAGTGCGCGCCACTGCTGCACGGTAATTGTGGTAGTGCGCGCCACTGCTGCACGGTAATTGTGGTAGTGCGCACCACTGCTGCACGGTAATTGTGGTAGTGCGCGTCACTGCTGCACGGTAATTGTGGTAGTGCGCCCACTGCTGCACGGTAAGTGTGGTAGTGCACGCCACTGCTGCACGGTAATTGTGGTAGTGTGCACCACTGCTGCACGGTAATTGTGGTAGTACGCGCCACTGCTGCACGGTAATTGTGGTAGTGCACGCCACTGCTGCACGGTAATTGTGGTAGTGTGCACCACTGCTGCACGGTAATTGTGGTAGTGCGCGCCACTGCTGCACGGTAATTGTGGTAGTGCGCGCCACTGCTGCACGGTAATTGTGGTAGTGCGCACCACTGCTGCACGGTAATTGTGGTAGTGCGCGTCACTGCTGCACGGTAATTGTGGTAGTGCGCGTCACTGCTGCACGGTAATTGTGGTAGTGCGCGTCACTGCTGCACGGTAATTGTGGTAGTGCGCGTCACTGCTGCACGGTAATTGCGGTAGTGCGTGCCACTGCTGCACCAACAAATGAGATCAAGTATAGTAACCATGTGTAAAGAAATACAGCAGTATTATGTGCTATGTCAAGTACATCGATCAACTGAAACTTCCAATTCGATACTTTTAAAGTAAAACTAACAAAGAACCTTCGGAGTGTAGGGCTCACTTACAGATGAAATATCTTTTTAATTGGAGCATTTTGGCTGGTATTAATTAAAACACGTGGTTCACCATTCATCCAGCGAACGGAATTTAAAATGGTGAACCAAACTACTAACTTATCCATACTACGACTGTTTACATGAACAATACTCCAACACGTCTTGTGCATTGTAATATCAAAGTTTAGATAAAAGATTGCGCTAGAATCTTGCGAAGGACTTTGGGCAAATGATACGGATTTTGTTCATAAATAGTAAAATAAACACCAAGACTAGATCCTTTTTCTCCTTTGGTGAGTAACTGGTTTATAGTCATATACTGCATAAGCCTGTTCAGAGTCTAATAAGAGTCATCTCCGTAAACTCTCAACTACTGAGGCGCTCTAGATCTTAGAGGGGAGATAGGTAAAATCACGTGATCTTAGTATAGAGGGGAGATAGGTAAAAACTTGTGAATTATGCATATGATCTTGGTCCAGCTAACGGAAAGGTTTGTATAGTAATTGTTGATGGTCATGGCAGCCCAACGTGGCCATATATTTTATTCTTCTAAGATATACCATCTAGTGGATTGCAGGCGTTAAATAACGCCACTAACTACTCATGTTCAGATAATGATATTGATAGTAGGAGGCTTTACGTTAATGTCATTGTCTTCTTTAAAGTAACTTCGCTATGCTAACGTGTTGCTCTCTACGACCAAAATAGATGTAAACTTTTTTACCACACGTATACGTAAGTAAAATTGTGAAGTTTTCTGGTATTTCTCTGTTTTTTCATGGTCTGCTAATTTTCTTTGGTTATTCTCAGGACGTATTTTTGCTTCTTATTCTCCATTGCTCAACCAAAATATCTTGTTTTAATAGGGGAACTGGGGACTAAATATTAATAAAAGTGGATTAATATTCGCTGTTTTAACAGCTGTCGTATGTGAACTCGAACTCCATCGTCAATTTTATTGATTTGAGCATTACAATTTATCAAATTCTAAAATGACATTTAAAGAAAAGAAAGAAAGGAGCAAATGTTAGCTGATAATATGAGTGGGGGCTGCTTTACACCCTGCTCATCCAACAAGTGGACAGCTGGAGTTATGGTAGCCACATTCCTGTTTACCATCACGCCGTTAACATTCGCTAATCGTAAGTTAACAAGATTGCCATGAATATCTTTCGAAAGTTTTGAACATGGAAATGATTCATTCAGTGAGCTTGACTACATCATTGTCTTTTTATTCATTGTTCATGCAAAGATACTATCATACTATATTATATTATCCAGCAGCAGCAGCAGATAACAATAAATTGAACTGGAAATCATTCTCTGCCAACAGTGAGGTCGATGTCACTACCAACTTCACTGGTCGTTCAGTGGAAGTATTTTTAGTGAGATTCCCCTGTGAGGATGTTGAGAATTTGCACTTCAAACTCTACATGTATGGAGCGAATAAAGATAATCAGTATGGAGGAAGAGTTCAGAATTCTCACGTCGAGCTTAAGCATCAGAAGAATGGAAATGTTTTTTGTAAAGGAGCTGGAGCAAAAGATCAGTGGGGTGGGGCCGTAACATATTTTCTAATTGAGAAGGATATGGAGTGCGAGCAGGAAAACATAATCTTGAGGTTCGTTTTTTGAGAGCAGCTTAGAGTTAGTCTTTGTACCATATTTTCATAAAAGGACCGCATTTTTCAGTTTGTCTTTATAATTGGGCTTGAAATATAAATATTCAGCCGCGAAAAATTCCAGGATTGAAAAGACAAAGGAGAGACTAACCATCTTAAACAAAATGAGAGTTCTCTACAACAAGGATTTCAACTCCAATGACGGAAACTGTCTTCGAGCTACAACGATGATCATGACACAAGTGTTCCAATCTTTCGCATATGACAAGGAATTGGGACTAGCAGTTGTTGATAATTCTATCAAAGGTTAGAACAATTAACAATAGGTTTGGTTTAAAAAGCTTTGGTGGAAACTAAACACAGCTACAGGCCGTAAAATTTTATAAATTTACTGCAGCTATTTTAAATATGGTGTTAGTGTTAATGCAAAGTCCCTTTGCATTGGGGTTTTAATTGTCACAGGGAAGGAGCATTGTATTAAAATTGAGTGAATGTCCTATATTATGTCTTATAATTGTCTTGATCACGTCGACCCTTTCGCTCGAATAAAGAATAAAGATCCAAACGAATATTAACAACACATGTTTGAACTTTAAGAATATAAAGGACATAAGAAGGGGAAAACACGAAATTATATATTCCGAACTGTCATGTTGCTATACTAGGCAATCTACACGTGAAAACAGTATACCCTGGCGGGTGGAGTAACTTCAGTGAATGGTTAGAGTGTTCCAAGACTTGTGGAGGAGGATCCCAGACACGAACCAAAACATGCACAAATCCTTCTCCCGCTAACGGTGGAAAAGATTGTCAGGGAGAAGACAGTGAATCTCAAGATTGCAACCCACAAGAATGTCCAGTTGATGGCGGGTGGAGTAACTTCAGTGAATGGTTAGAGTGTTCCAAGACTTGTGGAGGAGGATCCCAGACACGGACCAGAACATGCACAAATCCTTCTCCCGCTAACGGTGGAGAAGATTGTCAGGGAGAAGACAGTGAATCTCAAGATTGCAACCCACAAGAATGTCCAGTTGATGGCGGATGGAGTAACTTCAGTGAATGGTTAGAGTGTTCCGAGACTTGTGGAGGAGGATCCCAGACACGAACCAGAACATGCACAAATCCTTCTCCCGCTAACGGTGGAGAAGATTGTCAGGGAGAAGACAGTGAATCTCAAGATTGCAACCCACAAGAATGTCCAGTTGATGGCGGGTGGAGTAACTTCAGTGAATGGTTAGAGTGTTCCAAGACTTGTGGAGGAGGATCCCAGACACGAACCAAAACATGCACAAATCCTTCTCCCGCTAACGGTGGAGAAGATTGTCAGGGAGAAGACAGTGAATCTCAAGATTGCAACTCACAAGAATGTCCAGTTGATGGCGGGTGGAGTAACTTCAGTGAATGGTTAGAGTGTTCCAAGACTTGTGGAGGAGGATCCCAGACACGAACCAGAACATGCACAAATCCTTCTCCCGCTAACGGTGGAGAAGATTGTCAGGGAGAAGACAGTGAATCTCAAGATTGCAACCCACAAGAATGTCCAGTTGATGGCGGGTGGAGTAACTTCAGTGAATGGTTAGAGTGTTCCAAGACTTGTGGAACAGGAAGGCAGACACGAACCAGAACCTGCACAAAGCCTGCTTCTGCTCACGGTGGATCTGAATGTGTAGGAGAAAACACTGAGGAACAGAATTGCAACTCACAAAGCTGCCCTATTGATGGCGGATGGAGTGACTATGGAGAGTGGTCAGAGTGTTCTAAAAGATGTGGAGGAGGATCCCAGTCAAGAACCAGAACCTGCACAAAGCCTTCTCCTGCTCACGGTGGAGCTGAATGTGCAGGAGACAGCACTGAGACTCAAGATTGCAACTCACAAGAATGCAACATGTCAGATGATAATACAACATTTCTCAAATCAAGTAAGAAACTTTATAGCTAAAATATAGGGTATTATTTTATAAACAATAACGTCATGTTCCTTGATTTGAGGTCAATGCAAGGCAGATTAAGGCACTGTTTTGTATTGATCTTAAAGTTTCACGAAAGAATTAATTGTTGGAAAATCATTTATTTGAAACGCGTTGCCCAGTTCTGCATAAGATTGAAACAGATTTGATCAGAGATGAAAGGAAACTAAGAGCGATACTTTTTATAGTTACCCTTTCAGCTAAGAACTTTATAAACACCAGGTACTACCACCTTCATTTCCTGCTATCCTTCATCTCAAATTCCCAGAATTCATGTTATGCACTATGTAACGGACGAAAGGCTCGGGCACAAAGATCTGTTCAACACGTAGAGTGGTAAAAGCCACATTTTGTTCGCGATTGGGCTGGGTTTTCCAGTTTGATAGGAGTGCCGAGTCGTTGAATTGGAGTTTTACTACTCGCCATGATTATTTATATAATGGTGATCTAATTATCCTGCTAACTTGTCCACTCTGATAACCAGTCCTACCATCACGTGTACCACAAACCTATCTAAACAGTTCTCTATATTTTACTGCCCCAAAGCGTAGTTTTAACTCTTCTAATATCTACCCTTGTGTGTCCTACGACCTACATGCTTCCAAATTTTAAATCCGTCCTTATTTCTTGCACAATGTACTGATATGTTACAAACAGAGTGATGTATTCACTATAATATTATTATCCTAAATAAAATTATATAAAATTCAAATGTAATCTTGCAAAACGTGAGTTTATTGCCTGGTTCCTACAGTGAACAGTCAGCTTTGGTAAAGTTGGAAATGAAAAATATATAAAATCAACGCCAAATCAATCATTTACTTTTAGGTGCAAGAATTTACCCGGTTTTTTGCAATTGTGAGATCATCGGTCAAAATACAATAAATACACTAATGTATGAACACAGAGTATAACCTTTCTCTAACCGTCGTTTGATGCGGTATACTACACTTATAACTATACGTCCATCATCAAAATGCTTTGTGAGAGAAATCACACACAAAGTTTCAAGGTTCACTTTGTTATCAACGACATATTAATGTATTAGTTTTCCAAGTCCTGACGATGATGCCGTTGGTTTTTGTGTTTTTAACGCTCGCTAGTTTACATTTTATCACGACGGAGTGTCAACAAGAAGCGGTGCTACCATCATTAAAAATAATCATCAACCAAAGTGGTGTCAAGAAGCTGGAAGATGTGCTTCACAAGAAGATGAGGGTATTCGAGGAAAAGTTGACGAACAAGGGCGCAATAAAATTCCTTGATATCTCGTCCAGCAGCTACAAAGTAACGGATCTGCAAGTCTCGGAAATGACATTGAAACGTCCGGAAATACAGATCGTTCCAGGAGTCGGATTAAAAGTGAGTCAGAACATTAGTTCGTCTGTTGTTGAGGGGGACTATGAAGTTAAGGCATTCATTTTCTGGGTCAACGGAAAGATCACCATGAAGATGTCGCTAATGCTCGAAGTGACAGCAGGAGTAGATAACTTAGCAGAGGGGCAACTGGCAGCCGTCAGCAAGGCGTGCAGTGTTACTTTCCGCTCATTTGATCTAGACTTACATAATAGCATATACTCAGCTGTTGCCAGCCTAATGGAGGGAACCATCACTAGACAAATCGAGATAGCTGTTTGCGAGCACGTGGAGAAGCAGTTCGGTGATTTAAACATAATAGACAACATTCCCTTTCAAGATTCGATAGAAAAAGACAGTCCGGGTGTTATTTTTGAAGCTGACAGGATTGAATTTTACGCAAGACTTACCAAAGATACAAATCTTCATCAAATGCCTGGTAAAACGAACGAAGGTAATTGGGAGATATGCTTGATTTTATCGAAAGAACTCGTAAAAAACTCAGGAAAAGAAAATATGCATAAAATGGAATTTCTGAAAAAGGCCAGAAAGTTTGTACCAGCACTAAGTGAAGAAAACTTAGATTTTAAAGAAATGGAAAACTTTTTGAGAATATGCTCTGATTTGGACCTCGACGAGGTGATGATAGAATCCACAGAGAAATTTATCATGCTTAAAATATGATAATGCTTATTTATACAATACTAGAAAACCCGTGGCCACAGGGAGGAACCTAATAGTATTCTTTGGCAGTCAGATTAAATCGCGTCAAAAAACATCCTACACAACCGAAGATACAGCGAATTAAAATGTTGCTCGCACTAAACAAAACGTAATATGGTTACTATGCAACTACCTATTTCTCGTCTAATTTGCACGTGGGCGGTCGTACAAACGTACATTGTACATTGTACAAAGATAATTCTGTGAATTATATAAGTAAGATTATGATACATTTTAAAAATTCCTCGAAAATATTTGGTAATTTTGGGGAAATTATATCATGTTAAGATGGTCCTAATGTACCGGTCAAATATTACGTCAACAACCATTTTCAGAATTATACCTCTTGAACTACGCCAGCAATTTTACAAAACTATTGTGTGAACATTTAGTACCAGTAAATTAGTCTTTCTGTAAATTTAGGACGCCGAAGACACTCTTCATTTAAATTATTTCATTGAATTTCGTTCTGTTGTTAATTTTTGTTGCATTATTCATTATTTCATTTGATCAGTAATCACGCCAAAACTTCAATTCATTTAAGTTATATTTATTCAAAAACAACTGGAAAATGTAAACCACAAAATTTAGTTTATCTTGTGTAGCTCCCGAAAGGATGAACGGAGAATTTTAAGATTAAATGATAATAATAAATGATGTTAAACAGCACTATGTAGTTAAACTTACAGTCCGGAGATGTTGTCCAAATAACCCTAAACCTACACTTATACACTAACATTATCTCTTCACCTCTTCAGATCATCTGTAACATTCTTTTTCTCAGGGGAATACTCTTTTACACCTACTGGTATATATGGTATCTGGTATTCTGTCCTTCGATAACACAATTTTAAACTTAGTATTAGTAATTTGCTGTACACAAGCCTTGAGCAAGTCACAGTAGTTCCTTACCTGATCGTTTATCATATTTCATCAGTAGGCTGACTTATGTAATATGTGAACATTTCTTTTATTCAAAAGACAGAGAATGAAACCAGGGTGAGAACGTCAAGTAGGCGAGAGATGATGAGATAGGTGCCTCCCAACTGAATAATTCAGCACACGTTTACATTGAACCTATCATATCTAATGGAGTAATGGGAAAGGTTCTATAAGGATTTGAATAATTTAACATATACTTTGCGAACGATGGTATGGGACAATGCCACAAAGCCATCTTATAGCGAGTATCCTACGTTCGTCGTTCGAGCACACTCTTCTCTACAATTATGTAGATATTTTCAGAAACCAGTCTGGAGCATTGGGAGCTAGCTTTGCTTTCAATGACAGTTTATACTAACACAGAGGGGCAGCGAGGAACCCTATCTTGCCCTCATATTGTGTCCCAGCCAGCTTATCGCTCAGTAGTCTTTTGAAAGCTCCTGCTAATAAAATCATTTCGTATCACTTATATGTTTTAAATATCCCCCTCCAGGCTCAGTAGTCAGTTTGATACGTAAAAACCGATTAAATAGATCCAATCAGTTCAGATGTGCTTGTGGAGCAGATTTGATATTTATGACTACAAACTCAGATAATATAATTCTAATACCAAGCTATCCCGGACGTGCGCAAGGCATCATCAATTAATTATCAATTAATTCGATTAAGCAGGATGCGAACAAGACTACGATCATGATAACATCTACTGTTTTGCTTTTAGCGATCATTTCACCACTACTGGCGGGTGAGTAACTCTGCTACAAACTGTTTCTACAGATTGTCATTGTTGATACTTTGATACTTTGATAGAATGATAGATGGTAATATAATGCTTTCGGGACAAATCGGTGCTAACAAATAAAATAATAAGTTTGAAACAAGTTTCTCCAGCTAAATACAAGGTGACGATTTTGACCTCAACTGAATCCAACTCTGGAACTAATTCGAAATTCTTCTACAAAATCATCGGAACAACAGGACATACAGGAGAGCACGTGACTGATAACCCGGGGAATGATAGAAACTCTGGCGACACAGATATTTGGACCTTTAGTGACAATGCTGACATCGGGGAATTCCAGTGTATTTCCATCAGAATGGATGGAACTGATGGGTGGCTCATTCATACAGTAAACTCTTCTTTCTTACTTATGCCATTTTAAATTAGACTGGCTCGACCAAATTCCACTGAACCTAGATTTTGTTACATTGGACTTGTCTGTATTTATTCATAATTTCATTCATGACATCGCTCTGACATCGAAAAACTCTGTTTTTATGGATTGTTGTATGAGCGGAATTTTAATAATGTTGTACTTTAGATGGCGTTGGAGAGTCATAACATAAGGTTTTGCTCCTAAAACTTACGAAAAAACACGTGCTATAATAAGTTATCATAATACAAATTAAACTGCAACACTTTACAGATCAGTGTTCAAGTAGACGAAAGAAAAGAATTTGACTTTGTAAATGGAGAGAAAATTTGGATTGATGATGAAGCAGAATTAGTATTACAATTCTGTAGACCTGATAAAAGTAAGTTCCGATCTATAATATATATAATAGTAATATAATAGTATAGAAATTGAAATTGACCGAAATTAAAAAGTAGTCAAGTCCTTCGTAGTGGAATACTTTTGGGGAAAAAATTCAACGGACTTTGATTTTATTTGAACGGACATTAAATTAACACTGGGGCCTCCAGCGTCCAATTAATGACCGTTCAAATAAAGTCTGGTAAGGTATGCTCTCAGAACTGTGGGGCACAATTAGTGTACGAACTTAAAAAGTTTGCGGCTTCAAAATTTAATGTGGGAATTATAAAATTTCATAATTTCCAGATACATGCCCTCCTTTCCACCCCTACGTTTACAACAACGGGCAATACTGCTGTCAATCTAACATGGAGAAGGACAATGCTCCTGATGGTACACAATGTGATGGTAGTGTGCTTCGGAGAGACAGTAAGTGCTGTGTTGGTGACAACTACATCAAGTGTCCTAGCGAAATATGCTATCAAACAGGTACTTTCATTAATTAAACTTTATGAATATTAAGGACATAAGAAGGAACAAAAGGTATTCTGTATTATATGAAAAGATGTAATATTTAGAAAATGCACCTATCTATCTTCCACTATCTCACTAAGTAAATATGTAGCATATACTTATATACCTTTGTAATGAAGCTGAAGTCTGGTGGTTCTAATTGTATAAGGAAATTAGTTAATCTCCATTACTGGACCCATCAAAACTCTTACTATACTTTTAAGTATCAAGCATTATATTCGTTCATATTCCGAACTGTCATGTTGCTGGCCATTTTACACGTGAGAACAGTATACCCTAACAATTATTGACTAAAAGAAAAATAGTAAAAAACAGTTCGATTATAGGCGGATGGAGCAGCTATGGAGAGTGGTCAGAGTGCTCTAAGGAATGTGGACCAGGAACCCAAACACTAAACAATATAACCTGCGCGAATCTTGCTCCTGCTCACGGTGGAGCAGATTGTCAGGGAGAAAGCATTGAGACTAAGTCATGCAAAACTAAAGACTGCCCGGTTAATGGCGGATGGAGTGGCTATGGAGACTGGTCATTGTGCTCTACAGAATGTGGACCAGGAACCCAAACACGAACCAGAACCTGCACAAATCCTGCTCCTGCTCACAGCGGGACTCAATGTGACGGAGATGACAGAGAATCGCGGAATTGCAATACTCACTCTTGCCCAAGTATTTGTAAAATTCTAACTTAATTTTAAATTTCACGTTGAAGTCTACTACATAAGGGGGATAACCCCATCAGACTGAAAATATAAACTTGTCCAGACTCAAACTGAATTGTAACAAACATAGTACATTGTTTTTAATTGTAAACAAAAAGAGAGTTTTAAACTTTCATCACTCATTCAGGTTGTACGGGACTAGATTCAACCTGGGAACACGCTGTAACAGTTACACAGTTTCCTGTTGAAGCAGCAGAAGTGATCAGAGTGAGCTGTAAACCTAGATATAACAACTTAGGAACACGGTCTATGACATGTATTAACGGAACGAGCTATGAAGTAGTTGGTAGAGAAACAGCAGACCCTCCTAAATGTATGAAAACAAGTAAGTATTGCATGTAAGGCTCTAGAAATATCTTATATACATATTGTTCATATCTCTTTAATCCATAATTTTATTCGTTATCTTTTTGTGTCGGTATCTTCAGTTCAAAACAAATGGGAATTTGCTTTTGAACCGAATAAACCAACAATTAAATCGTACACAAGCACATATTATTGATAACACCAGACATGGGCGCCGGCGTCAGATGATCCGCCGGCAGTGTGGAGCCCTTACTCGCTCTTCGGCGGCTGCGTGATGGCAGCGTGGACTGAATTTGAGCCAGCCATAGCTTGATATTTGCGGAACTTTTTAACTCCGTATGTACATCAATTAACATATGCCTTTTCATACCAATTAACATTTAAATGATTGGGGAAGAATCATGCAATACTTTAAAAATAAAAATCAACCTCCTTGAAAGTCACGATAGACGGATGTAAAATCCGGATTGGAGTGTTGTTTATGAGACATGAGTCGCATGGTTGCAATGTATTCTTGTGTTAATTTGTATTGATCCCGTTTGATGCGACAAGGAAAAATGCTCTTATCAGGAAAGGAATTTACTCAACGTTTCAATGTTACAACATAGTATTCGTGATCTGTTGTAACATTGAAACGTTGAGTAAATTCCTTTCCTGATAAGAGCATTTTTCCTTGACGCATCAAACGGGATCAATACAAATTTACACAAGAATACATTTTGTTTCTGACATGGACAGTTTTCATATTCCTTGAGACATTCCTATCTGCATGCATTTTCCTGAAATTGTTCACTTAAGTTCACAGATGTGTTATTCCAGTCACAAAAGTTGGACTCTCGTTTTATCCAATATCTTTAAAGTTCCGTACAATTGCAGTGCTAACCAAGGTAGACATTCCGAATTCCTACAACTACAAGATAACGGTGAACTGCAAGGAGGGGGGGGGGGGCCAGTTTGACTACGTGTTCATGGACTCTGAGAAGAGGGAAGCACTGTGTAGCACAGACACGGGCTAACTCCCTGCTTTAAGGCTATTGACCCCACTGACTGAAAAAATATCTTCTGATATTTATCGATTAAACGTTAAATATAGTAATTTTAAAGAAACTGATGATATGTTCGTAATTATTCGTTTTGCAAATATTTTCAATATTATTCAACGATTTTTTAAATGTGTGATGCAATTTTCAATAATCGCAATTTGAGAATTTGATTTAATTTTACTGTTTTAATTTTAAACCATAAATCATTGAATATATATAGTATTATTTATTATACAAAGTACTAATAATATTATTTTAAATTTGTCATTATAATTAAATTATATTCGGGTGAATAAATTCGAATTCTAACTAAACAGGTTCTTGGGTAAATTGCCAGAAACAAATAGGCTACTTCTAGCTCATAATATAAGTTTGTGCTTGCGAGCAAGCAGTTCTCAACTCTTTCGATGTTTTTACCCTGTATGAGAAATAAACGAGATGGGAGATCATCAAGATAAAGGCCTGTTAACCCTGTATCAGAGGGACCACATGTAACGTTAAATGTAGCCTTCATTTGAAAGTAGAGCGGTTGTTTCAAAGTTTCAAGCCGTAGCTGTAATTATTACATAGAATAGGTTGGAAACTCCTTTAGCTATAAAGACTGCTTACACATCAACCCAAGAGAAGTAATAATTTCAAGCTGAAAACGTGAAATTTTCTCATTTTTTCTCCATTGTCATAATCGTGATCTGCTGTAATGAATGAAAAGTGTTTAAACATCAAAATTTTCGCAGGAAAAAATCAGAAATTCAAATAGTTATTATCACATCACACGTGCAGTGGTAGCATTAGGACAGATACTTCCTCTACAACGTGACACCTTCTGAAGAAATCGTTATACGTAAGAATTTGTTTAGTGATTAGACATGCCATGCTGAATTTTGAATAGCCAAATTTCGTAATATACCCAATATTATAGTATTTTGAATTATCAACTGTAATTACCACAACCGAAGCTTGAGTCAGTTGCAAAGTTGTAACAAGATGTCAGCTATATTTTTATATTCTATTATTGAAATGGAACAGTTACTGTGGCTCATATTATATATTATTCTTCGACCTCAAATATTCTGGCCATTGTATTACGTCAATTTCAAGTTCCGTGGCCTGTTGCGCGTACTGTTGAGCAAATTCGTAGTTGTTCTGAATTGTGTAGGGTCAAAACTCAAAATGTTTATAATGACGAATTATAAACCTTCACAGCTACGGTAGTGAGCGAGTTAAACACGTACCTGCTAAGTCTGATACTTTTGAGATAGATTACATAATTATTTAATTATTTGGTAGTTGCATTTAACTTACTGGTTAAGTATCCAGTAAGGTGCATGTTATCAAGCTTTTACTTTCATTCTATCAGTATAAAATCAAGTAACAAAGTTCTACTTATTTTAAGTGTTGTAACTCTCTGATGAATATTGTCACGGACATTTTGTATAGTTAACCTTTGCAATCGTTCTTTCTGTTGGAGTAAAGTTTACAGTTGTTTTAATATCGAGTTTTCCGTAACATTCATTTGATTGATCTGAATTTAATCAGTTATGAAAGCCTGACCACAAGTCTTGCTTTTAATAATGACAATGATGAAGATGACTCTAGTGACGATAGTGGTCCTGGTGATCATAGGGCCTACCCTAGCTGGTGAGTACCTTGCTATCATAATAATGTGTTTGAATAGCAGGGGATAGCTCCATCAAGACCTTATCCATACTCAAACCAAGACGTAACAAACACACATTATCGTATATCAATTGCTCGTATTATAGCACATCCTAAATCATAAATGTTAATTAAATTCTAGCAACAACAAAAAAACTCTAACCAATTAACCAGGAAATTGTAACTTGGGCTGCTGGAAAGACAAAAAAACCAGAGCAATAGCTGGCGGCAAAAGAAACTACGACAATCCAATAGAAAAATGTTACAAATTCGCCAAGGAAGTGGGCTATTCAGTGTTCGCAATTCAAAACGACAAGGAGTGTTTTACAGCCGAAGATGCTCATGAAACCTACAAGAAATATGGAAGAGCAACTAACTGCGAAGATGGAAGGGGAGGTTCCTGGGCTCTAAACGTTTACCTGGTGACTCGTGAATGTAAGATATTTCAGTCATCAGTAGACTTACAGACTTTATCACTGTTTTTCAATGAATTATAACAAACAGTTAGATAATCGTTATCATGATTATAATCTAACGATGCCGTTAAACAACACTTTGAATCATTGATATAGTTTTTAATTCATACAATAACGAGGCAGTCTTTTAACAGCAATCGACAGTGTTATTAACAGCAATTATTAAAAGCAATTATTTATTTTGTATCACCTAATCCACTTCAGGTGTTCAAGTTATTGTTTCTAGCAAGTTGAACCTTTACTAATCAATATTATACAGTATATAACACAAATATAAATAGATACCGGAAAATGGAAAGACTATGGATCACTGTCACCTTGCCCTGGTTTGTCAATGAAAAATAATAATTACGCATTCATATAATTTAACTTGAACAAAATTCCAACAAAAACAAAATACATAAGTGTTCATAATATAAAAGCTTTAAACCTTTACTCATCGTTACTTGTTTCAGTTAACGGAACGTGGACTACTTGGGGTGTGTGGTCGAGTTGCTCAGCAAAATGTGGAGGAGGCCACAAGACAAGGAGAAAAACCTGCACTAATCCTGCTCCTCTTCACGGTGAAGCTAAATGTGCAGGAGACAGCACTGATACTAAGTCTTGCAACACTGAAAGCTGCTCGATTAATGGCGGATGGAGTAACTATGGAGACTGGTCAGAGTGTTCTAAAACATGTGGAAGAGGATCCCAGACACGAACCAGAACCTGCACAAATCCTGCTCCTGCTCACGGTGGAGCAGATTGTCCGGGAGAAAGCACTGAGACTAAGTCTTGCAACACTCAAGACTGCCCGGTTAATGGCGGATGGAACATCTATGAAGAGTGGTCAGACTGTTCTCAGGAATGTGGAACAGGAACCCAAACACGAACCAGAACCTGCACAAATCCTGCTCCTACTCACGGTGGAGCAGATTGTCCGGGAGACAGCACTGAGACTAAGTCTTGCAACACTCAAGACTGCCCGGTTAATGGCGGATGGAACATCTATGAAGAGTGGTCAGACTGTTCTCAGGAATGTGGAACAGGAACCCAAACACGAACCAGAACCTGCACAAATCCTGCTCCTGCTCACGGTGGAGCAGATTGTCCGGGAGAAAGCACTGAGACTAAGTCTTGCAACACTCAAGACTGCCCGGTTAATGGCGGATGGAACATCTATGAAGAGTGGTCAGACTGTTCTCAGGAATGTGGAACAGGAACCCAAACACGAACCAGAACCTGCACAAATCCTGCTCCTGCTCACGGTGGAGCTGAATGTGCAGGAGACAGCACTGAGACTCAGCCATGCAACACTGAAAGCTGCCCGATTGATGGCGGATGGAGTGACTATGGAGAGTGGTCAGAGTGTTCTAAAACATGTGGAAGAGGAATCCAAACACGAACCAGAACCTGCACAAATCCTGCTCCTCTTCACGATGGAGCTGCATGTGCAGGAGACAGCACTGAGACTAAGTCTTGCAACACTGAAATCTGCTCGATTAATGGCGGATGGAGTAACTATGGAGACTGGTCAGAGTGTTCTAAAACATGTGGAGGAGGATCCCAGTCACGAACCAGAACCTGCACAAATCCTGCTCCTCTTCACGATGGAGCTGAATGTGCAGGAGACAGCACTGAGACTCAGCCATGCAACACTGAAAGCTGCCCGGTTAATGGCGGATGGACTAACTATGAAGAGTGGTCAGAGTGCTCTAAAACATGTGGAGGAGGATCTCAGTCAAGAACCAGAACCTGCACAAATTCTGCTCCTCTTCACGGTGGAGCTGAATGTGCAGGAGACAGCACTGATACTAAGTCTTGCAACACTGAAAGCTGCCCGATTAATGGCGGATGGACTAATTATGGAGACTGGTCAGAGTGTTCTAAAACATGTGGAAGAGGATCTCAGTCAAGAACCAGAACCTGCACAAATCCTGCTCCTCTTCACGATGGAGCTGAATGTGCAGGAGACAGCACTGAGACTCAGCCATGCAACACTGAAAGCTGCCCGGTTAATGGCGGATGGACTAACTATGGAGACTGGTCAGAGTGTTCTAAAACATGTGGAAGAGGATCCCAGTCAAGAACCAGAACCTGCACACAGCCTAGTCCTCTTCACGATGGAGCTGAATGTGCAGGAGACAGCACTGAGACTCAGCCATGCAACACTGAAAGCTGCTCGATTAATGGCGGATGGAGTAACTATGGAGACTGGTCAGAGTGTTCTAAAACATGTGGAAGAGGAATCCAAACACGAACCAGAACCTGCACAAATCCTGCTCCTCTTCACGATGGAGCTGAATGTGCAGGAGACAGCACTGAGACTAAGTCTTGCAACACTGAAAGCTGCTCGATTAATGGCGGATGGAGTAACTATGGAGACTGGTCAGAGTGTTCTAAAACATGTGGAAGAGGATCCCAGACACGAACCAGAACCTGCACAAATCCTGCTCCTCTTCACGATGGAGCTCAATGTGCAGGAGACAGCACTGAGACTCAGCCATGCAACACTGAAAACTGCCCGATTAATGGCGGATGGACTAACTAATAACTATGAAGACTGGTTAGAGTGTTCTAAAACATGTGGAGGAGGATCCCAGTCAAGAACCAGAACCTGCACAAATCCTGCTTCTCTTCACGGTGGAGCTGAATGTGCAGGAGACAGCACTGAGACTCAGCCATGCAACACTGAAAGCTGCCCGATTAATGGCGGATGGACTAACTATGGACACTGGGCAGAGTGCTCTGTTGCGTGTGGAAGAGGATCCCAGTTAAGAACCAGAACCTGCACAAAGCCTGCTCCTGCTCACGGTGGAGCTGAATGTGTAGGAGACAGCACTGAGACTCAGCCATGCAACACTGAAAGCTCCCCGATTAATGGCGGATGGAGTGACTATGGAGAGTGGTCAGAGTGTTCTAAAACATGTGGAAGAGGAATCCAAACACGAACCAGAACCTGCACAAATCCTGCTCCTCTTCACGATGGAGCTGCATGTGCAGGAGACAGCACTGAGACTAAGTCTTGCAACACTGAAATCTGCTCGATTAATGGCGGATGGAGTAACTATGGAGACTGGTCAGAGTGTTCTAAAACATGTGGAGGAGGATCCCAGTCACGAACCAGAACCTGCACAAATCCTGCTCCTCTTCACGATGGAGCTGAATGTGCAGGAGACAGCACTGAGACTCAGCCATGCAACACTGAAAGCTGCCCGGTTAATGGCGGATGGACTAACTATGAAGAGTGGTCAGAGTGCTCTAAAACATGTGGAGGAGGATCTCAGTCAAGAACCAGAACCTGCACAAATTCTGCTCCTCTTCACGGTGGAGCTGAATGTGCAGGAGACAGCACTGATACTAACTCTTGCAACACTGAAAGCTGCCCGATTAATGGCGGATGGACTAACTATGGAGACTGGTCAGAGTGTTCTAAAACATGTGGAAGAGGATCTCAGTCAAGAACCAGAACCTGCACAAATCCTGCTCCTCTTCACGATGGAGCTGAATGTGCAGGAGACAGCACTGAGACTCAGCCATGCAACACTGAAAGCTGCCCGGTTAATGGCGGATGGACTAACTATGGAGACTGGTCAGAGTGTTCTAAAACATGTGGAAGAGGATCCCAGTCAAGAACCAGAACCTGCACACAGCCTAGTCCTCTTCACGATGGAGCTGAATGTGCAGGAGACAGCACTGAGACTCAGCCATGCAACACTGAAAGCTGCTCGATTAATGGCGGATGGAGTAACTATGGAGACTGGTCAGAGTGTTCTAAAACATGTGGAAGAGGAATCCAAACACGAACCAGAACCTGCACAAATCCTGCTCCTCTTCACGATGGAGCTGAATGTGCAGGAGACAGCACTGAGACTAAGTCTTGCAACACTGAAAGCTGCTCGATTAATGGCGGATGGAGTAACTATGGAGACTGGTCAGAGTGTTCTAAAACATGTGGAAGAGGATCCCAGACACGAACCAGAACCTGCACAAATCCTGCTCCTCTTCACGATGGAGCTGAATGTGCAGGAGACAGCACTGAGACTAAGCCATGCAATACTGAAAGCTGCCCGGTTAATGGCGGATGGACTAATTATGGAGACTGGTCAGAGTGTTCTAAAACATGTGGAAGAGGATCTCAGTCAAGAACCAGAACCTGCACAAATCCTGCTCCTCTTCACGATGGAGCTGAATGTGCAGGAGACAGCACTGAGACTCAGCCATGCAACACTGAAAGCTGCTCGATTAATGGCGGATGGAGTAACTATGGAGACTGGTCAGAGTGTTCTAAAACATGTGGAAGAGGAATCCAAACACGAACCAGAACCTGCACAAATCCAGGTCCTCTTCACGATGGAGCTGCATGTGCAGGAAACATCACTGAGACTCAGCCATGCAACACTGAAAGCTGCCCGGTTGATGGCGGATGGAGTGAATATGGAACCTGGTCAGTGTGCTCTAAGGAATGTGGAACAGGAACCCAGTCAAGAACCAGAATCTGCACAAATCCAGCTCCTCTTCACGGTGGAGCTGAATGTGCAGGAGACAGCACTGAGACTCAGCCATGCAACACTGAAAGCTGCCCGGTTAATGGCGGATGGACTAACTATGGAGAGTGGTCAGAGTGTTCTAAAACATGTGGAGGAGGATCCCAGTCACGAACCAGAACCTGCACAAATCCTGCTCCTCTTCACGATGGAGCTGAATGTGCAGGAGACAGCACTGAGACTCAGCCATGCAACACTGAAAGCTGCCCAGTTAATGGCGGATGGAGTAACTATGGAGAGTGGTCAGAGTGTTCTAAAACATGTGGAGGAGGAATCCAAACACGAACCAGAACCTGCACAAATCCTGCTCCTCTTCACGATGGAGCTGCATGTGCAGGAGACAGCACTGAGACTCAGCCATGCAACACTGAAAGCTGCCCGGTTAATGGCGGATGGAGTGAATATGGAACCTGGTCAGTGTGCTCTAAGGAATGTGGAACAGGAACCCAGTCAAGAACCAGAATCTGCACAAATCCAGCTCCTCTTCACGGTGGAGCTGAATGTGCAGGAGACAGCACTGAGACTCAGCCATGCAACACTGAAAGCTGCCCGGTTAATGGCGGATGGACTAACTATGGAGAGTGGTCAGAGTGTTCTAAAACATGTGGAGGAGGATCCCAGTCACGAACCAGAACCTGCACAAATCCTGCTCCTCTTCACGATGGAGCTGAATGTGCAGGAGACAGCACTGAGACTCAGCCATGCAACACTGAAAGCTGCCCAGTTAATGGCGGATGGAGTAACTATGGAGAGTGGTCAGAGTGTTCTAAAACATGTGGAGGAGGATCTCAATCAAGAACCAGAATCTGCACAAATCCAGCTCCTCTTCACGGTGGAGCTGAATGTGCAGGAGACAGCACTGAGACTCAGCCATGCAACACTGAAAGCTGCCCGGTTAATGGCGGATGGACTAACTATGGAGACTGGGCAGAGTGCTCTGTTACGTGTGGAAGAGGATCCCAGTCAAGAACCAGAACCTGCACAAAGCCTGCTCCTCTTCACGGTGGAACTGAATGTGTAGGAGAAAACACTGAGGAACAGAATTGCAACTCACAAAGCTGCCCTGTTGATGGCGGATGGAGTGACTATGGAGAGTGGTCAGAGTATTCTAAAACATGTGGAGGAGGATCCCAGTCAAGAACCAGAACCTGCACAAATCCAGCTCCTCTTCACGATGGCGCTGAATGTGCAGGAGACAGCACTGAGACTCAGCCATGCAACACTGAAAGCTGCCCGGTTAATGGCGGATGGACTAACTATGGAGAGTGGTCATAGTGCTCTTTTACGTGTGGAAGAGGATCCCAGTCAAGAACCAGAACCTGCACAGAGCCTGCTTCTGCTCACGGTGGAACTGAATGTGTAGGAGAAAGCACTGACGAACAGAATTGCAACTTACAAAGCTGCCCTGTTGATGGCGGATGGAGTGAATATGGAGAGTGGTCAGAGTGCTCTGTTCCGTGTGGAGGAGGATCCCAGTCAAGAACCAGAACCTGCACAAATCCTGCTCCTCTTCACGGTGGAGCTGAATGTGCAGGAGACAGCACTGAGACTCAGCCATGCAACACTGAAAGCTGCCCGATTAATGGCGGATGGAGTAACTATGGAGACTGGTCAGTGTGCTCTGTTCCGTGTGGAGGAGGATCCCAGTCAAGAACCAGAACCTGCACAAATCCTGCTCCTCTTCACGGTGGAGCTGAATGTGCAGGAGACAGCACTGATACTCAGCCATGCAACACTGAAAGCTGCCCGATTAATGGCGGATGGACTAACTATGGAGACTGGTTGGAGTGCTCTGTTACATGTGGAGGAGGATCTCAGTCAAGAACCAGAACCTGCACAAATCCTGCTCCTCTTCACGGTGGAGCTGAATGTGCAGGAGACAGCACTGATACTCAGCCATGCAACACTGAAAGCTGCCCGATTAATGGCGGATGGACTAACTATGGAGACTGGGCAGAGTGCTCTGTTACGTGTGGAGGAGGATCCCAGTCAAGAACCAGAACCTGCACAAATCCTGCTCCTCTTCACGGTGGAGCTGAATGTGCAGGAGACAGCACTGAGACTCAGCCATGCAACACTGAAAGCTGCCCGATTAATGGCGGATGGAGTAACTATGGAGACTGGGCAGAGTGTTCTAAAACATGTGGAGGAGGATCCCAGTCAAGAACCAGAACCTGCACAAATCCAGTTCCTCTTCACGATGGAGCTGAATGTGCAGGAGACAGCACTGAGACTCAGCCATGCAACACTGAAAGCTGCCCGGTTAATGGCGGATGGAGTGAATTTGGAACCTGGTCAGTGTGCTCTAAGGAATGTGGAACAGGAACCCAGTCAAGAACCAGAATCTGCACAAATCCAGCTCCTCTTCACGGTGGAGCTGAATGTGCAGGAGACAGCACTGAGACTCAGCCATGCAACACTGAAAGCTGCCCGGTTAATGGCGGATGGACTAACTATGGAGAGTGGTCAGAGTGTTCTAAAACATGTGGAGGAGGATCCCAGTCACGAACCAGAACCTGCACAAATCCTGCTCCTCTTCACGATGGAGCTGAATGTGCAGGAGACAGCACTGAGACTCAGCCATGCAACACTGAAAGCTGCCCAGTTAATGGCGGATGGAGTAACTATGGAGAGTGGTCAGAGTGTTCTAAAACATGTGGAGGAGGAATCCAAACACGAACCAGAACCTGCACAAATCCTGCTCCTCTTCACGGTGGAACTGAATGTGCAGGAGACAGCACTGAGACTCAGCCATGCAACACTGAAAGCTGCCCGGTTAATGGCGGATGGAGTGAATATGGAACCTGGTCAGTGTGCTCTAAGGAATGTGGAAGAGGATCCCAGTCAAGAACCAGAATCTGCACAAATCCAGCTCCTCTTCACGGTGGAGCTGAATGTGCAGGAGACAGCACTGAGACTCAGCCATGCAACACTGAAAGCTGACCGGTTAATGGCGGATGGACTAACTATGGAGAGTGGTCAGAGTGTTCTAAAACATGTGGAGGAGGATCCCAGTCACGAACCAGAACCTGCACAAATCCTGCTCCTCTTCACGATGGAGCTGAATGTGCAGGAGACAGCACTGAGACTCAGCCATGCAACACTGAAAGCTGCCCAGTTAATGGCGGATGTAGTAACTATGGAGAGTGGTCAGAGTGTTCTAAAACATGTGGAGGAGGATCTCAATCAAGAACCAGAACCTGCACAAATCCTGCTCCTCTTCACGATGGTGCTGAATGTGCAGGAGACAGCACTGAGACTCAGCCATGCAACACTGAAAGCTGCCCGGTTAATGGCGGATGGACTAACTATGGAGACTGGGCAGAGTGCTCTGTTACGTGTGGAAGAGGATCCCAGTCAAGAACCAGAACCTGCACAAAGCCTGCTCCTCTTCACGGTGGAACTGAATGTGTAGGAGAAAACACTGAGGAACAGAATTGCAACTCACAAAGCTGCCCTGTTGATGGCGGATGGAGTGACTATGGAGAGTGGTCAGAGTGTTCTAAAACATGTGGAGGAGGATCCCAGTCAAGAACCAGAACCTGCACAAATCCAGCTCCTCTTCACGATGGCGCTGAATGTGCAGGAGACAGCACTGAGACTCAGCCATGCAACACTGAAAGCTGCCCGGTTAATGGCGGATGGACTAACTATGGAGAGTGGTCATAGTGCTCTTTTACGTGTGGAAGAGGATCCCAGTCAAGAACCAGAACCTGCACAGAGCCTGCTTCTGCTCACGGTGGAACTGAATGTGTAGGAGAAAGCACTGACGAACAGAATTGCAACTTACAAAGCTGCCCTGTTGATGGCGGATGGAGTGACTATGGAGAGTGGTCAGAGTGCTCTGTTCCGTGTGGAGGAGGATCCCAGTCAAGAACCAGAACCTGCACAAATCCTGCTCCTCTTCACGGTGGAGCTGAATGTGCAGGAGACAGCACTGAGACTCAGCCATGCAACACTGAAAGCTGCCCGATTAATGGCGGATGGAGTAACTATGGAGACTGGTCAGTGTGCTCTGTTCCGTGTGGAGGAGGATCCCAGTCAAGAACCAGAACCTGCACAAATCCTGCTCCTCTTCACGGTGGAGCTGAATGTGCAGGAGACAGCACTGATACTCAGCCATGCAACACTGAAAGCTGCCCGATTAATGGCGGATGGACTAACTATGGAGACTGGTTGGAGTGCTCTGTTACATGTGGAGGAGGATCTCAGTCAAGAACCAGAACCTGCACAAATCCTGCTCCTCTTCACGGTGGAGCTGAATGTGCAGGAGACAGCACTGATACTCAGCCATGCAACACTGAAAGCTGCCCGATTAATGGCGGATGGACTAACTATGGAGACTGGGCAGAGTGCTCTGTTACATGTGGAGGAGGATCCCAGTCAAGAACCAGAACCTGCACAAATCCTGCTCCTCTTCACGGTGGAGCTGAATGTGCAGGAGACAGCACTGAGACTCAGCCATGCAACACTGAAAGCTGCCCGATTAATGGCGGATGGAGTAACTATGGAGACTGGGCAGAGTGTTCTAAAACATGTGGAGGAGGATCCCAGTCAAGAACCAGAACCTGCACAAATCCAGCTCCTCTTCACGATGGAGCTGAATGTGCAGGAGACAGCACTGAGACTCAGCCATGCAACACTGAAAGCTGCCCGGTTAATGGCGGATGGACTAACTATGGAGAGTGGTCAGAGTGCTCTGTTACGTGTGGAAGAGGATCCCAGTCAAGAACCAGAACCTGCACAGAGCCTGCTTCTGCTCACGGTGGAACTGAATGTGTAGGAGAAAACACTGACGAACAGAATTGCAACTTACAAAGCTGCCCTGTTGATGGCGGATGGAGTGACTATGGAGAGTGGTCAGAGTGCTCTGTTACATGTGGAGGAGGATCCCAGTCAAGAACCAGAACCTGCACAGAGCCTGCTTCTGCTCACGGTGGAACTGAATGTGTAGGAGAAAACACTGAGACTCAGCCATGCAACACTGAAAGCTGCCCGATTAATGGCGGATGGAGTAACTATGGAGACTGGTCAGTGTGCTCTGTTCCGTGTGGAGGAGGATCCCAGTCAAGAACCAGAACCTGCACAAATCCTGCTCCTCTTCACGGTGGAGCTGAATGTGCAGGAGACAGCACTGAGACTCAGCCATGCAACACTGAAAGCTGCCCGATTAATGGCGGATGGAGTAACTATGGAGACTGGTCAGTGTGCTCTGTTCCGTGTGGAGGAGGATCCCAGTCAAGAACCAGAACCTGCACAAATCCTGCTCCTCTTCACGGTGGAGCTGAATGTGCAGGAGACAGCACTGATACTCAGCCATGCAACACTGAAAGCTGCCCGATTAATGGCGGATGGACTAACTATGGAGACTGGTTAGAGTGCTCTGTTACATGTGGAGGAGGATCTCAGTCAAGAACCAGAACCTGCACAAATCCTGCTCCTCTTCACGGTGGAGCTGAATGTGCAGGAGACAGCACTGATACTCAGCCATGCAACACTGAAAGCTGCCCGATTAATGGCGGATGGACTAACTATGGAGACTGGGCAGAGTGCTCTGTTACATGTGGAGGAGGATCCCAGTCAAGAACCAGAACCTGCACAAATCCTGCTCCTCTTCACGGTGGAGCTGAATGTGCAGGAGACAGCACTGAGACTCAGCCATGCAACACTGAAAGCTGCCCGATTAATGGCGGATGGAGTAACTATGGAGACTGGGCAGAGTGTTCTAAAACATGTGGAGGAGGATCCCAGTCAAGAACCAGAACCTGCACAAATCCTGCTCCTCTTCACGATGGAGCTGAATGTGCAGGAGACAGCACTGAGACCCAGCCATGCAACACTCAAGAGTGCCCAAGTATTTCCAAAATTGCTACTTTTATTTAAATTGCACATTGAAATCTAGATGAGGTGATAACTTTAATAGACCTAAATGAACATAATCTAGACGTTATATGATATCAGTTATGTCACTTTATACTCATTATTTATAATATAACTGTACACTGTACAGAAATTCATTTAACCAACAACTAAATCGTAGACAAGCGCATACTATTGTAAACAATACAGGCAGCACTAACTAATTACAAAATATTATGACATTATAAAATGTTTCTATCAGGATATTTTTGCTTTAGCTGTGGTACATTCATAATTTTCGATTGCATGGTGATAAAAACTATAGTTATTTTCAGGCAACGCAGCCCAACATAATTTAGGAGTTTGGATATCATCAGGGGTGGTAGCGATTTTCTTCATAACATCAATAATGGCTGGATTGTGTTTCCTACACTTACGTAGAAAGCTGGAAAATGTCTCTGCCAATAATGTAATCTGCCTCAATACTGCAGTTCTCAACCCTGCCGAAATAATCCCTTCTCCTTGGCACAACGACGATGTTGTTCTCCGAGTAACTTCTGAAGATGCTATTTGATATGATGTTGCATTGTTAAGATACGAGGCGATATTCGTTAAATTTTGTGTGGACAAATACGTTTTTTAAATGGGGCTGTTACTTTTAGTATTTCAACTTATGCTGGTAATTGCTGATCAAATATAAAGTTCGATTAACTTATATAAGAGTTTTAAGTCATGAATGTCAGTTTCATTTACTAGCTCAAGAAACACTATTGTAAACCTGAATGTTTTCACAATTCACAAATTACAAATCGTTCCTTATGCTAAACTGCAGTCTTTCAGCTGATATAGTAACATCTATACTCTACAGTGACTGTTATACACTAACATTATCTCTTCACCGGTTCAGAGCATCTGTAACATTCTTTTTCTCAGGGGAATACTCTTTTACATCTACTGGTATCTGTTATTTATATTTAGCGTACTGTTGAGCAAGTCTGTAGTTGTTGTGAATATTATTTGAGAAAACGAAGAGGTTTGATAAAGATGGTACGTAAGATGTTTTTGGCCCAAAACCAAAACCGCCCAGTTTTGGAAAGAGCTTGATTCCTTATCTATTAGAATAGCGGATATTTAGTGTAAATCTATATATATAATAATATTATATATTACATAGTCCTTTAACAGTACCAGTCACCTAACATTACACTATAACAACCCCTGCTTCACAAGTGTTAGTTACCTCATCTTCAGCATGATACTCTCTAAAGAACAGAGAAATTAATTATTCAATAAGAATTTATTTACTGGCACGAAATCATTCAGATCACAATGAACTTGCCATGCTATGATTTTTGTATACGTCAACTGTAGTTACCATGTCCGACAATGTATTCGGTTGCCAGGTTCCTAATAGCTTTGTTTTGTTATTTAGATGGCGCAATAACTGTGGTTCATGACATATTAATTTTCTGTTCTTCCTTTTCGATCTCAAAAACTTTAGAGCATATGCTGACTGCTGAGGTTGACACATGCGCATGGGGTCCAGAGGCACATATTAGGTGCGGTAAAAAAAATCGAAATTATGCGGTACCGCACCCGACTATAAAGGTAAAATGTGCGGTAAGGTGCGGTAAATTTTTACCAATTATGCGGCAAATGTGCGGCGACTTTTTCGAAATTTGTGCGGGAATTGTGCGGTTTTCTTTTGCATTTTCTCAAGGACTTTGGAAATTCTAAACGTGTAACCGCCGCTCTTATCAAAAATAGGTCTGACGACGATTAACACATGTTTATTGAAAGCTTCTACAAGTTAAATCATCGTATCTCTTATATGTTTTTAACCCAACTCCACTCAGTTTTAAAAATAGGTCTGTTTATGTGTTACTGAGGGTGTAGTTCTTTACTAAGACCATGATTGAACCTATATTGAGATTCAGTTATCTGAGAACAGTGACTTGATCTGGTAGAGATCAGGAAACAGTTATTTGAAGACGCCTCTTGATAGAGTCGATCAGATCCCATGCAGGTATCTTCTGTTTTTTGTGTGGTGAGCTTGATGATGGGTCACTGTTTATGTCTGTAGCTGTTCGTTTCTTTAGGAAACGGTCCATGACGTTGTGATATAGAGTAATCAGATGATGTGGTGAAGGTACGAATGATAACTGATACACTATAATCGAAGTACGGTAACGACGAGGGTTCCATAACGGCCTGGGTCACGGTCCCGAAAGGGCCTGGGTCACGGTCCCGAAAGGGCCTGGGTAACGGTCCCGAAAGGGCCTGGGTCACGGTCCCGAAAGGGCCTGGGTCACGGTCCCGAAAGGGCCTGGGTCACGGTCCCGAAAGGGCCTGGGTCACGTGGTAACTGGGTCACGTGGCCTAGGAATGAGTTCCAAAAGGGCCTGGGTCACGGTCCCGAAAGGGCCTGGGTAACGGTCCCGAAAGGGCCTGGGTCACGGTCCCGAAAGGGCCTGGGTCAGGGTCCCGAAAGAGCCTGGGTCACGTGGTAACTGGGTCACGTGGCCTAGGTATGAGTTCCAAAAGGGCCTGGGTCACGGTCCCGAAAGGGCCTGGGTCAGGGTCCCCAAAGGGCCTGAGTCACGGTCCTAAAAGGGCCCGACTTTTAACATATTTTGGTTTTTACACTCGAAAATCTTAACGCAAAAATTTCAAAATTATGCGAAATTACGCGGAAAATGCTAGATTATGCGGAAATATGCAGAAAATTACAAAATGTGCGGAAATGTGCGGAAAACAATAAATTATGCAGAAATGTGCGGAAAACGGTAAATTGTGCGATCCCGCACCCATCGCACCTAATATGTGCCTCTGATGGGGTCGAGCTAAGTTTGATATTTCTAAAGATTTCTTTATTTATTGCTATACTGCGCATAGTTATACACAACGTAAAAATCAAAACGTGACCCAGGAATAGGAAATAGATTTTCTCATTGACTTGTTATCTGGTTTACCTTTGTTATAGTTATTTTGATAATAAAATTGCCTGTTTTGGAAGCCGAGTTTTTCATATCGACCACGTCCGAAGTCTGCACTTTTTTCTTTACCAAAATATCCATCTTGAATCATTTGAAATTTATAACTGATAAAGTTTATTAAGAGATTTTGAAGAATAACGATTACGAAGTTTATGACACACGTGTCGTAAAATTACTAGATGTTGAGGATTACTCTAGCGACGATAGTGTCTCTGGTGATCATAAGGTCTACCATTGCTGGTGAGTGCCTCTTACTATCCTTAGAATTGTAACGGTTTATTTCTTCTGTAATTTATTCTTCTGGTAATGAATTTGTGATTGGTAATGCAATGTACAGGGGGGGGGGGGGGGGGCTCAGCAAATGTTCTACTTTAGTCTTTACTACCGTCAAATGCGTTCTGTTAAAACAGCAAGCTTGGTATAAACAGTAAGTATAAACGACGTTAAATTCCTCAGCTCAGTACAAGGTAACAATACGTACCTCCGACATTCCAAATGCTGGGTCAGACTCAGACTTCTACTACACCTTCCTCGGAAACAAAGGAAGTACTGAAGAGAAAAAAGCAGACAATAGTAACGACAGACAGAAAGGCGAAACAGATACTTGGACATTCTCAGACAGTGCAGATATTGGAGAGTTCAGATGTATCTTGATAAGGATGGACGGATTGGACGGATCGGACGGCTGGATTTTGAAGAGGGTATTTCCTATTTATAGTAATTTTCTGTTTATAGTAGTCCGGGTTTAGAACGCCATTCCCATGTAAAATACTATTTGGATCGTTTCTTATTTTTTGTGATAACTTAATTTTCAAAAGATTGAGATAGCAATAGACGGTTCCCCACAAACAACCATTGTTATTTCTGATCACACATTTATCTTTTTTTTGTGACGGAATACTTCTAACGTGTTTACCCTTTCTAGCAATGACAAGGAAACAGGGATAACCGATTGGACTGGGGCGTTGCAGACCAGTGGCAGCACACTACCGTCCAATCGGTAAGTATTTATAATGTTTAGTTATTAGGTATTTATTTGGAATTGGTTTAAATTGGTTGTAAAGTTATTCTATTATGTAATAAAGTATTTTGTTTTACAGGTTTTGTACATACGACAATTACGGGTTTTAATTGGTCAACAAACGGTCATCTAACAGTGATAGCAGGAAGTCGGAAAACGTTCTACGCAACGACCTGACAGTGGCACTTTGTTTGTGTGTTATTTAGACTACAATTTAGAGACTAATTTAGAGACTAATTGAGAGACAATTTTAGAGTTTTTTGAGTCGAACTATAACTATGAGTCTTCGTGAGATACCAGTTGTAGACGACAGCGCTGATTACAGCACATGGAAGAAGAAAGTGCTAATATGGCAGCTTGGCACCGCAGCAACAACGAAACAGCAAGCTAGTAAGCTGATTATGAACATGAAAGGTAGACCACAGGAGGTCTCTATAAACATGACATTAAAGGTGCTAGGGGCAGAAGATGGAGTTGATAAACTCATTGCCGAACTGGACAAACTGTATAAGAAGGACAGTACCCAGTCTTTATTTAAGGCAATAGATGATTTTGAGGGATACAGGAGAGGAGATGGAGAAGATATAGACAACTACATCTTGGATTTCCAGAGGAGGTATAAAATCCTCAAACAGCTGAGAAAGAACGAAGATCGTTACGATGACATGGTATTAGCGTATAGACTTTTAAATCAGGCAACCCTCAATGATGAACAGGCTAGATTGGTTCGAGCAACTTGCACTGCTACATTATCATATGACCTTATGCAAGAACAACTAAAAAGGACATTCGGAGATGGATTCACAAGAAATGAGAACCACTCCAGTTTACCTTTTAAAAGTACTCCTATGGAGGAAATGGTAAAGCAGGAACCTGTCTTTCTAGCTGAGGATTACAAATTGGGGTCTGACATTCACTGGACCAGAAATGGGGATCAAAGGAATTTCACGGGTCAACCAATGAGAGAAGAAAACAGATATAACCCTGATGCTCAGGATAGAGGACAGCAGAGATACAACTCATATGCTCAAAAACGAGGACAAAAGCTTTATATGAGGGGGAGTAGTAGTCCCAAGGTATGTTGCTTTATATGCCACCAACCAGGTCATATGGTTGCTCAGTGTTCATTCAACACATTCTCACGAGATCAAAGACAAGAGGATGAGTTTCCCGGATCTGAGGATCCTGACCTTGGAAATACGGAATGATCGAGAGAGCTGGCAATACTGAATACATAAAAACCTTTGTTCAGAGTAGATTTGGAAAAGTATCTTGATTGAGAAACAAGAAGGCAATCAAATGAATGTTTCGTGTCGTTTAAATGTATGAGTAAAGAGCGTTGAGTCAAGCAAAGGTCAATGTTTCTATTTTAGGAATTGTGAGTTTATAGATGTGGATACTGGTGGGGAGGTGAAACACATTTGTTTACGTATTAAGTGGCGCCTCTATTCAGCAGGTTGAAGAGGTGATACACATTTGTTTACGTTTTAAGTGGCGCCTCTATTCAGCAGGTTGAAGAGGTGATACACATTTTGTATTATAGAAGGCTTGTAACACTTGTAACGCTTTCTTGTTACCCCCCTTTGAAGGCCCCGAATTATTTTCTGAACGAAAGCTCAAAAATAACCGAGAAATCGACCTTCTTATTAACTCATTTTGATGACTGTTTCTAACCTAAAATTGCACGAAAAATCGATTAAGCTAGGTTTCAGAACCTATAAACACTTCCTTATCCCTCAAAATTGATATTTTATAGTTGATACGAGCAACAAGCAACATTTTTTTGATCCTTCGGTTCTACTCATGACCTAGGCAGTTAAGCTGAACCCGACAGATCGAGGCAATCCTCACCTTAACTGATCAAACTGGTACTAACACAATTTTCAGATATTATAAATGTTCTTTGCGATACGTTTATTGCAGCTTATGACCATAGTTGGTACTACAATAAGTGGGTTTCACTTCTAAGCTACCGTATAACCGTATACTAAATTGTTGCAGGATCAGAATGTTCGTGAGGAACAGTCACCAAAAGTGAGTTGCTTACCTGCTGTGTGTTTTTGTACTCTGGTCTTCACTCAAGTTGCAAAGCTGCAATAAACGTATCGCAAAGAACATTTATATCTGAAAATGGTGTTAGTACCAGTTTGATCAGTTAAGGTGAGGATTGCCTCGATCTGTCGGGTTCAGCTTAACTGCCTAGGTCATGAGTAGAACCGAAGGATCAAAAAAATGTTGCTTGTTGCTCGTATCAACTATAAAACATCAATTTTGAGGGATAAGGAAGTGTTTATAGGTTCTGAAACCTAGCTAAATCGATTTTTCGTGCAATTTTAGGTCAGAAACAGTCATCAAAATGAGTTAATAAGAAGGTCTATTTCTCGGTTATTTTTGAGCTTCCGTTCAGAAAATAATTCGGGGCCTTCAAAGGGGGGTAACAAGAAAGCGTTACAAGTGTTACAAGCAAAGAAATTCAAGTAAAGTCACCTGACATTCCAACATCTAATCCCATAGAGATTTCTCATCAAATAATGAATGTGTACAGCAGTAGCGAGGGTCTGTACTTCTTCAAAGTAAAATTTGCCCGAGGCTTAAAGTTACAGAGTAAACCGGTGAAGCTGGCGGTTAAAAAGAAGTGCAGACCTTTTACTCCTCCACCCAATACAGGTGAATTACATTTTACTAAAGGTGCATTTTTCATTAGTTTCTGGTTTTATTTTACTACTTTTGTTTCTGACATGGACAGTTTTCATATTCCTTGAGACATTCCTATCTGCATGCATTTTCCTGACATTGTTCCAGTCACAAACGTTGTTTCGTTTTATCCAATATCCTTAAACTCCCGTACAATTGCAGTGCTAACCAAGGTAGACATTCTGAATTCCTACAACTACAAGATAACGGTGAACTGCAAGGAGGGGGGCCAGTTTGACTACGTGTTTATGGACTCTGAGAAGAGGGAAGCACTGTGTGACACAGACACGGGAATGTATAGTATAACCGAGCTAACTCCCTGTCTCAAGGCTATTGAACCCACTGACTGAAAAAACAGCTTCTGATATTTATTGATTAAACTGATGATATGTTCGTAATTGTTTGTTTTGCAAAAATTTTCAATATTATTCAACGATTTTTTAAATGTGTGATGCAATTTTCAATAATCGCAATTTGAGAATTTGATTTAATTTTACTGTTTTAATTTTAAGCCATAAATCATTGAATATAATAATATATAGTATTATCTATTATACAAAGTACAAATAATATTATTTTAAATTTGTCATTATAATTAAATTATATTCGGGTGACTAAATTCGAATTCTAACTAAACAGGTTCTTGGGTAAATTGCCAGAAACAAATAAGCTACTTCTAGCTCATAATAAAAGTTTGTGCTTGCGAGCAAGCAGTTCTCAACTCTTTCGATGTTTTTACCCTGTAAGCCTGTATGAGAAATAAACAAGATTGGAGATCATCATGATAAAGGCCTGTTAACCCTGTCTCAGAGGGACCACATGTAACGTTAAATGGAGCCTTCATTTGAAAGTAGAGCGGTTGTTTCAAGCCGTAGCTGTAATTATTACATAGAATAGGTTGGAAACTCCTTTAGCTATAAAGACTGCTTACACATCAACCCAAGAGAAGTAATAATTTCAAGCTGAAAACGTGAAATTTTCTCATATTTTCTCCATTGTCATAATCGTGATCTGCTGTAATGAATGAGAAGTGTTTAAACATCAAAATTTTCGCAGGAAAAAAATCAGAAATTCAAATAGTTATTATCACATCACACGTGCAGTGGTAGCATTAGGACAGATACTTCCTCTACAACGTGACACCTTCTGAAGAAATCGTTATACGTAAGAATTTGTTTAGTGATTAGACATGCCATGCTGAATTTTGAATAGCCAAATTTCGTAATATACCCAATATAATAGTATTTTGAATTATGAACTGTAATTACCGCAACCGATACGACGCTTGAGTCAGTTGCAAAGTTGTAATAATATGTCAGCTATATTTTTTTATTCTATAATTGAAATGGAACAGTTACTGTGGCTCATATTATATATTATTCTTCGACCTCAAATATTCTGGCCATTGTATTACGTCAATTTCAAGTTCCGTGGCCTGTTGCGTGTACTGTTGAGCAAATTCGTAGTTGTTCTGAATTGTGTAGGGTCAAAACTCAAAATGTTTATAATGACGAATTATAAACCTTCACAGCTACGGTAGTGAGCGAGTTAAACACGTGCCTGCTAAGTCTGATACTTTTGAGATTGATTACATAATTATTTAATTATTTGGTAGTTACCGTTAACTTACGTTAAGTATCCAGTAAGGTGCATGTTATCAAGCTTGGTTCTATCAACATAAAATCAATAAACAAAGTTAGATACTTAATACTTATTTTAAGTGTTGTAACTCTCTGATGAATATTGTCACGGACTTTTTGTTTAGTTAACCTTTGCAATCGTTCTTTCTCCGAGATTAAAGTTTACAGTTGTTTTAATATCAAGTTTTCCGTAACATCCATTAGATTAGATGTTATAAATTAAACAAAATATTCAATATTCATCAATAATCTGGATTTGATCAGCTATGAAAGCCTGACCAAAAGTCTTGCTTTTAATAATGACAATGATGAAGATGACTCTAGTGACGATAGTGTTCCTGGTGATCATAGGGTCTACCCTAGCTGGTGAGTACCTTGCTATCTTAATAATGTGTTTGAATAGCAGGGGATAGCTCCATCAAGACCTTAATCCTTATCCATACTCAAACCAAGACATAACTAACACACATTATCGTATTTCAATTGCTTGTATTATAGCACATCCTATATGGGGGGGGGGGGGGGGGGGGGTGACATGTCCGCCTATGTCCTGTCCTTTTTGGATTCTATGAGACAACGGACGTGTTTTTTGGGACATTAGCGGACATTGACGGACATTGGCGGGCTCGGCAAACATTATGAGAATTTTTCGTACATAATTTGGACAATTGGAAGCGAGCTTATATTCATAAAAGCCTATATTCATAACCTATCGAGGCATCCCCTTTACGAATCTCGGAAAGCAGGTCTCCCCTTTTTCAAACCGAACTCGGAATCGGATCAGGGTAGCATGAAACATGGACAAAAGTAGTTTCCAGAAAAACTTTGACTTACAAAATTTTCGGTCTGAGTGATTCTCGATACGTACCTCTGAAGGCAGAGCTCCCGCTTCCGAGCTCGTATTGTGAAGGGGAGGCCTGCCTTCCGAGATTGCATTACAAAGAGGAACCCTCAAGTCCAAAATCGTATATCGAAGGGTAGGTGCGAAGAAATATTTTCGGCTCTTAATGATCAGGGTAGCATGAATTATGAAACATGTCCGAGTCACAGGATCAAATATGTAAATATACTAGACCAATTTTTCAACATTTTTAGAAACCTAAATAAAAAAGTTTGCCCTTTTTGGCCCCTTGCCCAAATTTTATGGGGGCGACAGATCCTCTACGGGATATCAAGGTCATATTGGACTCAAGACAGTGACTCAGCTCTAGACGGTGAATATCACTGTTCCAGACAGTGGCTGCTTGTTAACAGCCCTGTCAAGCGCAGAACCGATTGTAGATCATGTGATACCAATGTAGTGCACACATTGGCTTGCCCATGGTCACGTGATATCGATCCTGCATGGCTGCATTCTGATCCGCTCCAGGGCTGCATGTCTATAAATACCCACACACAGACCAGTAAGTCAGTGACTTCTTAGTCTGTGCTGATATTGTTACCCAGTAGTGGAAGTTATTTCTTCTGACTTCGTAATCCGTTCTTTTTCTCTCGTCTTTTTAAACCGTAACAATTTTGATGAGGATCAAAGAATTAAATAAATTCTGCCTGTTTTAATTCAGCTGGTATTGTCTCGAAGCCCATAGCTATTTCTATTTCTATAAAAGCGGACATAGACGGACGTGACACCCCCCCCCCCCCCTACATGTTAATTAAGTGCTGGCTGAAAGAAAACTCCAACCAATTAACCAGGTAAATGTAGCTTGGGCTGCTGGAAAGACACAAGTACCAGAGCAATATCTGGCGGCAAAAGAAACTACGACAATCCAATAGAAGACTGTTACAAATTCGCAAAGAAAAAGGGCTACTCAGTCTTTGCAGTTCAACACAAGACGGAGTGTTTCACAGCAGAAGATGCTCATGAAACTTTCAATCAATACGGAAATAAAACTAATTGTGACAATGGCAAGGGAGGGTCCTGGGCTCAAAACGTTTACCTGGTGACTCGTGAATGTAAGACATTTTAGTCATCAGTAGACATTTTTACTGTTTTTCAATAAACTATAACAAATATTTCAATAACCATTATCATGATTAATGATTATTATCTAACGATACCGTTAAACAAAATTTTGACTCTTGATATATAGTTTTTAATTCATACAATAACAAGGCAGTCTTTTAACAGCAATTATTAAGAGCAATTATTTAAATTCGCTAAACTGAAATTACTTGAATAATAATGTATATTCATCATTACAGATCAATAAACGAGTGCATCACCTAATCAACTTCAGGTGTTCAAGTTATTGTTTCTAGCAAGTTGAACCTTTACTAATCAATATTATATATATAACACAAATATAACCAGATACCGGAAAATGGAAAGACTATGGATCACTGTCACCTTGCCCGGGTTTGTTCATATATAAAAAAGAATTAAGCATTCATATAATGTAACTAAAACTTGAACTAAGTTCCAACAAAAACAAAATACAGAAGTGTTCATAATATACAAGCTTTAAACCTTTACTCATCATTACTTGTTTCAGTTGAAGGAACGTGGACTAATTGGGGTAAATGGTCGAGCTGCTCAACAATTTGTGGAGGAGGCCACAAGAAAAGGAGAAAATCCTGCACAAATCCAGTTCCTCTTTACGGTGAAGCTAAATGCGGAGTTGAATCAGGAGACAGCACTGAGACTAAGTCTTGCAACACTGAAAGCTGCCCGATTAATGGCGGATGGAGCAGCTATGGAGAGTGGTCAGACTGTTCTAAGGAATGTGGAACGGGATCCCAGTCAAGAACCAGAACCTGCACAGATCCTGTTCCTGCTCACGGTGGAACTGAATGTGTAGGAGAAAACACTGAGGAACAGAATTGCAACACTGAAAGCTGTCCTATTGATGGCGGATGGAGTGACTATGGAGAGTGGTCAGAGTGTTCTAAGGAATGTGGAACAGGATCCCAAACACGAACCAGAACCTGCACAGATCCTGCTCCTGCTCACAGCGGGACTCAATGTGTAGGAGAAAATACTGAGGAACAGAATTGCAACACTGAAAGCTGTCCTATTGATGGCGGATGGAGCAGCTATGGAGAGTGGTCAGACTGTTCTAAGGAATGTGGAACGGGATCCCAGTCAAGAACCAGAACCTGCACAGAGCCTGCTTCTGCTCACGGTGGAACTAAATGTGTAGGAGAAAAGACTGAGGAACAGAATTGCAACACTGAAAGCTGTCCTGTTGATGGCGGATGGAGTGACTATGGAGAGTGGTCAGAGTGTTCTAAGGAATGTGGAACAGGATCCCAGTCAAGAACCAGAACCTGCACAGATCCTGCTTCTGCTCACGGTGGAACTGAATGTGTAGGAGAAAACACTGAGGAACAGAATTGCAACACTGAAAGCTGTCCTGTTGATGGCGGATGGAGTGACTATGGAGAGTGGTCAGAGTGTTCTAAGGAATGTGAAACAGGATTCCAAACACGAACCAGAACCTGCACAAATCCTGCTCCTGCTCACGGTGGAACTGAATGTGTAGGAGAAAAGACTGAGGAACAGAATTGCAACACTGAAAGCTGTCCTGTTGATGGCGGATGGAGTGACTATGGAGAGTGGTCAGAGTGTTCTAAGGAATGTGGAACAGGATCCCAGTCAAGAACCAGAACCTGCACAGAGCCTGCTTCTGCTCACGGTGGAACTGAATGTGTAGGAGAAAAGACTGAGGAACAGAATTGCAACACTGAAAGCTGTCCTGTTGATGGCGGATGGAGCAGCTATGGAGAGTGGTCAGACTGTTCTAAGGAATGTGGAACGGGATCCCAGTCAAGAACCAGAACCTGCACAGAGCCTGCTTCTGCTCACGGTGGAACTGAATGTGTAGGAGAAAACACTGAGGAACAGAATTGCAACACTGAAAGCTGTCCTATTAATGGCGGATGGAGCAGCTATGGAGAGTGGTCAGACTGTTCTAAGGAATGTGGAACGGGATCCCAGTCAAGAACCAGAACCTGCACAGAGCCTGCTTCTGCTCACGGTGGAACTGAATGTGTAGGAGAAAAGACTGAGGAACAGAATTGCAACACTGAAAGCTGTACTGTTGATGGCGGATGGAGTGACTATGGAGAGTGGTCAGAGTGTTCTAAGGAATGTGGAACAGGATTCCAAACACGAACCAGAACCTGCACAAATCCTGCTCCTGCTCACGGTGGAACTGAATGTGTAGGAGAAAAGACTGAGGAACAGAATTGCAACACTGAAAGCTGTCCTGTTGATGGCGGATGGAGTGACTATGGAGAGTGGTCAGAGTGTTCTAAGGAATGTGGAACGGGATCCCAGTCAAGAACCAGAACCTGCACAGATCCTGCTCCTGTTCACAGCGGGACTCAATGTGTAGGAGAAAAAACTGAGGAACAGAATTGCAACACTGAAAGCTGTCCTATTGATGGCGGATGGAGCAGCTATGGAGAGTGGTCAGAGTGTTCTAAGGAATGTGGAACAGGAACCCAAACACGAACCAGAACCTGCACAGATCCTGCTCCAGCTCACAGCGGGACTAAATGTGTAGGAGAAAACACTGAGGAACAGAATTGCAACACTGAAAGCTGTCCTATTGATGGCGGATGGAGCAGCTATGGAGAGTGGTCAGAGTGTTCTAAGGAATGTGGAACGGGATCCCAGTCAAGAACCAGAACCTGCACAGATCCTGCTCCTGCTCACGGTGGAACTGAATGTGTAGGAGAAAAGACTGAGGAACAGAATTGCAACACTGAAAGCTGTCCTGTTGATGGCGGATGGAATGACTATGGAGAGTGGTCAGAGTGTTCTAAGAAATGTGGAACAGGATTCCAAACACGAACTAGAACCTGCACAGATCCTGCTCCTGCTCACAGCGGGACTCAATGTGTAGGAGAAAACACTGAGGAACAGAATTGCAACACTGAAAGCTGTCCTATTGATGGCGGATGGAGTGACTATGGAGAGTGGTCAGACTGTTCTAAGGAATGTGGAACAGGATTCCAAACACGAACCAGAACCTGCACAGATCCTGCTCCTGCTCACAGCGGGACTCAATGTGTAGGAGAAAACACTGAGGAACAGAATTGCAACACTGAAAGCTGTCCTATTGATGGCGGATGGAGTGACTATGGAGAGTGGTCAGAGTGTTCTAAGGAATGTGGAACAGGATCCCAGTCAAGAACCAGAACCTGCACAGATCCTGCTCCTGCTCACAGCGGGACTCAATGTGTAGGAGAAAACACTGAGGAACAGAATTGCAACTCACAAAGCTGCCCGGTTAATGGCGGATGGAGTGACTATGGAGAGTGGTCAGGGTGTCCTAAAGAATGTGGAACGGGATCCCAGTCAAGAACCAGAACCTGCACAGAGCCTGCTTCTGCTCACGGTGGAACTGAATGTGTAGGAGAAAACACTAAGGAACAGAATTGCAACTCACAAAGCTGCCCGGTTAATGGCGGATGGAGTGACTATGGAGAGTGGTCAGAGTGTTCTAAGGAATGTGGAACAGGATCCCAAACACGAACCAGAACCTGCACAGATCCTGTTCCTGCTCACAGCGGGACTCAATGTGTAGGAGAAAACACTGAGGAACAGAATTGCAACACTGAAAGCTACCCTGTTGATGGCGGATGGAGTGATTATGGAGAGTGGTCAGAGTGTTCTAAGGAATGTGGAACAGGATCCCAAACACGAACCAGAACCTGCACAGAGCCTGCTTCTGCTCACGGTGGAGCTCAATGTCAAGGGCATAAAGAATTATCGCGGAATTGCAGCGCTCACTCTTGCCCAAGTATTTGTAATATTTTAACATAACTGAACCCATTCGACTGAATGTTTAGACTTATCCACACCCAAACTTAGTTGTAACAAACACAAATTACTGGTACTTGTATAACGTATCCAATATGCTGATGGAGTGCTGGTAGATAAAAAAATATACATGCAGGTTTGTCAGTTTAAGCACCAAAAGATTTTTAAACGTTACAAAACTAAATTTTCAGGTTGTACGGGACTAGATCCAACCTGGGAACACGCTGTAACAGTAACACAGTTTCCTGTAGAAGCAGGAGAAGTGATCAGAGTGAGCTGTAAACTTAGATATATCAACTTAGGAGCACAGACTATGACATGTATTGATGGAACGAGCTATGAGGTAGTTGGTACAGAAACAGCAGACCCTCCTAAATGTATGAAAACAAGTAAGTACTACATGTAAGGCTTTAGAGTCTAGATGTATCTTAATATTATGTAATATATCTCTTTAATTCATATTTTAATACGCTTTTGTGTTGGTAACTTCAGTTCAAAACAATTGGGAACTTGCTTTTGAACTGAATAAACCAACAACATAAAATCATTATTTACAATATAACTGTACATTGTACAGAAATTCATTTAACCAACAACTAAATCGTAGACAAGTGCATACTATTGTAAATAATACAGGCAGCACTAACTAATTAAAAAATATTATGACAGTAGGGTAAAGCACATAATTTTGTCATTTTTTGGCAATTTTCCGACTGCCTGATATAAACCATGGGTTTTAACCTCGTCTGAAATTCCGATTTAGATGAAACCTCCACCATGTTATAGTAGACAGTCTAGGCAAGTTCTAACACAAAAATGATCGAAATTGCTGGGGTTGAAGATGTTCAAAAAAATTATTTTGAAAAAATGACAAAATTAGGTGACTTTACTTAATTTTGTCACCCCGAACCTAATTTTGTCACTTGAAGATTGTGCAAAAAGTAACCGTTTCTCGGTATTTTAGACTACCTGGATGCATCATTCGAGCGCTTTTTTACCAACATTGACCTCAAAAATCCCAAAGATATGATGTTTTCATAGTTTTGTAGCTTGATGAAAAGATGACACTTTTTGGGTATCTAATCTTAGAAAATAGCCCCAAATGCCCCTGAAACCACTGGCATCTTGAAAAACGATCGGTTCTAGGCCTAGGTTGAAATTTTCATGTCTGTAGATAGATCACTTGCTTAGTAATTTCATCAAATATTTTTTTAGTCATTTTAGATTGAAAAAATCAGATTATCCACCTAATATTTCTCGGCGAAAATATGCTATTATAAGTGTTATGCTATTATTTAAGTGCCTTATACATATCCTATGGGCAAAACAACTTCAGAATAGTTGTATAAGGCCATTTTCAACACAATCTGTGATTTACAAGAAATTTGAGAAAGGTCGATTTTTTTGACAAAATTAGGTACTTTTGGCAAAATCGAACCTAATTTTGTCACCCTCTGTAACTTGAACAATAATTGCGCTAGAGACTTGAAAATTTGTACGTATACTTCTGCTGTAGAAGATATTTGAAATATGCAATGGCATGAAGCTAGCTCAATTACTTTTGAAATAGCAATAAATCAAAATTTTGAAAATTCCTTAAGAAAACCTTAAGGATCTTATTTATTTTTCGGGTTAACAGTTTCGCCTTCATTTTTGACACAGATGCAAAAGAGCTAGAAACTTAAACTTTGTACGAGCAGTTTCAGCAAAGTCTAAGCTTTCTTTTTATACACAATCCTTTTCTTTCAAGCTGAAATTCCGAGCCGAGGCAGTTTTTCAGAGCAAAATGACAAAATTAGGTACCCTGACAAAATTATGTGCCTTACCCCAGAAACAGCAGACCCTCCTAAATGTATGAAAACAAGTAAGTACTACATGTAAGGCTTTAGAGTCTAGATGTATCTTAATATTATGTAATATATCTCTTTAATTCATATTTTAATACGCTTTTGTATTGGTAACTTCAGTTCAAAACAATTGGGAACTTGCTTTTGAACTGAATAAACCAACAACATATAATCATTATTTACAATATAACTGTACATTGTACAGAAATTCAAACCAACAACTAAATCGTAGACAAGTGCATACTATTGTAAATAATACAGGCAGCACTAACTAATTAAAAAATATTATGACAGTAGAAACTCTATATTATATATTATGTTTGAATCAGCTGATATAGTAACATATGCAGTATACACTCTACAGTGACTGTTATACACTAACATTATCTCTTCCCCTGTTCAGAGCATCTATAACACTCTTTTTCTCAGGGGAATACTCTTTTACACCTACTGGTATCTGTTATTCATATTTAGGGTACTGTTGAGCAAGTCTGTAGTTGTTATGAATCTTAATTGAGAAAACGAGGAGGTTTGATAGAGATAGTTTTGGTTTTGGCCCAAAGCCAAAACCGGCCAGTTGTGGAAAGAGCTTTATTCCTTATCTCTTAGAAGAGCGGATATTCAGTGTAAAGCTATATATCATTACATATTCAATTCTTGAAATGTGCATTTTGATTTATTCCAATTCGTTTCTAGCTCTGCTCATATCAGTGACCTCTATACTACTCGCACAACATATTATCAACCAGTGACTGCTGCTCGCAGAGCAGAAATTTGGTTGACATTTAAGATAGGGCTTGAACACAGCTAGCCGAACTGTAAGCACTGTCTTATTGTGTCCACATGGCTTAAGGCTTTTAAAATTATAATTGATAAAAACCCACAATCAAGGATTAATATTAATTTCCGGTAATTTCCGGCAGCCTAAAGTTCCCTCTTCTTAATACCCTGTCCCGGTCCGGCGAAATCTGGCAAACCGGAAAATATATTGGTATCCGGTCGTTTCTGGTACGGCAGCCAAAACCCCAGACCGGTTGGTTCATTTTCTTCATGATAGCAACCACAGTGGTAGTGTTAGTAACATTATCTTCATGATAACAACCACAGTGGTAGTGTTAGTTACCTCCTCTTTAGCATGATACTCTCTAGAAAGAAAACAATAGATAATATGTTTTATAAATAAGACAGTGGAGAAATGGATTATTCTACATTGAGAATTTATTTACTGGCCCGAAATGAAACATATCAACTTGAACTGTGAATAGTAAATTGTCATGATATTTTTTTACGTCAACTGTAGTTACCATGTCCGATTATTTATTCGGTTGTTATGTTGCCAGGTTCCTAGCTTTGTTCTATTATTTAAAGATGGAGCAGTTACTGTGGTCCATGACATATTAATTATTGTCCTTTTCGATCCCTCTCAAAAACTCTAGATTTTATGTTGAAGTTGACACCTGCGCATTGCGTATGGAGTCGAGCTAAGTTAGTTACTTCTAAAGATTTCTTTAATGTTTATACACTGTAGTATTAAGCCAAGTATGCACTAGAGTGAGTTAAGATTGAGGCTACTCACTTTAAGTATTGCACAATAAACTCTCTCGGTTGTCGCCATGTATAGGAACCGACCGGATATCCGGCTGAATTCAGATCCGGCCGGATATCCGGCTTCAATATCCGGTTCCGGCTCCGGTCCGGTTTCAGAAAATATGCCGGATTTTTGCCAGATATTTCTTCAAAAAAATTTATTTCTAAAATCTAGAAATGCATATTTTTCTTCCCTTTTTAACTCAAATCTTTTGAAAAATCAAAAATGTTTTGACTAAGTGCGGAATTCAAAAAACCGAACAAATATTTTTGGATAATAATGATCATGGTAGCATGAAACGTGGAGAAAAGTGATTTCCAGAAAACTTTGAAAAAGTTTCGACTTAGAACATTCTCGGTCCGATACGTACCTCCTATATCGATACGTACCTCCTATATCGAGAGCTCCCGCTTCCGACATTGTGTTGCAAAGGGGAGGCCTGCCTTCCGAGATCGCATTACCAGGGGGAAGCCTCGAGTCCAAAACCTATGTACAGAGGAGAACCGAACCTTACTACGAACAGTAGCTCTAGTAATGCTCTTTATCACAATTTATTATTATGATCCAGTTTTGGCTCCGAGTTTTGTGAAACACTGGCAACGGTCCACTCTACCCAATTATGAGTTTTGGTAAAATATATAATAATATGCTACAACATGCAAGTTTAATTACTCATAATTAATATGCACGTGCGACGAGCGGGCTACGGACATAACTTTTAATTGCTTATTACTTTATTATTATAGTTATAGAGAGATAAAAACAATGCATGTGCAAATCGAGCATGTGTTGCAGACCTCTACGATCTGGAAGGGTCAATCAACAGTTATCACTGTAATCACTGCCTAGTGCCTAACTCAAGCTGTAGCGCGTGGGCAGCTGTTCTTAACTTTTTAAGATCTTAAACGTTTGGGAAATTCATTCGCCAATAATAAATTATTTGTAGGCCGTGAATGAATGGGAAAAGCGAGCGAGCGATGTTAGTCCGCTAATTGACAATAACAGTGATTATACTTATAAATATCTTAAGTAATAGTCTCAATAAATCTGTGTGTGTGTGTGTGTGCAATTTACAATTAAATTCTACTGAAGGATCACATCACTAATTATACGTCACTAATTGGTGACATGATCTGACATGATCTGATCACCGAGGGACCCCTAAAAATTGGGGGTCCCCTAAGTCGTGCAGCCCAATCGCGCTCAAGGGGTCTGGCAGGATATGCCAATTGCATATCATTTCTGATAATAACTTGTCTACTCTTGTTACTTCTTGTTTACTCTGATTACAACTTACTGCTTGTTGATTTGATATTTGAGCTATGTGAATGTCTACTGCTAGGCCTAAACAGGAAATATCATCGGTGTGGTTGTATCAAATTGCTCTTAGGAATGCAGAACTTATCGTGTAATTACAAACGATGGCTTAGTAGAATAAATATCATAGTTGATAACGACAAAAGCCCAATAATGAGGATTAATTTAAATTTTCCGGCAAGTTCCGGCAGCATTATATTTGCCCTTCCTAACAACCGGTTCCGGTCCGGCAAAATCCGGCTAACCGGATAATAGATTAATATCCGGCAAAATCCGGTCCGGCAGCCAAAAGCCCATTCCGGTCGGTTCCTAGCCATGTAGGTAGATACGATGCTATAGTGGGCATACTGCGTACACACAACGTAAAAGTTAAAACGTGACCCGGAATAGGAAATAGATTTTCTCGTTGTCTTGTTATCTGGTTTACCTTTATATAGTTATTTTGCGGATGATAAAATTGCCTGTTGCTTTGTAAGCCCAGTTTTTCATATCGACCACGTCCGAAGTATGCATTTTTTTTCTTTACCAAAATATTAATCTTGAATCATTTGAAATTTATAACTGATAAAGTTTATTAAGAGATTTTAAAGAATAACGATTACAAAGTTTATGACACACGTGTTGTAAAATTACTAGATGGTGAGGATTACTCTAGTGACACTAGTGTCCCTGGTAATCATAAAGTCTACCATTGCGGGTGAGTGCCTTTTTCAGGTCTTACTATCTTTAGAATTGTAACAGGTTATTTCTTCTGATACTTGTTTAAAAAAAAATGGTAATGCAATGTACAGGGGGCTCAAAAATGCTCTATTTTTAGTCTTCACTGCCGTCAAATGCACTCTTGGTATAACATTGACTCAACCTGCTCAAGTATTTCCACATTAGGTTTTAATGCTTTCCATCTAGGTTTTAATGCTTGCATAACTTATTTAATGTGCCGATTGAGTGCTGGCAAAGAAATGGGTATTTTCAGAAACTGTAGAAATATTGAAATTCACCCCGGGTTGAATATTTTAAGTAACACCAATTAACCAGGAAATTGTAGCTTGGGCTGCTGGAACGACAATTCCCGAAGAGCAATAGCTGGCGGCATAAGATTCAACTCCGCCAATCCAATAGAAACATGTTACAACTTCGCCAAGGAAAAGGGCTACTCAGTCTTTGCAGTTCAATACAACACGGAGTGTTTCACTGCAGAGGATGCTCATGAAATTGAAACCTACAAGAAATATGGAAGAGCAACTAACTGCGAAGATGGCAAGGGAGGTTCCTGGGCTCAAAACGTTTATCTGGTGACTCGTGAATGTAAGACATTTTAGTCATCAGTAGACTTTATCACTGTTTTTCGATAAATTATAACAAATATTTAAATAACCGTTATCATAATTATTATCTACCGATACCGTTACGTTAAACAACATTTTGAATCATTGATATACAGTTTCTAATTCATACAATTAACGAGGCAGTCTTAAAAGCAATTATTTATATTCTAAACTGAAATGACAATAATTGTAATTCATCATTACAGATCAGTAAATAAGTGCGTCACCTAATCCACTTCAGGTGTTCAAGTTATTGTTTCTAGCAAGTTAAACCTTCACTAATCAATATATATAACACACATATAACCAGATACCGGAAAATGGAAAGACTATGGATCACTGTCACCTTGCCCTGGTTTGTCAATATGAAAAATAATAATTACGCATTCATATAATGTAACTAAAACTTGAACTAAGTTCCAACAAAAACTAAATACAGAAGTGTTCATAATTATATATAAGCTAACCTTTACTCATCATTACTTGTTTCAGTTGAAGGAACGTGGACTAGTTGGGGTATATGGTTGAGCTGCTCCAAGCACTGTGGAGGAGGAACCGAAACACGGAACAGAACCTGCACAAATCCTGCTCCTCTTCACGGTGGAGCTGAATGTGCAGGAAACAGCACCGACACTAAGTCTTGCAACACTCAAGACTGTCCAGTTGATGGCGGATGGAGTGAATATGGAACCTGGTCAGTGTGCTCTAAGGAATGTGGAGGAGGAACCGAAACACGGAACAGAACCTGCACAAAGCCTGCTCCTCTTCACGGTGGAACTGAATGTGCAGGAAACATCACTGAGACTAAGTCTTGCAACACTCAAGAGTGCCCAAGTATTTCCAAAATTGCTTCTTTTATTTAAATCGCACATTGAAATCTCGATTCGGTGATAACCTTATTAGACTTAAATGGACCTTATCTAGACTCGAACAACGTTGAACTATTGGATTTTAGATGTTATTTGATAGCAGTTATATCACTTTAATAAAGTGACATAACTGCTATCAAATAACATCTAATATAAGTGACTTTATACATAAAACTAAACTTTCAGGTTGTACGGGACTAGATCCAGCATGGAACTACGCTGTAACAGTTACACAGTTTCCTGTAGAAGCAGTAGAAGTGATCAGAGTGCGATGTAAACCTAGATATATCAACTTAGGAGCACGGTCTATGACTTGTATTAACGGAACGAGCTATGAGGTAGTTGGCAGAGAAACAGCAGATCCTCCTAATTGTATGAAAACGAGTAAGTATTGCATGTAAGGCTCTAGAGTCTAGATGTATCTTAATATTATGTAATATATCTTCTTAATACCCTGTCCCGGTCCGGAGAAATCCGGCAAACCGGAAAATATATTGATATCCGGTCGTTTCTGGTCCGGCAGCCAAAACCCCAGATCGGTTGGTTCCTTTTCTTCATGATAGCAACCACAGTGGTAGTGTTAGTAACATTATCTTCATGATAACAACCACAGTGGTAGTGTTAGTTACCTCCTCTTTAGCATGATACTCTCTAGAAAGAACACAATAGATAATATGTTTTATAAATAAGACAGTGGAGAAATGGATTATTCTACATTGAGAATTTATTTACTGGCCCGAAATGAAACATATCAACTTGAACTGTGAATAGTAAATTGTCATGATATTTTTTTACGTCAACTGTAGTTACCATGTCCGATTATTTATTCGGTTGTTAAGTTGCCAGGTTCCTACTAGCTTTGTTCTATTATTTAGATGGAGCAGTTACTGTGGTCCATGACATATTAATTGTCCTTTTCGATCCCTCTCAAAAACTCTAGATTTTATGTTGAAGTTGACACATGCGCATTGCGTATGGAGTCAAGCTAAGTTTGTTACTTCTAAAGATTTCTTTAATGTTTATACACTGTAGTATTAAGCCAAGTATGCACTAGAGTGAGTTAAGATTGAGGCTACTCACTTTAAGTATTGCTCAATAACTCTCTCGGTTGTTGCCATGTGGGTAGATACGATGCTATACTGGGCATACTGCGTACACACAACGTAAAAGTTAAAACTTGACCCGGGAATAGGAAATAGATTTTCCCACTGTCTTGTTGTCTGGTTTACCTTTGTTATAGTTATTTTGCGGATGATAAAATTGCCTGTTCATGCTAAGCAATAATGAGTGATAAGGTATGGCAACCATACTGCTGTGAAGAAGCCGTCTAGAAGCCCCTATATGGCTTCTGAAAGGCCACCATACATTTGACCTCAAAGTTCTTTGTAAGTAGTAATTATCAATTTATTTCGCAACGAAACAGAGCCTTTCAATTATAATACAATAATACCTTGGCTGCTTCGGGCCGCTCGTGATAATTCCCGACAGCTTGCTGGAGGGAATTTGCGGCCCGAAGCAGCCAAGGTATTATTTCTTATAATACCTTCCGGGAATTATATCCACTAAAAGTGTCGGACACTGAGAGCTGATAATTTGCCGATATATCCCGCAAGGAAAGCGAAGGTATTATCAGCATAGACCTCAGACTGGCTGGCGGCAAGTTGTAAAACAAATAACACTGGCGTTCTATATATTAGACACTATCAAGAGTTTAAATTCCCAAATAGTCAGACTGAGCAGGTTGAGCTGTAGTAAAACACAGTACTGAGGCGTTAAAACATTTTCATTACTATCTTCAGTAACATCCTGAATCAGAAACTCGGTTAATATCAGTTCCTACAAAGTGTAACATTGGAAATGAAATGACACAACTAAAAACGATATGAATATTTTTTAAAAACATAACTCTTGTGCCCCAATGCAATAGAAAACATTTAAGATAAATCCAATAATGGAATCCCAAACGGGTCCATGGCATTGAGCCCCAATGGACGTATAGTTCTAAGTTTCTGAATATAACGGTGTTCATCCACTTCTAGAGTTCTTGGGCTACTATTACTGAGAATTGACACTTTATAAGCCTGGTTAAAATTGTCACGTTGTTTCATGTTATGAACTTCTACAAGGTGTTTACCCAAGCTGAATCCGTCGTCGTTTTCTTCAGGGACAAACGTATTGTCCGAAATGAGTTTGTAGTAATGGGCGCGATGTTCGTTTACTCGTGCCCTGAGGGGCTGCACCGTTCTTCCTACATAACACATGTTACAAAGTTGGCAACTGAAGAGGTATACAACATTGTAGCTGACACATGTACCAGTCACTGCTTTGGCTCGCTGTCCATTGACTGTTATTGATGGATGTGGAGATATGATGTTACAGGTACCGCAGTGTCTGCCCCCACATGGTCTTGTGTGAGGTTGGGTTAAGTCATCCGCAAACTGTTTTGCTTTGACTAACTTCCTTCTAAATGATGTTCCAGTACGTCTGACGAATTTGAAGATAGGGCGTGATGTACCGGCTCTAGATGATATTGGGGAGCCTGGGGTGTTTCCACTTGTATGGGAACCAGATAATCCTGAGAAGCTCCTGGTTCTACTGAGTTCTGGTTCCAATCTTTGCACCGATTCTACTAACTCTTGATCACTGCCAAATGTTGAAATAACGCGGACTGCTGGTTCTGGAGACTTTGGTACCAGGACATTGCTGTTTGAGTTGTCCAGTGGTTTGAGACATCTTTCGAAGCCTTTGACCTTTTCACTGATGTTATCTACCATAGTTTTAGGGTAGTTGGATTGGAAGAAAAAGGTTTTTAATTCATCAATTTGTTTTCGGAGTCTGTCGTTATCATTGATGATTCGCCGGAGTCTCAGACATGCACTATAGACTATGCTGCTGAATGTATGGTTCGGGTGGTGGGAACCGAAGTACAGGTAGGAGCGGGCATCAGTCTCTTTAACATGGAGGTCTGTCTGAAGATCACCTGCGGTGTCGAAACAAAATTTGATGTCTAAGAACGACACATAAACATTGTTATCTTCTATGATGTTCTCATCAATGTGGAGGCCAAGTTCTGCTAGCCTTGAGTTGACAGTCGCGATGAATTTTGAAAACTGTCTTTTCGTACCATGGAATACTCCACAGCCGTCGTCTATGTATCTCTTGACCGATTTTACAGGTTCCATTAGTTCCGTGTCTGTATAGACTTGCTCACGCATGACATGGTATACTGCTATGTTTGCAAGTTGTACACAGATACTGCCTCCTGTCGGTACTCCTCGTTTCTGTCTGTACCACTCTCCGTTAAATTTGCCTATAGACGACTCAAAGCTGAGTTCAACACTTCTTATCAACCACTCCTTGAATTTGGCGGACCATTCTGGTCTCTTTTCTTCCATGGCCACCTTCAAAGCTTGGATTGTAAGGTGGGGGCTCAATGAATCATATAAAGCTTTGTAATCAAATGTGAATGCTTTAATGTTGCTTTTGAGTTCTGTGTCCAGGGTATTGTTGATGTTGTCGAGCCAAACTAAGGCGTCTCTATTATCAATAAGAAGGTCTTCGCAAAAATCCCTTTCTAGTTGACGTAGGTATTTATCAGCTAGGAAGACATCCGGTCGTCTGCTGGCTCCTTCGTGGAGGGCGGTAATGAGTCTAGCTGGTGGTTTTGCCCCTGGTATGAGGTCTTCTTTTTTCAGCTTATGGATTTTAAAAGCAGGGTAGAAATACGGCTGTCCAGGGCGATAGTGTGGGAGGGTACTGGGGCGGTTTGTTGGTCCAGTTTGGTCTGCTCTGGTGTTGTCAGAAACACCCATCACTTCTTTCGCATCCCTTGCTAATATCAGTCCTTCTTCTTTTCCCTGTACCCAGTGCTTGAAGAGTTTCTCATACAGCTGTTGGGTAGGGTCACAGTCCAACTTTTCATATAGTTCCTGATTTTCCAGTTTCTCCAGTGTCCGTTGCTTGATGAGGTCAGGGTCGATAATAAGGCACTATATTGTATCATGCACACGTATCGGATTACACCCCTTCCAATTCGGAACCGGAACGTATTATAATATAATAATAGCTTGGCTATTGAGTGCTGAGCGCGATAATTCCCGATAGCTTGCTGGAGGGAACGCGCGGGCACGAAATTAGCTTGGCAATTTCGTGCCCGCGCGTTCCCTCCAGCAAGCTGTCGGGAATTATCGCGCTCAGCACTCAATAGCCAAGCTATTATTATATTATAATACCTTCCGGGAATTATATCCACTAAAAGTCTCGACACTGAGAGCTGATGATTTGCCGATATATCCCGCAAGGGAAGCCAAGGTATTATCAGCATAGACCTCAGACTGGCTGGCGGCAAGTTGTAAAACAAATAACACTGGCGTTCTATATATTAGACACTATATTGTATCATGCGCACGTATCGGATTACACCCCTTCCAATTCGGAACCGGAAAATATTATAACATTTATTCTGTTTAACACTTTTGTTTGTTTTGGGGATCAGATTTTAAGGCAAACGAAAGGCATTCCCATGGGAGGGAATTCTAGTAGCCAGTTCGCTGATCTTTCGCTAGGGAAGTGTGAATTCATCTACATGACACGCCTAATCAAAGAAAAGAAGTTCGGTCTCGCTAAGCTCCTCTCAAGAAACTGCAGATATGTCGACGACCTCAACACTATGAACTATTTGCATTTCTCTAGCCTAATCAGGTCCATTTATCCACCTGACCTGCTTATGGAGAGGAGTGGTGACGACAATAAGTCCGTAAACTATCTCGACATCAACATCTCGATGAATAACTCCGGACACGTCGCCACCAAGCTTTACAACAAACTTGATGACTTCAACTTTCCTGTGGTCATGTACACCTTTCCGTCCTTCGTTACTCTTCCATTATCTCTGACCTTGATTATTTTCTGTGTTCTACCAACACCCTTTATAGGACACTTCTTTCAAGATGTTATATTGGCAGACTCATGAAGAGTAAATTCAGAAAGCTTCTGAAAGACCGACCTAGTATTCTGTACAAATACAGTACCTATACTTGATGTCAGCAACATCCTTGACATCACATTTAACGTGGACAGGTGATCACTGACGAGTGATTGCTAGGGGGTCTTGGCACATTATAAACCGGTACAGGTGTTAATGTTAAACCCCCGAAACCGGTGTGCCAAGTCATCTGCTGATGATGTTCACATAACATTATTTCCTCTCTCCTTTATTCCTTCCGTCTTTTCTTATACTTACAGTTCAGTTACTTTATTTCACCAGGTCTACCTAAGGATCAATTATTCTTTGGTGGGGTTTCACTTCTTGTATGGGCTTCATTCCCGTTCTTTTCCTTATTCTTTATACTTATTTTTTATAAGTTTATACTGTTTAATGAGATTGTATCACGTCGTGACCCCCACGGTCGTTTCACTATAGACCCTGTAGAGTTTTTACGATACAGAGGAGCCGTGCACTCAAGATACAGGGGGAGCCGGTCATACAACATACAACGGATGACAACCAATGCCCCAGCCTGAAACCAACCACTTTCGGAAAAATCTCCAAGTTGGCAATGTACATCAGTTCTAAACGGTCAACGTTTAGACAAGGAATCCCATGTGGATGAGCATAGTTTATTCTATTTTAATGGGTGCTTACCATTAGTTTAGCATATTAAGATTTGTCCCTTTCTGCTCTCCCAATGCCCTAGCCCGAAACCAACCACTTTCGGAAAAATCTCCAAGTTGGCAATGCAAATCAGCTTTAAACGGTCAACGTTTAGACAAGGAATCTCGTGTGGATGAGCATAGTTTATCCTATTTTAATGAGTGCTTACCATTAGTTTAGCATATTAAGATTTGTCCCTCTCCCAATGTCCGGACACAAACCTGGCCAGAGTTCTCTTAGTAGGGCCGGGTTGCACGATAAAAATAAACTTGCTCGGATTTTTAAAACTTTTGTCCCATTGTTTTCTAGAGACTGTGAGAATTTTCACATTACCCAATTTGTCATACCTTTTCGGAAAGATCAGTGAGTTTCGCCTTGGTGCCATATTTAATGGTGCGCGGCTTTTGGAGCAAAATTAGCTGTAAAAGTCGCGTAATTTGACGAAATTCGTTGATTTTTGTCGAATTATTCTGTCATATCTTCGGATCCTTAGGTGATATCATTCTGAAAATTGGTGAAGACCTTTCAATAGGGCTTTCCTGTCTTTACTAACTGGCTCGTTAGAATCTTAATGTTCAGATTATTTTCTTTTACTTTAAAAGAGAAATTAAGATTTTGTGACAATTATAAGCCCGACAATTATAACGTTCTACCTTCGATACATTAGTGCTCGAACTTTTTGCTTTGACTAAAGATTTAAATAGTACAACGATGCGCCAAAAACTGATTTAAACTGTTCGAGTAGGATAATCTATTTATTAGGCTAATAATCGTCGAGACCATTAAATGATTATACAGTTTATCCGCAGTGCGCAGCTGGTAAATTTTATTTTGAAATTGACTATTTTATGAAGGAAAATAATGCTTTTTAGTAAAATCGAAAATATTAACAGTCCGGTTGCGATCATTAATCTATTACTTTATTATAGACAAAATCTGCCGGTCATAGTCCGGCATTACTGTGCAGACGTTTGTGTTTGTGGATTACTTGTGTATCGACATAGTATCTAAAATAATAGCTTGACGATTAGAAAATGACTCATCCTGCATCTGCGGCAATGTCTTGGATCGGCACAGTCAGAATTGAGCACAAGGTTTTTTGTTTGTTGTTTAGTACTGCAATATTAACTAAGACTTGGTGAATAATATATTTTTTATTTTGACCCGTGATGGTTGTAAAACATTTTCCGAAATTATTTACTTGGAGTACTGAAACACTGTTAGGACTTAGGAAAGGACCGTTTTGCGTTTTGCTCTTGTGTTTTGTTCTATACTATATTATAATTCAGAGAATTCTTTTTGTCTGTCTGTACGACCGCCCACGTGCAAATTAGATGAAAAATAGGAATTTAGGTAACAACCAAAACGTTCCATAGCAACGGTGTTTTAATGTACACATACACGTGCAAAGATTGTTTTAACGTCATTTTGATCGGGTTTGTGGTAATTACGTTGTGTTTAAAGTGTTTTATATTTAAATCGGCTGTATCTTCGGTTGGGATGGATATTTTTTGATGCGATTAAAACTTTCTTTCAAAGGATACTACTAGCTTCGTCCCTGTTACCACGGGCTTTCTAGTACTATATAATTTATAACTGATAAAGTTTATTAAAAGATTTTGAAGAATAACGATTACGAAGTTTATAACACACGTGTGGTAAAATTACTAGATCTCTAGATGGTGATGATAACTCTAGTGACACTGGTGTCCCTGGTAATGATAAGGTCTACCATTGCTGGTGAGTGCCTCTTACTATCTTTAGAATTGTAACGGGTTATTTCTTCTGTTATTAATTTGTTATTGGTAGTGCAATGTACAGGGGCCAGGGGGCTCTGCAATCCTTTTATTTCAGTCTTTACTACCATCAAATGCATTCTGTTAAAACAGCAAACTTGGTATAAACAGTAAGTTTAAACATTGTAACATTCCTCAGCTCAGTACAAGGTAACAATACGTACCTCCGACACTGAATATGCTGGGTCAGGCTCAGACTTTTACTACACCTTCCTCGGAAACAAAGGAAGCACTGCGGAGAAAAAAGCAGACAATTACGGTGACGACAGACAGAAAGGCGAAACAGATACTTGGACATTCCAGGACAGTGCACATATTGGAGAGTTCAGATGCATCTCAATAAGGATGGACGGATGGGACGGCTGGATTTTTAAAGAGGTATTTATTGTCTTGTATAGTAATCCGGGTATCCATACAACACCATTCCCATGAAAATATTCTTTGATTGTTTCTTCTTATTTTGTGTCATCTAATTATTTTGTCGAATTGTCGATAGGTCCATTCGCGATCGTATCAACTTTAGAGAATGGCGATTGGCGAACGCTATTTTACATGATAAGTTAATATCGCTCAGATTGAGATAGAAATAGACGGTTCCCCACAAGCAAACATCACTAACCATCTGGGCTGGCTTGACAACGCGGTCCCGTGGCTATCCAAAGCTGTTTTTTGTCTTCCTGATATCATAGGTGAGCAGTGAATTTAAAACTGTCGAATGATACCAGTTATTTTATACTACAGCCTGCATTATTCGAATGACAGCAAGCATCCGATTCAGGTTGAAACAGCCAGTTTTAGTTTATCATACCATGTCAGTAGTTTTATTGCACAGCTAAATATAAATTTAACTTAATATATTAGAAAACAATCTTTTAAATTACGCTAATTACGTATCATTATTATTTTGATTATCGAAAAAAAATAAACAAGACTTCTGGTGGGAATTATACAGTCCTTTACCACTCACCTTAAGCAGCGACCAATCAAAATAGTAAATAATCGTGGTCAGTTGCTGAAGCAATTAAACAACACCTCAAGTCAAGTCTTATAGTTATAACACATTATTATATTGTCGTATCTACAGATAACGGTAACGAGTGTCCCCCCAACTACCCATTTGCGTTCTTTGGACACAACCGATGCTGTTCAAATAACAGTGAGAAACCTTTTGATAACGAGATATCCTATGAATTAGGAGATCAGTGCAAAGGAGGACCTTTAGAAGAGAACAGTCTCTGTTGTATAGGAGATCATGTTGAATGTTCTGATAAACCTTGTATCAGTTACAAATGGTCAGGTATGATAGCATAACTTAACTTTGCTCCCGGAATTCAACCCTCGGGCCTCGGATTCAATTTTAAAGTATGATTTTGGTATCAACTTTATTTTGTTCTTATAACTAAATATTCTGTTCTTCATAAACGTAACCTTTCCTACCTCAGCGTGTGAAGGGCACAGGTGTGTAAGAAAAACAAACAACAGAGTACTTCTTCCAATGGGAGAAAGCATCACCTCTACAAGCGGAAGAATGAGCTTGGTCATGGAGACAAATGGTAACCTTGCCCTGTATTGCAATAGTGATAACAGTAAGGTGTGGGAAACTTATACTGGAAACAACATACAAATGGGTCTTATAATAGAGGTATTTTATAATCCAATATATTTGTGCAAATATATCAATTTATTTGGGGGCCATTACAATATTTGTGGTAGACGAACATTAGTAGCATTATTAACTATTAAGTCATAGTGTTGAGCATCGTAGCACACTTCCATGCTGTTTCAATTAAGAGAAAATTATGTGAACATTGGGTCATTTCACAAATCAAGACATAATATTACATATTATTATACAGGAAAGTGGCAAAATGTCTCTCTACGAACAGCTAGGAAAGGAAGCAGTTTGGAGTTCAGAAAACCGGAACGGTTCATCAGCTGGTACGGTTGTGACACTCTTAGCACAGAATGATGGCAACCTTGTGCTATACAAACGACGCCCTATATCTTCTGGCGAAGCCATTCCTATTTGGGCCAGTGACACTTCCAAAAGTTGCCCAGTTGACGGTAAGGTTTTACTAAGAACTATATTATTTCTTCTGTAAACGAATATCTCGTTGATTTGCAATTAAATTTATCTGTTTTTGCATTCAGATATCGATGAGAACTTGTTTTCGGTTTACGAAGAATGGACTGAGTGGTCAGAATGCTCAGTAACGTGTGGACCAGGAACAAAGACGCGAACTAGAACTTGTAAAGATACAGTTCCCGAACACGGCAGAATTGATTGCGCTAATGGGAAGCAGGAAAAAGAAAGTTGTACCAGCCCATGTCCAGGTAAAATAACAAAATTAATTTTCAACATGACCTCGGTAATCAAATGTGTCACATAATGTGCTTGGTGTTGATGTCTCTGATTGTAGCTAGTTAAACTTCAAATCAATTCTTCAAATTCAACCAGTTGACGGAGGTTGGAGTCAGTATGCAGAATGGACAGTGTGCTCTGTTACGTGTGGAACAGGATCCCAGTCAAGAACCAGAATCTGCACAAATCCTGCTCCTCTTTACGGTGGAAAAGATTGTAGGGGAGAAGACAGTGAAACTCAAGATTGCAACCCACAAATCTGCCCGGTTAATGGCGGATGGAGTAACTATGGAGACTGGTTAGAGTGCTCTGTTACGTGTGGAGGAGGATCCCAGTCAAGAACCAGAACCTGCAAAAATCCTGCTCCTCTTTACGGTGGAAAAGATTGTCAGGGACAAGACTCTGAGTCTCAAGATTGCAACCCACAAGAATGTCCAGTTGATGACGAGTGGAGTAGCTTCACTGAATGGTCAGACTGTTCTAAGGAATGCGGAACAGGAACCCAAACACGAACCAGAACATGCACAAATCCTGCTCCTGCTCACGATGGAGCTCAATGTGCAGGAGACAGCACTGAGGCTCAGACTTGCAACACTGAAAGCTGCCCAAGTATTTCCAAAATCTCTATTTTTATTTAAATTGCACATTGAAATTTAGAAGAGGTGATAACCTTAATAGACTTAAATGGACCTAATCTAGACTCAAACAACGTTAAGATATTGGATTTTAGACGTTATATGCTTATTTGATAGCAGTTATGTCTCTTTATAATACTTAAGATTAAACTTTCAGGTTGTACGGGACTAGATCTAACCTGGGAGCACGCTGTAACAGTAACACAGTTTCCTGTTGAAGTAGGAGAAGTGATCAGAGTGAGCTGTAAACCTAGATATATCAACTTAGGAGCACGGTCTATGACTTGTATTAACGGAACGAGCTATGAGGTAGTTGATACAGAAACAGCAGACCCTCCTAAATGTATGAAAACAAGTAAGTAGAGATTTGGGGTTCTCTGTCTAGAGGTTTATTAGTAGTTTATTCATTTATTATTGTAGTATACTTGGTTCTCTGAGACCAATGGAAATTTGTAAATTAATACATTTATACTATTTTACCTTATTATTTTGTGTTATTGATAACTTCGGTTCAAAACAAATGGGAATTTGCTTTTGAACTGAATACATCAACAACCATATTATTTTATACAAAGATACAATATTACTGTACATTGTAATTTGTATAGAAATTAAAACTAATTATCAATTAATCACAACATATTGTTAATAACGTTTTAACAGCTTATTCAGTTATTATAAACGCTTATTAGAACATAAGATTATAATACTGTAAGCTGTTATACGCTGTCATCGCCCTTTCAGAGTGAGATATTTGTAACAGGTACATTTCTGCACCTGTTCTCCCAGGGGAATAGACTTGTATACCTACTGGTATCTCGGCATGTAGTGTGCTAACCTTTCCTACACGATATTAATAATATTTCAGACATTAACTGATTTCTATCTTTTCAGGGCTGGTTCATACTTCATACCAGACTGTCTTATTGGTAAAACATGATTTCATAGACGAAGCATTAAAGCCAATTATTATATAACTTATTATATAATTTATTATATAACTTATTACATAAACCGATTAGACTCCAGCCAATAAAAATAAAAGTAGCATTGAATATCTCCATCACCTTGTACAATGTACATACATGCAAATATAACCCTAGATTTGTTTACTGCACTGCCTGAAGCGGAATCAAGAAGTATTAAAGATAACTAACTTTCTCTCCTCGTGAAGATGACGTTGAGTCTCCTCCAGCAGTTGCTTCAGTTTGGACAGGTCCACCCCTCCCAGCCGATCCTCTTGTTCCATCCTGGTGCCGGGCTGAGACATTCTCCTGTCTACTCTATCATCTACAATAGGGAGTAATTAAACAGGGAGTATACAATTAAACAGGGAGTATACAATTAAAGTATTACTCTTCTTGTTATTACTATCACAACTTCGTATTATGTTCATTGTACAATTGCTTAATAATATAGTATACAATTGCTTAATAATATATCATCTGGATGATTCAGTTAATTCAGTTAATTAAGGTTAATTCAGTTAATTAAGGTTAAATAAAGAAGTGTCCTATTCTAACTTCTAAAGCCACTAACGCACCGTTTTTCCAGCCAGTAATGTGTCCCCTGGTGTCCCTGACCGGAAGAGCATCACTGCACACTGACTGAGCTCTGCTTTCCCCGTAGTGGTGTTCTGTACTCTTCAACACGTCCTCTATAAAGTGCAGCTCCGACTTCAGAGACGGTTCCGAGCCTTGTTCGTCAGAGGGGGCGTAACCTGGACAACGACAAGGTGTTACTAGGTGTTACTAGGTGAGTGACTTAGGCAACGACAAGGTGTTACTAGGTGTTACTAGGTGAGTGACTTATGCAACGACAAGGTGTTACTAGGTGTTACTAGGTGAGTGACTTGGACAACGACAAGGTGTTACTAGGTGTTACTAGGTGAGTGACTTAGGCAACGACAAGGTGTTACAAGGTGAGTAACCAGGTCAACGACAAGGTGTTACACAGTTGACACTAAGTAATAAGAGGTGAATTTCTCATGTTGTGCTTCTTTGATAATCTGTTTATGATCTGTCTAAAAGCTTTAGAGTTGTTGGCAACGTGCTGCGTGCTCCCTCGCGTATTATAACGCATATAATACGAGCGTGATTTGGTCACTTGTAATTTCGCTTTGACAGGCTCGAGATCACAGTGCTAATGGGCCATTAGATAATGGCATGATTGCAAGATAAGATAATGACTTAAGTCTCCGCCATCCAATTATGATTGTCAGCAAGTAGCAATTATCCCATGGCCGAAGAATTAGACCAAATTTCACGGTATATTAGCGAGATTTGGGTCATGACAAGCAAGGAGGAATCTCATCATGGTTGGATAAAAAGAATTCGTGCGATATCATTGATCGCTCCAGATCTTGAAGAATTTTACTGAGCATTACGCCAGGTAGGTTCTGTTTTACAGCCGATAAATTATTTAATTAGATAATAGGTAAATAGTTGTAATGATCTTCGTTCGTCAAACGAGTAATAATGTAAGGTTGAAATTCTACATTAAGTGTGGGTCAATCGTAAATTTACATGTGGGAAACTTAATCAATGTTCCTCGGTACGGGGTAAATGGGCAACTTTATCTCATACTTTACAGTTCTACAGAAAGAGTAATTGAACATGAACCTTATCTTATTCTGGAATAAATGGACTTCTTTATTGGTATAAGTAACGGTATTTTATTATTGCACAGCTGCCCGTAAATTAAGTTAAAATTTAATTTAAAAACGTTAAAATTTAGGTCCCCTCACCGAATTATCATAAAAACTACTTTATCAGCAAATAAAAATATGCCGAAAAAAAAATCATTTTTCCTAACATGCATCTCAATTCCGTCATTGCTTTAGCATTTCTAAGTTTTGCCTCGCTTAACTTAGAATCAGGTGGCTATTTTTTCTTCTATTTTCAAATTCAATTTGGGTCTTACAACTTGGTTCTTAATGCTTTAAAAGCAGTTTGCTCTGAAGAATAAATTGAAGTTTTGTGGAAATTTAATAAACTTGAAAAGAGGTTAAATGACATGTATAATTTTTAGCGTTATGTGTAACTAACAACAAGATTGTCACCAAATGACTATATTTCAGGTGCGGAAGCAGCCAAGATATCTACACAGTCTCCACCTGGTAAGCTTTGATTTTGACTAATAAACTTGCTTTAAAATAAGTAGGAGAAATACAAGTTAATAGAACTAGAATCGTCATGTTATGTATAATCGGTATATTGTGGTATTTGAGATGATATTACTTCTTATGAAACCGCTCGACATGATGTTTTTGTGAAGAATTACTGACCCGTTGGGTCAGTGTTAGGAGTTTTGTTTTGTTTGATCTAGAGACGGGTCTTTTGTTTCGTTAGACCTGTTCAGGCATGAACAAAGAGAGCCGAATCTATGTCATGATATCAGGTTACATCTTAGTTATCGGTCAGAAGATAGTGTATAATAATATTCGTGAGGCACTACATTGTGTAATCTCAGTAATGTGAACTAGTCTGTCAACACAAACTACACATGCGAGTTCTACAGATAATGCAGATAATAATGTAGTAAGTTCACTGTGAACTTGTGTTATCTAACACTAGAACTGTAACTGCAGTGACACACACACACAACCCGTCTCATTATTATCTCTGTAAAGGTTGGGAGTATTACCAGACATATTTAGAGCAATCTCTAAATTCCGTGTACTTAGAAACGTATTAAAGTTATTCGAGTTGGAACGTTTATAACAGACATCTGAGGTAGGTGTACAGTTTTGTCATCAGAGGACCCTACATTTAAATCAAGGGTCTGCAAATGAGTCCAGTGTGATTTAAAAACGTCAAGTTATTTGTAGTAAATTTTCAGCCTTTCTTGGATCAAAAAATCTCAGAAATAATTCATCATCGTACACCGTGCCATTAAATCATGAGCACATATCATTATTATTGAAAAGGAGGATCAACTCAGAATGTGCACCCTTTAAAATCTTATCTAACTGCTGTTTAGGTTTTATCTAAATGCTGTTCTAGTTCACCCTCTGAATAACTGGAAACTTCGGAAACTTCGGAAACTTCAGAAACTTCAGAAACATCACTTCATTAAGAGCTAGAGCAGATCGGCCCTTGAAGTGGAGATATGGCTTCCTGAGTTCAAACCAATTGCCGCAACTTCTTGCACGCTGAGCTTGCACAAGCTTGAGAGTACCTGCATGCCCTGGATGTGGTGATTATATACCTTGTAATGGTTCCTTTTACAGAGTAACAATAGGGTTACTATGATAATGGGTTAAATAGTATAGCTTGTGCACTCTACTTGCACTACCAATGATCATAATTTATAATTATCATAGAATATTCTGATAGAGACCTAGAGAGTGTCAGAGTAAGCTACAATATTGGAGATTGAAATAAATAACAGGTGCTCAAGTTGATAACTAGCTAATTTGCAGTGACAAAATGAGATTCAACTCCACACTAATTAGGAGTCAATTAGGAGTCAATTAGGAGTATTTAAATAGATTCGACAGTAGATTGGTAGGACTTACTTGAAGACTTACTTGAGTCAATATCGATATGATCATTGGAGGCTCTGGACCTTCTTTTAGATTCTATAGATGATAAGGGAACCCCCTTTACCAAAGCTAGCTCCTCTATTGCACGAGTGTAGTCCGCTCTTATCTCCTCTTTATCTAGCCTGCATAGGTCAAAATACACTATTTTTCGATGCAATTGTTCGAACTATCAGACTTATTCAAAAGTTATATATTTTAAAACCAATATTGTCAGATAGTTAGACATTACTAAATCCACCAGCTGAAATTGAATCAAGTATTCAAATAAAACACTAACCTAAGAGAAGAGCACTCCTTGAGAAGTGTCTCAACTTTACTCTGAAGATGCTTGCACTGTTCTCGAGCTTTGTTTCTTTCTGCCCTGACCTGTGAGCAATTTGGTTACTTACAAAGATGTTTGTTATGTGATTTAGAATGTAAATTGTAAATGTATGCTTTTAATTAAGGTATGAAATGTCCTGAAAAGTCTAGAGAACTGAACAAAGTACGGACCTTGCCCCACTTCTCTCTCCAATTTGCTGTACAGTCACTCCACCACTTCATAGTCTTCTCCATCTGCAGGGCTCGGTTCCTCAGTTCGTCTATCTCTCTGAATCTGCCATCGTCCCAACGAACTATCTCTGTCTTTACAGGCTCACTGAGCAGTCATTTAATGGATACTCTTAAAGTTCCAAAATATTCTAATTTGTGACAGTCGTCATCTCATCATTATTTAAAAGATGTTCATTGTTCATTGTTCAGGGAACAACTGTGAGCTGGCAGTTTAAATTGGAAATACTATCTCAACATAATATCAATCAAAGCAAAAATGACTACCATGTCTTTAAACACACTGCCATTTGTGAACTTACCTTAACTTGGATAGCAGTTCGTCAGGTATATTTTGAGGAGTAGCATAAGGTTCAGCTTTAGCAGCCGGCTGATTCGGTATATAGCTGTTGTTCTCTGAAGACGACATCACCTCTTTTGTTGGTTCACAAAGTTATTGCTAGGAGCATCCTTCTTATGCCATGAACCTATGAAAAAATATTAATTTTGCTCATACTGCTGGCAGTTTAAATGGGATTTTCCAATGACAAAAAAGAAAAGGCTTAACTTATTACGAATTCGTTAGATTTGTAATTTTAAGGATCTCGTGTAAGTCTCCTGATTAACAAATTCGTTTGCAAGGATTAGCAGTAGAGTACGGATTCATAATACTTTAAAAGACAGGTCATTGCACTTCTGCAAATACAGGTCACCACTTCGTAATGAAGTGGTATTCAATTTAACGTTCATAAAACAAAATTGGGGGCAGTCGCCAGAATATTTTGCTGTTAATATTAATAAAGGGCCCCTACATCCATTCTTATGCCCTAAAAAAAGGTCAGGTCTTCTAAAAATTCCCTCTTTGGCACCAAATTTCCTCCAAAATCCAAAATTTCCGCGCAGATCTGCCGCCTTTCTGGAATCTGGATGTGTGTAAAGGGCAAAGGCTATGCTAAATGATAAGACCCTTATTATATTTACCATGGTATATATTAGACGAAACAAAAGATAAGAAGCTTGGTCGAAATGTAGAAGACCTACTGTGATTAAACCATGATTAACGATCACATTTAATTTAAACACATTATTTTTCGTCGAATTAATCTTTCTTGTTAATCGAATTACCCCTAAAAATGTGTCACCTGGTTTGTCACTATTCTCACAGGGTTAACCCCGTTATGTTAGATCATATAAAGTACTTCTTGGTCACACCCAAGTGGTTAGCTTTGATCGTGGGTGCGGCTGTAATTATTTCAACTGTTGTCAAAGAGAAAATGTTTTGAGTGTTTTTAACTTAAATAAATTAAATAACCCTATTAAATCTACTTATTTCTAGTAATTTATGCGTTATCGTTAATATTCTATCTTTGTTTCAAGGCGACTAATTTGATGTCAAAAAAGAAAATCGTCTGGGCAATAATTTTGCTTGTAAAATAACAATTCCAACATTTCAGAAAGTGGCCCAGAAGAGGATGATGTGGTACCGGTAGTGGACAAGATTGTGGCTCATATCAACAATGAAAACATCCGAGAGGATATAAAGTGAGAACAGGCACACACGATAACAAGATATTATATTGTTCAATAGTTCGGTCTGATTCTCTGATTCTTTGATTCTCTGATTCTCTGATTAACTGAAAGATCAATACAACTACTCAAAACATTTGCAATTAGCTACTCACTACATGATTTTGAGAAACACACCACTGTACTATCAATTAAATTAACATTAAATTTTAATTATCTTTATCGACTATCATGTAACTCAAACAGGCTAAATTCAATTATTTTACATTACAATTTAAAATTTGATTGAGTAATATAAAATGTTTTCATTTTTGTCAGGTATTTCGCCGCAGAACCGCACCCGGCTGGAGGAAAAAGGAACTTGGAGCTTGGAGCAGAGGTGTTGAGACGATGGAAGAGCTACGGGTTTGACGACGTTTTCAATAATGACTACGAGGTCTTATTGTCCCTTCCTACCGAGGAGAGGTTAGTCTAATTAAAAGTAGTCATGATCAAGTTTCGGTAGAAAATGGATTTCCTAAGATTTGCCTAGGTAAATCATAAAATAAATTGGTTTTATTGAAATAATTATAAATGTAACTATTAAACGCCAAACTTTTCAGTTAGATTAAATACCAAGGAAGTGTACAGTACAAGCCTAAAAACAACGAAGACAGCAACATCATACCACCGTTCAATGCATTCTCTAAAAAATGCTAAAGTCTCGGGGAAAATTGTATACGTCAACTATGGTAGAGTTGAAGACTTGGAGAAGCTAGTTGAGTTAGAAGTGGATCTAGTTGGCAAAATTGCCATCTGCAGATACGGGAGGATATTCAGGGGAAGTAAGGTCAATATAACGAAAGCACAATATAAACATATTATATTATAATATTTAATGACAGTCGAAGCCCGATTTTTAGGGGACTCTTTTTTAGGGGACTCTTTTTTAGGGGACTCTTTTTTAGGGGACTCTTGAGCAGACAAAATTGCACAGTTTTTCCTGATGAATTAAAGTTTGGTAAATTAAAGTTTTGACTTAATGCCAATGAACAGTTTTTGTGGCATTAAGGTGTTCCTGCTAAATACTGGTTCATGGAACTCAATGAACTGTTTATAATGCACAACAATACTGTAAATATCTTGTACCATGTTGCCGCTTTGATTGCAGTTTTATTGCTAAATGATTTAACACAATTTAAAGTAAATGACCTCTATTTTCAGGCACAAAATGCCTTTGAGAAAGGTATGATAGGCATGATTCTCTACAGTGATCCTTCAGACTCTGGATCAGGAAAAGGCGATGTAAGTTTTCTAAAAGACAATTATAGGAATAGGAAACAAATTGGAAACAAATTGTAAATTATTTTAATACAGTGTCTCAGGTCTCTGTGTATCAATATCGTAGTATTCAAAGCATTCAATGAACACCATTTGACTGTTTCATTAACCTCTGACACAGTAAAATCTCATTAGGTTTACCCAGACGGTATGTGGCTTCCAGATACAGGAGTGCAAAGGGGAAATGTCTAGTCAATCAAGGAGACATATCAACTTTTATGTTTCCATCATATGGTTCGTTTTAGAGTTAGTTTTTAGTTCAGGTTTTGTTTACTATCATCTTATTTCATTTCTTCTGATATTGATAAAAAGTTGTAGATTAGCTGGCCATCTGTTGATAATATCTTACTTTGAAATACTTTGAACTACCAAATATAAACCTGAACTTTTCAGAGGGCGGGTATCACTCAAGCGGAGAGGAGCTAGCTAAAATTGCCCCAAAGATTCCAATTATTCCTATTCCCTACAATGATATCAAACCAATCCATGCCCTGATTGAAGCAGATAGCCCAACTACTCCAGAAGGATGGGGTAACTACAAAATAGGACCATCGGCTGAAGAGATTGAACTGAATGTCAAGACAAATGACACTCTTGCTCTCTGTAGAAATATAATAGGAGTCATTAATGGAGAGGTAGAACCAGACAGGTATGTTCTTGTGGGAGTGCAAGGGGATGCATAGATTCATGGAGCAGTGGACCCTGTAAGTGGGATGTCTACAATCCTCGAAATTTCTAGAGCATTTGGGGAGCAACTGAAGGCAGGATGGCGGCCAAGAAGAACCATTATATATTTGCAAGTAGGGATGCTGAGGAACCAGGAATTATGGGCTCATATGAATTTGTTGAAGACTTTATGACAGGTCTAAAGCATAAGGCAGTAGCATATATCAACATGGATGCTGTTGCATTTGGCACAGAAAAGCTCTTTATGAAGTCAACACCAAACCTCATCAGTCTTCTCTATGATGCAGCAAATAAGACAGATTCACCTAAAGCGCCATATAAGAACATGTATGAATTATGGATAGGCACAGAAAAGGAATATAATGATATTGATTACCAACTACCGCCAGTGAAGCTTATTGGCTCTGGCAGTGACTATACTGCTTTCCTCAATGAAATAGGAGTATCATGTGTTACTTTTGGATACACAAATGACTATGGCACATACCCTATGTATCATACCCAATATGATACATATGAGTGGCTAAGCACCTTCGCGAAGGTGCTTAGCCACTCATATGTATCATATTGGGTGATCAAAATTCGGTGATCAAAATTCGGTGATCAAAATTTGACTTACCATTTAAAGCATTTAGGAGACATGGCAGCAAGAACAATTTTTTCTCTGGCCAATGATGAGATATTACCCCTTTCTGCTGTTGACTATGATATTCATCCCAGCCCCAAGGCTGGGATGCCAGTGTTGGCAAAGTTCTATCTCAGAATCATACACTCAAAGTGGTTTAATCCATTGGGATACTGATGTGGTAATTCAATTCAATATTTAAATTTTTCATTGTCTGCATCAGTATCCTATTGGATCTGATCATTTGGATGTTATTTATATGTATTCAAACGAAGTGATAGCATAATGTATGTTACTTCATATTATAGCACAATACCTAACAAAACACAACGGCGAGACACAATTCTGTTAATAATATACTTTAAAGTTCCATGGGAATATCGGCTCAACAACACCGTGTTGCAACTGGTATGTTTTCTAGGTATGTTATCATCAGTAAAAGTAATAGAGGTAACGGGGAAAATTTGTTGTCCTGTCTTCTGTCTCGTCATATGTTATGTGCTCTATTGGGTATATTTTATTTTTATGTTATTTTGTATATATTTTCTTTGACTATCGATGCTAATATACTCCCTGGTGCTCCCCTACAACCTAAAATACACTCTGTACCATGTTTGAGGTCATCCATAAATCTTTACTTTATGGTAATATTTTGTACCATTTTTCTCAGACACTTTAAACTTGTGTATAGGGGGGAGGGGGGCATTGGGACAGCCTTAGCTGCAATTTCTGTAAAATTGCTATCTACCACAAAAACCGAACTGTCACCTACCATGTCACCGAAACAGACTGTTAAGTTACTTTTCGGTATAACCAGCAGCTGGCTTGGGGTCATGTCTAGGTGTGGTCTGGTTTTTCTATCTCTCCTTAATATTTCCCTGATAGTAATTTGTAATTGTTCCTTACTGAACCCTGGACCAAATTTATCTGTTGTTTACAATAATGTCCATGGTTTCCTAAATACACGCGATTTAGCATCAGGAACACCACCACTAAATATGACCAAGATACATGAATTCCATGGTTATATCTACAAACATAAGCCTCACATCGTTATTCTAAACGAGACATGGCTGAAAAATTCCATTCTCAGTAATGAGGTGCTCCCTGACAAATACAAAGTATTTAGGCTTGACCGATCCTTAAGATCGCATCCAGTGGATGCAACCCAGCCCAAGAAATTCAGAAAAAACGGTGGTGGTGTTCTGATTGCCCATAGAACAGACATTGATATCTCGAGTCTAAAGTTCTCTAAAGTTAGTGTTCAAGCTGAATTATTATCCATCATAATTAAGACTCAGTGTGGAAGAAACTTTTGTATATCAACATTTTATAGAGTAGGAACGCTTGGCTTAGATAATTTTGAATCTTTCAAGAAACATTTTGTTACTTTAGCATCTGCCAGAAAATTGCAAAGGCACATTCTGGTAGGTGACTTTAATTTGGCTTCGATTTCCTGGCCAGATGGTCAGTCATCTTGCCAGCTACATTCTAGCTTTGTAAATTTTCTCACTGATGACCTCGGACATACACAACTTATTAGCTCCCCTACTCACAAGTCAGGCAACACCTTAGATCTTGTGTTCACTAACATTCAAAACCTTATTAAGAATGTTAAAGTTTTAGATCAAAACGAAATGTGTATGTCCGACCACTTTTGTATCACATTTGACATTGATATTAAGACCAAGTATATTAAGCAGCCTAAAAGAAAGATCTTTAATTATAGTAAAGGTAATTTTAGGGGCCTGAATTCTGAGTTATTTAGCATCGATTGGGATAGTATATTTGAGTGTAATGATCCTTATCTTGCCTGGAGTCGATTCAGAGGAGTTCTCGGTGCAGCCTGTGACCGATGGATCCCTAAAAAGACCATTAAGTCTCAGTTCCAGCCCCCATGGTATGACTCCGAATGTGATCGTCTCCTACGAAATAAGGAGAAATGGAGAATAAGGCATAAGGGGAGCAACTCTGAGTCTCATAAACAAAAGTTTTGTGCATTTCGCACAAAATTTAAAAATTTGATGGACAAAAGAATGAGACTCAGTGTTGAGGATGACTCCGATGATGCTCTTATCTCCAAGAAATTCTGGACCTACGTTAAATCTAAATCAAAGTCAACCAGGATCCCTGAAACTGTCAAATATCATAATCGCTTTCGAAACAATCCATCTGATCTGCCCTTTTTAACGAATATTTTTATGAGCAGTTTTCTCAAGAGAGCGATTATGGCATTGACATAGATTTTAGTGATGATTGTTTTTCAAGTCTTGTGTTTAGTAGAGAAGATGTTCTGTTGATTCTTAAAAAGTTAAATCCTAACAAGGCCCCTGGCCCTGATGGGATTCATGGGAGAGTCCTCAAAAACTGTGCCCAAAGCCTTGCATACCCACTTAGTGTTTTATTTAACCTGTCTTTCTCGAGCGGATGCATACCCCCTGATTGGAAGCTGGCACTTGTAGTACCAGTGCACAAAAAGGGCGATAAGTCTTCGGTTGAGAACTACAGGCCTATCTCGTTAACATCTCTTGTAATGAAAGTCTTTGAAAGGTGCATAAAGACTGCATTATACGCTGCATGTTCTGATCTGTTGGATGACCGACAACACGGTTTTGTTAATGAACGTTCATGCACAACCCAAATGATACCTTTCACGGACAATCTTGCACTTGCATTGAATAACAGGTCCAGGACTGATATAATATATTTTGATTTTGCGAAAGCTTTTGATAGCGTTTCGCATGACCTCATTTTAAGTAAATTAAAGAATATTTTTAATGTCGATGGACTAATGCTTAAATTTATTAAGTCCTATTTTGAGGGGCGACAACAACAAGTAGTGATAGGAGGCCAAACGTCTTCTTCTCTACCAGTTTGGTCTGGTGTCCCTCAAGGTTCTATACTTGGCCCTTTATTGTTTGTAATATTTATAAATGACATGTTCTCCTGTGTCTCTGAAGGCACCAATATCGCCCTTTATGCAGATGACACTAAAATTTGGAGGGAGATCCTTGGTTACCCTGACCATCACATAATCCAAAATGACATCAACAGATTATATGATTGGTCAGTGAGAAATCGAATGAAGTTCCACCCACAAAAGTGCAAAGCCCTCTCTGTGTCCCTGCAAAGAAACGTGCTGGATAACTTGCCATTCAATACCTTCTTTTATAAACTTTCTGGAAGTGATATTGACTTTGTGCCCTCTCAGTCAGATTTAGGAGTCGCTTGATAAACTCCAGGTTTAATTGGGGTGCACAATGTAAAGCGCTTGTTTCCAAAGCTACCTCTAGACTTGGACTACTTAAGAGAACATGTCATTTCACTACTGATAAAAGGCAGAAAAGATCGTTCTATTTAGCGTTAATTAGGTCTATATTTGAACATTGTTCTGTCATATGGTCCCCTCAATCTGCAACTCATCTTCAACAGTTTGTTGCTATCCAAAAGAGGGCTATTAAATGGATCAATGGTGAACCTTACTCCAGTTATAATGACGATAAACTTGCTACAGAGCAAAATAAACTAAATATTCTCCCTGTTAAACAGAAGTTTATATATAACGATCTTATGACCTTCTATAAAATAGTGAATAGCATAATTCCAGTTTCGCTCCCTACATATATAGTCCTATGCCGTCCAGAGGGCACCCGATACACTAGGCACAATGCTCAAATAATTGATATGTCGGATACTTCAACTTACATGAGTACCACTGTGCCCTGTTCGGATGCCTTCCGAAATAGCTTTTTTCATAGATCTATGCTGAAATGGAATAGTCTACCAGTATGTATCCGGCAGTCAGAGCGGATTTCTACTTTTAAGGCCAAACTGATCAAGTACCTCTGGGCTGCCAATACAGTCTGGCCAGATTAGCTCATCAGTCTTATGAGTCTCAGAAATTTGTTTTTGTTGGTTACAATTCTGTCCGTCCAATTTCCTATCTGCTTGTCCTTTTCTTTTTTCTTATCAGTTGTGACGGAATTGTAATGAACAAAATCCTTATAATTATTTATGATATGTTTGATTTCTTGTTAATGTTTGTCATTCAAATTTGGTAGACGGCCCCAACGTTAATGTGGCTCTTGCTATGTGTTGGTTCAGCCGAATTAATTATTATATAATCAAGTTTATTTTTCTCGTTAGTTGTCATCCGGCCAAACATTAAGCAACTTATATTGCAGTACCATTTACCATTTAGTATATCAAAATATGTCATTGTAATTTTGCATGGCTGAAATGTAACGCTTGATTTATATATAATGATTAATTGAATTTTCAAATAAAATAAAAAAATGCAAAGAAAATTCAGGAGTTAACACTAGCTCTAATCAACAAAAATCCAGAAAAAATAAAAAACTTAGCCCTTGATTTTACTGGTATGAAGGTTCTGGCACAAGAATTTGTTGATGCTGCAACAACATTCCAGCATCACATTTCCAAATACTCTAACGCAACTGATGAAAATGGGTTAAATCTTCGAAATATCAATAATAAACTGATGTTGATGGACAGGCAATTCATACATGAGCAAGGACTGCCTGGCCGACCTTCATTCAGGCATCTGGTATTTGCTCCAAGCTCTACTAATACTTACGCTGGATCAGCCTTTCTGGGGATAGGAGATGAGATGAAGAAGGGACAAAAAGAATCAACGCAAAAGCAAATAGGACTAATAACAGCTAAACTGGAGGCTGTTACAAGATCAATTAGCTCTGAAGTGAGCTTCCTTTGAAACTAATGTTTCTGTTCTTCGAGAGAATTAATAAGTAACTCAGAAGAAAATATGTTACATGTGTTTGTTTTTAAAAGACATAATATGGAAAATATTATTAGTGTGTTTGTTGAAATAGTTTCTACAAAATCAAAAAATGCTTTTCTGTCACATTTAACATAATATTATGAATTAAATCCTTTGCCAGTATACCAAAATCGTTTCTATAGACTTGTGTATCGAGAAAGAGGATGATAGTGTACCCAATCAGATTTGGGCACTTAATCATGTTAACTGATTGAAAGCATGGTGCAAGTGTTAGTGTTGGATACTTTTTGGACAATTTTTATATCCCTCTGTATGTAATCAGTTTTAATATAGCTATTGTATCAAAATTACACTAGATTAATCATTTCGAAACCCCCTCCCCATCATATCAGCTGATTACGTAATATATGAACATCCCCATAAGAGAATATGGTGGAATTTTATAGAAACAATTTGCATGAAAAAAATTCACATATTACACAAGCTTTTTTTACCACTAAAAAAAGATAACCGATAAGTCCTATTGACAAAAATGATATAATGGGGGCCAGTCTGTTTAGTTGGTGCAGTGTGGTATTTTTTAATTAGCAATTTTAAGATTGCAGGTTAGACTCAATGAACAATGAACACGCGATAGCCTGAGCTTGACACACGCTGCAACCCCTTTTGATTTCACATAGCCATGTGTCTACGCGTACTATACTGCGTGACACGCTTGTTTCACAAGCGGCGGTCGCGCGCTACTGCAAGTGAGAGGGCTCTGGTTAGATCAAGTTTACAACCTACCAGGACGCGCGCAGAGTTGGAATTGATTGACGATGTCAATCTTGCTCTAACCAGAGCCCTCTCGCTTGCAGTAGCGCGCGAAACAAGCGCGTCACGCAGTACGCGTAGGCACATGGCTATGTGAAATGTCAATCCATCGAGATCGTTGCATGCTCTGCGAATAGAAGCAGAGCAACGATCGACGACGGAAGCGAGAAAACTAGTTTGCGCGGCGCGTCGAAGTCCTCCAAAGTTGGAACAAATATTTTACGAGTATCACCCGTTAATTTTAAATTTATACATGCACTGTACACGTTGCCCGCCATCCGAAGTGTAATATATCTTTCTGAGAAAAAATATGCAACGTGTTATATAAGCACGATGCACTACTAGTACTGCCACTGGCAACTGGGTCGCGCATTATAAGATAATATTACCTGGGGACCCCAGGCTATTATGTTCATAAACATAATAGTAGGGGGTGCACGATAAAAATAAACTTGTATTGCTCGGATTTTAAAAATTTGTGTACCATTGTTTTCTAGAGACTGCGTGAGAGTTTTCTTGACATACGTTGCATGCCACTTTTCGCGCGCCAAATTTGTCATACCTTTTTGGAAAGATCAGTGAGTTTCGCCTAGGTGCCATATTTGATTAATATTGCACCTAGGCGAATAATTATTTATATAATTATAAAACAAATAAAAACTCTATGTTGGATCGTTTGAGAAGCGGTTTTTGGTTTTTCACCCAGATTTAGCAGTTACGTTTCTAATTCAATTTAATCGTAGTTCCTAGCAAAAATAACTAATCTTATTTAAAACCTAAATCGTTCTTCAATTAAAACCGCCAATGATAACATGCATAATATGTTATTGATATTCATATATAGTTTTAACCCATTACCATAAATCCATAATTTATAAAAACAAAATCAAAATGATGCATTTAATACAATATCCAAACACAATTGAGTGACACAAAGTTAATGATACAATTCGTGAACAGAAAACTGGTATGCAGTACAACGCAAATTGCGCTTTTCCGTGATAAAAAGAGCCAAGCTACACTTGTCCACAGTTGAATTTACAATTTGTATGTTATCGAAAAATATTGTCAATATATTCCCTCTTGTATTAGGAAAATAAAAGAAGAAACAATAAAATATTAGGTTTCATTTCACAACTTCTTTCTAGGATAAAAATCATAATTCTGAGTTAAAAATCAACCTTACTAAGATTTATATTAATAGAATTACATGATTTTAACACTTTGAGGCAGCAGAGGAACAGAATTTTTCATATACTGTTTACCAATGTGCTCCGAATCACGTGGCTTGTGCGACAGAGGGTCGGAGAGGGACGGGTAGTAGTAGAAGTAGCTAACAGTTGCTATTATTGTGCCAAGCACGCTGCCCCAAACAATATCCTGCAGAAATATCACAATCAAGTATTATAAACCTAAGACAAAGTTTTAGCAACTACTATCATATCAACCTAAAATCAGGTCACTTTTGATTAATCTATTCGGGGCAAATTTCATAACCTAAAGAGCAGGCTGTGCTTTATTTAACTCATTCTTGAATACTCAATTTCCTCAATGTTATAATCCTAATCTATACAACGTAATTAATAAATAAAAGTAAGATGGAGGCAGAAATTAGGTTTCAAGATTAGGTATACCAAAGTGTTTGGTAGGCAGGTGCTCTGCGTGAGGTAGAAAGTGGTACTGACCTGGTAGTGGTGCCAGTAGTCACAGTATCTGGACAGCGCAATGAAGAGTGCTAGCAGAGAGGGACAGAGGGAAATGCAAAAGTTGAGGAGGGACTTGGGGGCGGGGGCTGAGAAACACTGCAGTTTCCCCGCTAGGTAATAGGAGAGGAAGAGCAGTCCAGCAAATGACCCTGAGGAGTGTAACAGTAGAGATAAAGAATAAAAGTACGATACTTGGAAACAAGTTACCCTCCAAATTGTACCAGTTCAATAGTATAACAGTAAGTTAGTAAATACCATGTTAAATTTACTTACAGCTGGAGTGGCCACTTGGAAAACTTTTCCTTCCTTCAATGATAACCTCGGAATCCCCGGAGCAGATAGGAGTAACCCCGTCAAACTTGGAGATACCATCGGGAAAACAGCGGTAATAGAAATCAGGCCGTGGGCGACCAACCATCAGTTTTATACCGTTAGTGATGAAGCCGTTCAGGAGGATTGACATAGTGAAACCTGTTTGTTTGATGGGGATTAGACAAAAATAGTAGTTTGGATTGTTAGTATTAAAGCGGTTATCTGGCAGCTTCGTGACTCGATATCAGTGTATCAGTGTATGATCAAAGTTAACAAATTAAATAACTTAACAGGACACAGAATATGGCTGATCTTACCTAGTAACCCGATTAAAATATCTTTAGGATTCTGGCAGCAAATACCGATGAGCGATATCAGGGCTGCGATGCAGAGCATTATAAACTGGGGAGAAAATGTTTAGAGGCTCTTGTGATACGATTTAGTTGTACAGTAAAAACTGCAGTTACAGAAATGTTTACATTAGACCGAGTTCGAATGTTTGGTTTGGAATAATAATAAGGTCCAGTTGTTATACTCACAAACAGTTGTGGGGTTGTGACTGTAACATCAGCGGAAACAGTGTAAGGGTTTTTGTACAGCCACCACTCTTCTGGCTGGATTACTCGGGTAAATGGTAGCTGCAGGTCCGACCATCTGAAACGAGAGAAATCGTTAAACTCATGTCACATGATGTTTTAGTAGTTGGAGTTTCGTAAGGTAAGCAAATAAAGGTAAATTATGTGGATAAGTGCAAGCCCCTTATTCAATTAAGCAAGCCTAGCTGTTAAAATTCACTAAGATGTCACGTGGTTAGCCGTGTACACTAGGGGGTTACGTCCACTGATAATAATATTCAGCCTCTCTCTAGAACAACACCTTGTTTGATTCCTATGTATGAGGTGTATTAGAAGGGAGTGGACCGGCCGGGGCGGCTAAGAGGTCCGATATACTGACGTATGTTCCTTAGAAATTACTCTGCGTTAACAAGCTGGGTGGGTGTACTAGTTCAGGTAACATTTGAAAGGTTCAACTTTATCTAGAGACTTAACACAGGACTGGGTCTTACAGACAAAGGCTAGCGACAAAGGCCATCGTCGTGCCCGCGTAATAAAGAGGTAGGAAACCATAGCAGATGCATAGGGAGAATTCTGCAGAATAAGACCAGAGGAATTCTGTGTAATGATACCATATGTTCTATGTATTATCACTCTATGCTTCTATTTATACACTGTTTTATACATCCTTTGTAAAATCTCAAAAGGAGTATCAAAATTTTGGAATATCTAACAGTAAGGGTTATATCACGAACGCAAATGCAAAACACCTCTTTCTAAAAGATTAAAACTTACATATACAATCCAAGTAGGACAACTCTTAATGCAACCTCCACAACAACATTTCCCCGAAGTCCCATTCTGTCCGGCTCCTCAGTTATCGGGGTAAAAGTCACAGCTTCTCTGATATATTGAGAATTCTTTATGTCGTCTACTGCCACGAGGTTAAACAATATTGAACATATATTCTCTAGAGGATGTTGGCGTGGTTAAGACGATAAAATTCACTTAACTGCAGCGAATAGCGATAACATGGTGAGAAGGAAGAGAAAATCGAAATCACAACATTGAAATGGATCCAAGATTAGTAATTTTAATTTAATTCTAGCTCATGCAAATTGTAGGAGTTTAGTTCACGGTAACGTAACGTACGTACGCGACGCGCGCACGTGAATCCAACTGCTGTGGAGCCCTTTGCTTAGATATATAAAATTGCATCGCGTGTTACAAAAACTCACATTTCCACATGTGTCCACTGGCAATAAGTACATTTATAGGTTCACGATAGGCGATTGAATCATCACAAAACGATTTTAGTAATAGAAACAAATATGTAATTGACCATATTATAGAAGCAATTTTTTAAACAATTCAGAAACACAATTTTCCGACACACTTTGTACAAGTGGGCACCTCAATTGCTTTAGATCGGAAAAAAAAGTTCCATCTACGAGCGAGAAGTTCGAATCAAATTATCATATCAAGGGGAAGTTTTAATGTTATCGCGGAACTGTTAAAACTACTCCGTGTAAAAATATATGTTCTGTGTCTTTACAAAAAGTTGTTAAATGCCTCTTAAATCGTTTCTGCCTCTTGGCTTCTTATATAGGCTTAATAATCTAGGTAAACTGGTAGACTAGCTTCATTAATTTTCTGTCTCGCATTTTATGAAAGGAGTTAAGTCTACTTTTTAACCAGTAGGCAAGATTCCCATGATATTTTCGAGATTAAAGTCGTTTATTTTGAATCAGCTGTCGGGTGACATAATTCACTATTTACAGCTGTTTTTGCAATTTGCAATTTTGTTGATTAATTCTTCTTGGTAACTTAAATGGGAATCCAACCGTGAAAGGAAATAAATGCCAATTATCAAGATAAAATCAAATCACAATTATTTGAATTCCTAAATACATATATAAAAGATTCCCGTCCCTAATTTTATGACATTTACATTAAGTTATAAATTTTTCTGCCACATATAGATACAGTTATAACAATTTTCTGGCCCAACTTTCGAGAGGACACAATTTCATAAAATAATGACATGATAGCATTTACATTAACATTATCGAAATTTCCTTGGAAAATATCCGCTTCTCTTCAAAGGTCTGACCTCAGGAATTAACCCGATCTCTCTTAGAAAAATAGTGCACTGATTGGACACATTTAATCTTGAATTCATTCAAATCCACAATAAAAATTACAGTTTTCAAATCAGCAAAGTTTCAAACTCAGCTCTTTCTCTCCATCTTTCTCTCAACAATGTCTCATAAAGAATGGTAACCAATGCAACAAAGTAAGTCCCTCACTCTAAGTCAGTGGATACAATCACTTGGACTATGAAACTCTTAGGAATCTTAGCATCTTTAATCGCAGTCTTATCATTTAGGATTTTACCGCAGCAGATCATCCTAATCCTGCTTTTACCCAGAGCGTGGTTTTGTCGGAGGCGCTCCTTAACGTCTGCTATGCGCTCGAGCGAGTTTACGGGCAGTTTCTCATCAGAAACAGCGTCTCCTATGGACAATCTTATTTTTAGGTACATGTCAGGAGCCATGGTAACCGGGCTAGCTGGGATGACAGGTTCGTTGCTAGGTTCTGGTTTGGAGGTGACTATGTTTGTGGGACGTGACAGTACGTAGGGTGGCAACACATATCTGCATCCTAACTCATCATAACAATCTGACAAGAAACCTGGGAGGGAGGTGTGAGACTAGTTTATGGGTTGTCTAACATATATAATAGAAGACAGATTTGGAATCACTGAAACTTAAAACCATATCTGAAACATCAAATAGTTTTTATCTAGTTTTGCTACTGGTACTTAACAAATGTTTTCTCACTGCACCTGAAGGAAGGGTAATACTAGCACCGTCTAATATAGCCTGCGCCAGGTCCCTGTTTCCAGTCTCAAGTGCTTCAGCTGCTGCTTTCAGTGCATCCCAAATCTCCTGAAGTAATAGTATGTTTACTTTATGAACGATCTGAGTTGAAGCAATCGGATCAAGAAAATGATTATTACTCCAATATGACTTCCTGGATAACATTTCCGCATAATAACAGGACATTTGAAATTAAAATTCAACTCTTAAAGTAAAAACCGGTCGTACTTTGCGGCCTTCATAAGCCGGTGAGGTGTCCCAAAACTCGGCCCGTTTGCGCATCAGCTGCTCCGTTGTGATGGACCGCTCGGCGGACCATACTGGCAACTCGCTCTTCACAGGCTGATTCTTAGCTGAGAGTGGTTTGTTGTTATGGTTCAATGTGATCACCAAATCAAAATCCTTCAGGACATAAATATCCAGTGAATATTAATATCCACATATTATATGGTCGGCTGGATTGGCTTGATGTTTAAATTAAATGAGATGTGTGCGGCCGGAAGAGAATGTGAAGCTCGACTTAGAGTTAGAGTAAGCTCATGCGTGATAAAATGGGAGTATATTGTTTTACAGCTTTAATTATCTTCATACTGAAACATTGGGTTTCCTTATATACAACCGAATTGATTTCACGGAACAATTGGAGTTCAATGCACTATCAAAAGTAACAAAACTCGACATGAGTCATTCAAATAATACAGTAATACCATCCATTGACGTACTATCAGCCGGATGTCCAAAAAAGGTCAAAATAATAATGTAAGAACCCGTGAGTCCAGTAGAGTACTCTAGCTCATGTGGTTCGTATTATGATAGCATGAATCCATCAGGAGTAAAATTCAAAGTATGAAGTTCATGCTAATCGATAATCGACGGCAAATTTATGCATATGGTTATTTACTTTGTTATTCGTGGAACAATATTGAATTAAAATTTCGTGCAGCATTTTAAGCATGGCGAGGTTTGGTAGTGAATTAAAGAGATTCATATCGTTATGGCAACAGTTTTTATTGCTAAATGGTAACTGATATGGTGAGAGCAGAAGACAATTTGCAAGTTAACTATAAAGAAAAGGAAGCTGATAATATATAACAATGATAACTACGTCAAGGTGCACTTATCAAACTTGTGGCTTGTGGTAGCTTTGTAACAATGATGCTGCTAAAATGATCATTCTGTCAAACAATATGATCCATACAAACTTGCCAAGCAATTAAAATCAACTTCATACTAACTTCAGACTGTAAAACAATAACCATTTAAAATTTGGAAGCGTTCACAAATTACGTCAGCAAAGTCATTGCAACAGCAATGCGAACGGCTGCTGACGGAGGGGGAGAGGGGGTAAAACTTGCTGACGTAACATGTGAACGCTTCTAAGTAATTAAAACCAACTTCATACCTTCTTCAGGCTGATTACGAGAGGAGGGACATCTGTTTCTGAGCAAGCAGTTCCCCATTACTCTTCAGAGCCATGTCTCATCATGTCACCTTCTCACATATCAAATACACAGCTAGGTAGGTGCAGTTGTGTTAGATCATAATACCGAGATACCAATTAATTATTATAATATGTACGAGATAATAATCATAATATTATGGTGAATGTATTCCAACAATGTCATTCAAATCTAATCTTGATATCTAATCTTGATATCTAATCGGTTCCTAAATAACAATTGGTTCGGAGACAACTGTATTATAACATTTTGTAAGATCACCAAGGATTGACACAAGATTCACAGGTTGAATAACTCTAATTTGTTGTAATACCTTCCGGGCATTATATGTACGAAATGTTTAGAGTCGTGAGTCTTAATATTGTTTCATGAATAGCACGTGCGCCGTGTATGGAAGATTTTTGAATTGTACATCCACATACTGCAACTGGCACGTGCGCGCGCCTTAAAAGTGATCAAGTGACAACGAAAACATTATTATCATTATCAAGTGACAACGAAAACATTATTATCATTATCATGTGGCAACAAAAAATGATTTCGTGAAAAACAGCCTGCCTTTGTTGACATGGTTCTAAATATGGTTCAGTTTTCGATTTTCACCATTGCATTACAGTAGAAATTAGAAAACATTGCATTACAGTAATAATAACACCTAATAAGTTCTTGTTCGTGCATTATGGCGTGCAGCATTCAAGAGTCAAGGTATTATGGTATTATAATATCAAGGTAAGTTAAATGCTAATTATTTAAATGTCTCTACACCATATAAGGAATTCAATTTGCCTTGAGCTAAAGAGGTGAAATTTAAGAGATTTTCTTTGATCAATAGTTACAAGTCACTAGATTAGAGAAATACGAGTCAACTGGTCACTTGAAATATATTTAAAACTCATGCAACAAACTCAAACTTATAAAAATATAAAACATTGCAAATGTGGAATCATCAATATTTTTGACATCTTTGACATGTAAGCGATTTGTTTTAATAGGATAAACGGAATTTAACGAAAGCTTTCTTGTCATTTTAGAAATTTTAGAATACGCAATCCCTAAAAATACCACAAGATAATATTGAGGAGCTCAACCAAATATATCTAAACACGTTAATAAATATAAAAATAACTTTATCAGACATTCTTCTCAACACATTAAAATAAGTTTAAACTAAGCTTATTAAACTGAACTACACCTGAAGGGGGGGGGGGGGGGGGGGGGGGGGGACCTGAAGTCATCCGTAGTGGTTAGTGAAACTGTTTCTGTTAAGCAATAAACGAATAAAATGACAAGGCTTGATTTGAGATTCCACTTTGACAGCTTAACTTGATCGAACTTCAGATTCAGTTATCTTGCAAAGCACCATCTAATATAGCATTTAATGGCATTTTAGTTGCTAAATCAAAATACAACTATCTGTAATTTAACTAACGAGATATTTAACCCCACAATTATTTCTCACTCACAAGTCTTGGGCCCCTGATCAAACATTTTCCCCAGATCACCAATGGAAGCATTTTGAGATCCCCTGGGTTTAGGCTTGCCCTGTGCGGCGCTCTGTTTCCAGGCTATGAAGTACAGGACATTAAATGCCAGGGGTAGAGAGTTGTCAGCGTTAGCGTAGAGGTCATGGTAAAGCCCAGCCGCCCCCATCAACACATCCCGTCGTAAGCCGCCCGGAGACGAGGTCAGGCAACCGTTCTCCGCCATCCCCTGGTAGAGTTTATAGTTTAGAGCATTGCACAACTGTTGAGAAAGTGAGGAGGTGGTGGGTGTCTTAATTATTATCCGAAAAAACAGTTAGTACCGCGAAGGGGGTGGGTGGGTCTTTTGAAAAATTCCAAAATTACACTTAGTCGACGTCACGTACAGAACTTAGTACCTGATTCCCCCCCCCCCCCCCCCCCCCCCCCCGGCCCCCCCCGGGATGAGGTGGTACTATACGTCATGTGGATAACATGATTATGTTCAATGTTGTTTCAATGTTGTATTGTAAGGTATAAAGTGGTGGTGTATTGTGTAAAGTTTAGCAGTATACAATATCTAATCACAAACACTGCATCATGACGCATACAGTGTGTTTCTTTCTCACATGATATTATAATGAACTAATCATGATCTATCTCTATGTCTGTCTCTCTTCCCCTCTCTGTCTCCTTATAATAAAGTAATAAGTACACAAATTGGGAACTATAACTGGGAAGTCACATAATGTATGTGAGTGTGTGAGTGTGAGTATGAGTGTGTCTACAAGAATATCACACTGTATTGCAAGTATTGCATAGGAACAGAGTAGTGTGCATGTAGTACACACTACAGATAATTACGCTCTCTGCTTATCCAACTTGTATGTCCGAGACTATATTATAGTATGTGCTCAATAATATGTATAATATATTATGTATTGTATATTCATCAAGGAAACAACTAAGATAAGTATTGTCTCCTGATCTCCATATTAAAATTTAGAACATGTCCCGGCATGATGACAACATCCGGGTATTACACGTGTAATAACGCCGGATATATGTTGATATATTTCAACACTTATAAGGGACTGCAACTGCACTCGACATGAGAGCAATAACCACTAACGCTCTTATATAATGACAGTATATATTATATCGAGTCATTAAGTTTGCTGCCTTCTCGCAGTATTTAAGATAAGAATGATCATGAGATCTCCTCAGTTAAATCGGAGTGATTATGCTGTTGCGTAATATTGTAAATCGATACATAATTTCGAATGTACATTATCATCAATGATCTCACGAATCCGATGTAAGTATTGTACGATCTTTGTTATGCATTAGATATTGTTAGGAAAATGCAGTAAACGGTTCAGTATGTATCTTGTGTTTGCAAGCCGGAAATGAAAGTAGACAATACAGGGTGACTAAAAACCACCACCGCATAATCATGATAATGTTTTGGGCCACCCCGGTCCCCAATAACACCTTTTTACTAATCAAGCCAATGTTTTTGCCTTTTTTGCCATGTTAGCTCAAATGGTTTCAAAGATGATGAAATCGAGTCGTGTTGAATAGAACCACAAGTATGGCGTGTGGGCCAACTAACCGGCAAACATTCCATAGTTGTTGACTGTTGAGCACCTTTTTAACTGGTAGACAGAGCTTGTTCAAATTGATCAATAAGACTGGTCAGACAAATTTGGCATTTTAAGGACTAGTATGAACCAAAAACCGATCAAGTTTGAGAGGCATTTGGACGATCAGTGACCACACGAAATTATAGACATGGTACGAAATGTTTGTTAAGTTTAATTGAATTCTGATGACATTTTAATGAAATTGGAGATAAACAAGTTAGGCCTAGGACAGGTATTTTTAGTAACCCTGTATTACCATTTACCTAATTTTAGATAAACCTCTGTATAAGAGCGTAATACAAAACAAAGTGCCAGAATGGAGAGCAGGAGAAGGAATCTTGCTATTTCTCAGAATGTAACATGAAACCAATACTACGCTAACAAGTTGTAACTAGTAACCATACCACTTGTCCTGGACATGACCGAAATTCTAAAGAACACACGCCTTCATTTCATAGGATTTAGGGAATAATACCATAATCCGCATAACAATACCAAATCGATAGAAGCCTTTGTACCAGTTTAGAGTGACTCTGAATAGCAGGGACGCCTCAAGGTTGGAAGAATATATTACTATGTAACGTAAAGTACGTGGTATTGAAACTTTGAGGTCTCATTCAATCCTATAATTAAAGTGGAGGAGATACAGGGCCGGGCCCGGTAGTCATGTACACTGGTACAGGTACCTTCTCATCTGCCAAACAGGTGTGCAGGTGCTGTATCTGATTCTGGGATCTCGCACTATTTAATTAACTGCAGACTTACTGCTACTGCACGTACTCCGCTAATGGTTGTTGTAAGAATAACCACCACCAGCAGAGCAGCAGATCTTCTGGAGAATCAAGCTAAAAATAGATCTGCAGGCCTTTTATCTTTGACATTTCTCGGGAGATTAGCGATTATAATGAGTGGGCTGAAGTTTAATAAAAGCAGATCATTGTAATAACGGATTCGGGGAAGTTGCGGTGGGCGGGTGGGTATACTTTACTTAAAATAAATAATAATAAATGGTGTTTAAAACAGTGCTATTAAAGAAGGAAATAACAGAAATAAAAACAGGGAGCGGGATCCAGAGTTACACAATATCTTAGCTTGATTTCTAGGAAAATGCAGAGTGGTGTATCTTACTACTAGTAAAGATATATTGTGAAGCAATTACAGCAGGAATTATGGTTGAAATGGTTGTGTGTTGACACTGGACGACCACAAAATGTATTCGCAACATGTCTTTATGGTGATTCGGGGAAATTAATAATAATACTGCTTTTACTCAAGCAGGTATCTATTATCTAACTCCAAGATCAGAGTTATCAAACACCTTGTTTAGTATCTACCTATGTTTGTGAGTTTACACATTGCATGGCTCACAAACATTATCCTGATCCATTCAAGTTGGATCAAATCAGAGGAACAACCATTTAGGTGATCATGCAAAAACCGCAAATTATGCGATCCCGCAACTCTTTTGATCATTAGGTTACAAAATTAAAGATAAAAGTGCAGAAAATATGTGGTAAATTGTGCGATTCCGCAACCGCCGCAACTAATTGGTGCCTCTGAGACAAATCGAAAGATCGATTGAGAAATGGAAGTAAAGATCAAAAGGGAACTCAAGCAAAGAGCAGAGTTAACCAGTACAAACGAGCAAGAACATATGTTTTTACCACGTTTGGTAATAGAAAAAGAATGCGGTATAACAAATAATGGTGCACTCAAGAATGCAATCCATCTCGCATATAATAAGTAAAAACGATATAAAAACGAGCAAAGTATTTGACTATATAAAGCACTGACGGTATTTGTAACGCTCCCACTGCAGAACTTGAAGCATTCTTTGTGTGAGGTCCCCTGCACATAGAACAAGTGCAGACTTATAAAAGGAGCGGAATACACTGGAAATACACGGGGCAATGGGCATGGTGCTAAGAATAACATGACTCCTGAAATAATATCATCAAATGCTGTACTAGTATTGTGCAACATGTATTGCCAGATACCATCACTAAAATGGGTTCACTTACATTGCCTCCGTTAGGTATTCGTATGTAGTTTCAGTTACATGATGTGTTCTGTATGCCGTATGATAGAAACTACATTGGCCCACCAAATCATTTAAATAAACAAAAGTTTCGGTAAAACGCATGAATAAGTAATAAGTTGCATGAGTTTTTGTGAATATGCCGTGTTGATGCCGGGTACTCACTTGGATATCTCTCATCAGGAAGTATAGATCCGGATAGGTTATGGTGATGTCCTCACTGTCAAGTGTTATCATACAGAACCTAGCTCCAGTCAGTAAGGATCCCAAGTCTGCTGGTGTTACGAATGGTGATATGTGCGGTGCGATACCACCTGAAACAAGCCTGGTTATTAAACAACTAGTACAGTGCAGGAGCGCAGTTAAAAGTTAACTTCTAATAAGAATAATAAGAATGGTTAATATTAAGTTGATTACCCAAATAAACAACAGGGACAGCCCATTATTATCATAGGTAGACAAAAGGTAAGTAGACAAAAGATAAACTAGATTCAGTCACGGGATTGCTACTCAAATCTGCTGTTTCAAAGCGTGATAACGGACTGACTAGTGATTAAGATACCACTAGATGACCAATAGAGACCTCTAATGCTACCAATAATCAGGGGTTTATGTAGCGATAACCGACCACATGCAGCTCATACTAAATGCAACATATCTGCATTTATGGCAACAATGTGTGCAATTGTAATCAGTTGACCCAATTTTTGCCGATTTCTCTGTATTTTCTAGCAAATTTTTGTCAAAATCTAAATCGGAGATGACCTCACTTAGTCACATTAACATTCTATAACCTTCAATTGCAATACCACATTCATTGCGCCGTCAAAATGCCTAATTCGTGCCCCCAGGCCTATATAAACTTAAATTCGAGAACAAATGAACAATTCCTCTTCGTCAAGAATAATTTCACTGTACAAGATTTGGAAGTATAAACAGCACGCAAAGTTCAATAATATGCAAGAAGGCTGCAATAAGTAGGTGCAGACATCTGTCAAACCAATCTCGCAGAATTCATCGTGGAACTGAATTAAATAGGTCTCTAGCTAAACGTCTTCTATTATTAAATTTCAATGTACCAGTGTGTACCAGTACCACTTCTAGTTCTAGGACATTGACATTGTTTTATTTAAATTTATTCGAGCTTTTCATTTAGAATTAAAACAAGTTCTTCATATTATATACACTTGGTTAAAGCACTTCCATCCCATTATGTTTTTATTGACCCATTTTTCTGCATACAGAATTATATGCCGAAAACGTGCTTTAAATTTTAATTAATATGTAAACGTTATTTAATGCGCCCCTTTTTACCGTAATTACATTCACAATTGAGTTTGCATATTTATTTTTTAAAGGGACATGTGAAAATGACAATAACAGCTCATTATTCTCATAAAATTATCATAAAATAGTAGAATATATATTTTATAATAAGTTTCCCAATTTGATCAAAATATGTATGAAACGTTCTAGAAATTTCTAAGAACAAACCTGTTCTCTCGAGTTCAGCCTGCTGTAGACTGACCCGCAGCTGGTAAACTGTTTCAGCTGCGAACATAGACCCAATAAACACACCGTCAGGAGTGAGAACCCTCTCCACCTGAGAAATAGAAGTGATTACCTACCACCTAGCTAGGGTTTCAACATGTTAACCAGTTTCAACATGGTAAATGTACTAAGTTTCGATGTGGCAAAATGTGTTGTGTTCCAGTTTCACCATTTGTAGTGCGAATAAAACTGGTTCCTAATTCGGATCAGTGATGTATAGTTGAGTAGTGAGTACGTTGCACTGGCTTACTGTTTATAATGTACAGTTGATTAAACCCTTCTTCTATGGACCCTTACCCACATGTTACTACCGCTCTATTGAAGCCCTACACATTACTTCTTCTCTACTGAAGTCCTAAACGTCACTCCTGCTCTATTGAAGCCCTACACATTACTTCTTCTCTACTGAAGTCCTAAACGTCACTCCTGCTCTATTGAAGCCCTGCACATTACTTCTTCTCCACCGAAGTCCTAAACGTCACTTCCGCCCTCATGAAGCCCTGAAAATTTCTCCTGCATTTACCTCACTTAGTCCTTAGAAGACACTATTAGAGCCCACATCACCCCAAAGACCTTGAAGATCTAAGTTGACAATAGTTGGGCGAAAGACTTACCTTCTGGATCAACCGTCATACTAAAGCTTAACTAACAAGAATAGACACGATCCTAGTTGATGAACATCAGCTCACGCCAACAACGGCTCATTGAAATACTTCTAAATGGACAATCCGAAAACTATAGTTTTTAATAAATGAAACAGACTGGAGAAAATAAAATTTCCTTGAAGACCAACGAACAATTCGTGTAAATTATTTTTAATAGAATATGGAGAAGAATTAAATCTGTGAATTCGTGTTAACATTTGATTTTCAATATGTGAGATATTTGTGACAAGACCCATAGCTTGTTTTTCAAAATTGTGGACGTATAATAAAAACCCCGTAAAGATTTTATCTACCAATAAAATCTTTTTCTGTGTCCGTAGGGATCTGTTATAGATTGAATCGAGCTAGTTCCTAGCTCTCTCCTGATTCTTCTAGAACCTTCCACAAGGACCAAATATCTCTTGATATTTACGGGTTAAACCACTAGTCCGTAAAGAGGACAGTTAAAACCACTAGTTCGTAGAGAGGATAGTTAAACAACGGTTAACTACCTTGTTTTAATTATAAACTTAGACCTCTCCGAAACATGTAGGTTTAGCGTAAGGGTCAAGGTTCTGCGATCTTAGTTTGTTCAGGACTCCAATTATTCTGATTTTATCATCATACTATCTTTCACTTGAACTTCGAGTATCTATCTATTCTCCACGCACCGGTGATAACAATATAGATTACTAATGATGTACATGTATATTGTATCAATATATGTACACAATAAACAATCCACACACTCCGCAATGTAACTCAATGGAATGTTTGCTAGAACTACAAGTTCATAACAAGTTATTCAACTGATCAAACATACCGCCATGTGGAACGGGCACCTCATGACGCACGGAGTACATTGTACATTGTACATTGTTATCTCTTAGTTTCTTAATTATCATTCTGCAGCTAACTTTTAGAGTATTTATTCTCAACCTTCCGTACCAAATAGACGGGCCACGGGGCAAAAAGGTGCGAGAAGACGATTACATTTAACAATTTAAACCGTCACAAATCAGGGGCAAACGACAGAAATTATAGAATCTACACTATGAAGTACATTTGAGAGATCATATTATTATGAGGCGAAACACAAAATGTGATATGTCTAAAAAAGTATTATGATCTCAGTAAAACTAACAAATAGGATTATACAACCCGAGTTATTAACGTGAATTTCACAGTTATTCAAAGTATTTCAATATGTTCAGTAAGATATAAGTTATATTATACATTGCCGATTAAACATGCTTGACAAAGAGAGCCCACATAGTATAATATTGGAATATCTTGATCTGGCTAAAGCGGGTAGGCGGTCTGTGACAATTTCTGATTGGGCTACACTTGCGACTAGAAGTGTTGATACAATGCAGATAACCTCTCAGATATTGGGCACATATTTAAGTAAAACAGTTTAGTTTAAATGATTAACTTATATAATGATCCTGCAGCGACTTAATCATGTCTGGAGACGAACGGAAACGAAGTTGTTCTTAGTTTACGAATATACTGATTTGATGATACCTTTAATTTTAGCACCCCCACAGCGATAATTGAAGTGAAGTTCTACCACGTGCAGAGTGTTACCGCACGTGTAACCGTGCGCGTCCTAAAATTGCTAAAACTCACCTCTCTAAAGAGTTTAGGCAGTTCATTGACCCAATGTAGCCACAAGTTAGAGATTATCAAATCTTGGGAGCTGTTCTCAAATGGCAGGGTATCGTCAGACTCCAGCAGGATTTGCTCTGTCTTTAAGCCCTGTAGGGAATTAAGTACAACAGGAACGCTAAGAATTAGAGACTCAGTTAAACCCATGTTCAGGGAGTCAAGAGTTTGAAATAGTGTCAAATTTCAACTGGAACATTCAAAACAATTTTATAATTTTAAGACAGATTCTTAAGCTGTAACTGGAAACATTACAGTAGACGTTATATTAGGGGGCGATTTAAATTGTACGCATTTGCAAGGTGCACAGTGCACACAAATTGTTAAGTTCATGAAAACGATCACGATGGGAACATCATAACTTCTGGAATATAGTTACACGCTCGCAAAACATTGATCCAAGACTTTGAATATAAATGCCTCATTTAGGACCCTTCCCGATCACGTCCGGAGAGAGAGCCAACCATATTTGGAGTCGTTGACAAATTACTTTGTCACTTTTTGCTCAATTTAAACACCTGAATCGATGCGTTCGCCTGGTTTTCTTTGAACTGTACAATTTATTTTTTATCAAACTGTCTACAATCGGTTTATCAAAATATAATATAGGTATGTCAAAATTATGGAGTTCGATTTTAATTGGTTGCGACATATTATAATGTACTTATTTAGTGAAATACTATTAACCAAGGCGGTAAAGAGAAACACTATCAATAATCGACAAAGCCATTTACGAATGTGATCGAAAACTTGAGACTACATTAGTGAAATGCGCCGGGGACTGGGTTACAAAATATTCTCGTGAATGATTGGGTAATTTGGTAATTGAGCAATCATTTATATTGTCGCCAGATAACTACCCGTCTTGAGGGATGAACTTGAGTATTTAATCGTTAAACATCTAAATAATTAAATGTACCTCGATATTTTGCCTGGGAAGATTAAGACACTCCTGAGCAGTATCACACTCCACCACTGTATTTGTGGTGTAGGTGTTCACGTGTTTGTACACGTGACCTTTCCCCGCTCCCAGATCTACTATCTTGGGGAAGTCTCGGCTAATGTCGGTGATCCTATCTGGGGGAGGGGGTTGATTAATTGTCTGTTAGCTTGAAGAGCAGCTTAAATTGGTTTTAGTTAACTAGAAGAGTAAAGAGTTAAGGAAGTGGTTGTTGGCGTTTACTAATATAAAGTTGGGATACAACTGTATTTCCATAGTTTAGAGCCTCTTAACTGCTGTAAGCTCCTGTCTAGAGCCCCTCTAAATTAGACGGGTCAACCAACCATTTCTCGACAAAATATTAAATCGTTCACTTAAATGAACAGATATCATGCTCAGTCAATTGAAGTACTGTTCATAATATAACCAAGCAGCAAGCTTATGCACACCGAGGCAATGGAAATGGCTCCACATAGAATAATCAATTAGTTGCGTTTCATCAGAGGGCCATTTTATGAGATGATGATCGACTAGACACCATAACAATTCTTAGAATTTGCCATAGTTTAACAGAATATGAGTTCGTTGAATTTTACAATTATTACTGCCGAGGACTTTCCGCTCTCCAGCAAACGATTTATTTAAAAACAGCAACCAGCAGGTTAGTTGCCTATAACATAAAAACAATTTACGCATTTAACTTACCAGCCAATATCTCCGCAATCCCATCCTTCAGGTAGTCAAACTGGTGGTGATTAGGCAGTTTAGCAGCTCTGTTCCTTTGAAGTGCTTTCCTCTGGGAGTTAAAGGTCGAGACACTACGTAGCCGGAGACAGAGTAGGTTTCTCTTGGAGATAGAAGAAAGGGTTCGTGAGCAAAACATCTGGAAATGTTGCTTATTTATAGAAAATAAAACACGTCTCAAGCGGGCATAGTGTTATTTAACATGGTAAATTGAGGATCGTGCATCAGTTCATGAGCTATGTTAATTAAGCATCTTAAACTTGTTTGTATTTCATGGAGAGTGCCAAGAAAAACGGTGTTGCTAATTAATTAAGAATAAACTGATTATAATTTCTAAAACAGTTCACACACTCAATGAAATGAGCAACTAAAATTGATAAAAATGTAAGAAGAATAACAAATTTAAATCTAAAATAAATACCTAGAAATGACTATCATCAAAATACTTTATTAGTGGAAAATTAAAAGTCCCGAGTAGGCATCATCAACAGGTCTATGTACAACATAATCCCTTAAAAACCCGCCCGCCAGGGCCACATCACTGACAACCACATCCTCCGCATATTCCTGGATGGTTTCCTCTGAAGTCTTAGGACCACAATTATCACCCATACCATCTTCATACTTGTAGATAAAGACCTTGGTGTCGGTGATAGGTTTAGCACTGTTTATCATGGCAATACTGAAGCCGCTGTTATACGCAGACATGGAGTGAAGGGATCTCTTGTTGATCACAGTTTCCTCCTCCTCTTTGTGGAGCAACAAGATCTCATCAGCTGGGCGATCTGAGCTGGCTATCTGATCTAGGAGTTTCTTCTTCCGTTCTACACGCTCCATTTCCTCCATCATCTCACACTCTTGTTCATGAGCTCGACGTTCTTCTGATTCCTTTTCCTCCGCAAGCGTTTTCTCTTTGAGGTATGCTTCTTGTCGACTCTGAGCAACCCTGTTCTTTTGTATTATCTTGAAGTTATCTTTCTTGTAAGCTTCAACTTTGGCTGTAGTTTCTTCAACATCAACGGTGTTGGCAAAGTTAAATACAATTTCTTCAATATCTTCAAGATAATCATTAAACTCTCTCAAAGAAGGAAAATCATCCTCTGTTTTGTTATAGACTTTCAGGATACGCTTCCTGACATCAACCTCACGCTCCACACTAAAATCTTCAAATCTTTTAGTCTTAAACCCATTTTTCTTCAAGATTAGCTTGCAGCCCGGGCAGGGAGCGGAGCCTCTGATAAAGAGATGTTCCACACACTTGTCACAGAGATCATGTCCGCACTCGTTAACTAGGAGTTTCAGAGATTTGTTCTGATAGTTGCTGGTCCTACACCTCGGACACACTTCTTCTAATGTAGTCACTTGAGTCTGTGTCATAGTGAGGTATCAACAAAGTATCCGCGTCTGGAGTTAGCATGTTCACATCGTCATTCTTATCATGGTCATATTCTGCGAAAAATGAAGGTGATTAAGTCAAGCAAATGTGAATTCTGTTCAGATTGGAGAATGTAAAATATTGTTGAATGGAGAGAGGGAAGACCGATACATTTTTACCCATCAAAATTGTACATAATCATAAACAAAGTCAAGTTTATTTACTCAAATGGTAATAAATTAAACAATTTATAAAAGTAACAATCTGTAAACAATTCTAAACACAAAAATTCAACACTTCCGACAAATCATCGGAACGGCCATGGGTCACGGTATAATGCTATGTGCTACTAACTACAAATCAATCATTATAAACTTGATTTGTACACTGTTTCTTGCAAACGGGAATGGTCTCAAGCGAGCCTCAAATTTAGCTACAATCCAAGTCTATTCTTCACAAGTTATATCCTCAGCTCTATTCTTCAAATACTGCTCCGTTTTTCAAATTACCAGTCAATAACCCTGAGGCAAAATCCCTCAAATCTAGAAAATAAGATGAAGATGTATATAAACACTGTGCCACTAAACAGCAAATTGAGTCCACACCAAAGTTCATCTGCTTCCATTCTGAAAACCAACTAATAAATAAGATTTCCTTATTTCAGGGCAGCGTAGGCCTCTTCTTCTAATCTTTTCTTAACTCTAGATTCCTCTGTATTAATTTTATCAGAATACTGCGCCTGGAACTGTTGTTTTGTCATTCCTGTGTTCTGGGGCGCTCCAGGCTGAGTCATTGCTTCTGAACCCTTCAAGATTTCATCAAGATATGAGTCATCTGTCCTGAAATGAAATGATGGTCTTAGATTTCATTACAATTTTGGGGGGCCAATTTTTAATTTCAAGATATCTATAATAGATCAATAATATAAATTTTATCACTACACGGAAGATATTGGATGCCGATACAATTTGTAGATGAAAACAATTTTAAACATGTCTGACCGAATCAAATTCAAAGCTAAAAGATAATCCAAATAGATCAAAAATTGTGGGAAGCACGTGCTATAACTAACATACCAACTAACATACCAACTAATAACTAACATACCAACCTTATTTTATAAAGTTCTGTCTCTTGATAAACTGCCCAGGATCCAACAGGAAGGAAACACAATAACGTTGCTTTCATGAACTCCATCTTGGTCTGCCAGGCCATGGGTGTATACTTGAGGCTCTTCCCCGTAAAAGAGCTGAAAGCTCGCACGGCACTCATGGCTACGAAAAATGTGTTTGTAGTTGGAAATGAAATGGAAATAAAACTTTGGTTTGTGAAGGTGTAACGAACAAAGCCATAATCGTCCTGCCCGATAACCATACGCCCTAAAACCTGATCACGTGCTCAGAACTAAATACGTGCTTCTAGGGCATTGTCAGAGCAATTGGTATTTATAATTAAGGCAATATGGGTATCGGGCAAGAAGATGATAAAGTAAAAAAAGTTATGAGATTATCTGGTTGTAACATTATAATAACCTTAAACAAGTCTTCATCACGGATATAACATGGACGCATAAATGATCGCAGCATAATGCAATGGCTGCGTAGTAGCCGTTTCGTGAATAGAGCAGTCAATAAGGAAATATGATTTATAGGAACCAAGATGATACAAAGATTTAAGGAATACAATTTGTTAAATTTCAACGTTATCATTTATAATTAAGGTTACGGCGTCATCCATCGACAGGCTGTCTTTGATAGTACAGTTAGAATTATTTCCCATTTGTCTTAGATACAAAAGAGTCTGGAATATTGGGTCTAGAAATTCAAGGAAATTCCAGGTCTCCATATTATTCAGACTCTCACGTACAATGTACCTATGGTACTGAAGGATTTAAACACGTATTTAAGTAAGACGTTATCGGCAGGACTGTCAGGTTTCAATTATAAATATAATTTTTTATCTTAATTTTGGAACCTACTTATATTTACCGCTTTTACCATTTTTATTGAATAAAATACCATAACAACGTGTGAATTGGATTTAAATAGTTTTATTTTTCTCAGTGTAATTATTAAAACAATCGAGCACTTTCTAGGAAGCCACACCTGCTTGGAGAAATACCCGACAAGCTGCTACTGGTGGAGTTGGGTTTATGCTGACCAAGCAGGCCTACAAAGCAGTGAGTCTCATGAAATCGTTTGGGAAGCGAATTTTTCTCATATCCTTTGATGGAAACCCACGGCTTACAGTAATAACGGTGTACAGTCCCACTGAAGCAGCATCAAATGAAGAGGCAGAGGACTTTCACGAGGGACTAAGATCTGCATTAGGAGAGGTACCAGCTGCAGCCCATCATCTGCTAATGGTTGTTGGTGATCTTAACGCCCATCTTAGCAGATTGAATGAGGAGGATTCAGGTTGGTACTGGCATCGAGTATCCAACAGAAACGGATCGCTTCTCAGGGATACTTTGTTGGAGGGAAACCTTGAGGCAACAAACCACCGATTCCAGAAACGTCCCGGTAAACTATGGACGTATCTCTCTGACGGAACACTGAGCAAGAGTCAGATTGACTACATCCTGATAAGGAAGAAGTGGCGTAACTCAGTCAAGGACACTGTTGTCTCCAATTCTTTTAACTCTCTTGGGTCGGACCACCGTCTAGTAGTTAGTTCAGTCAAACTCAGCCTGCGAAAGTGCCAGAATGCACCTAGAGTAGTAAGATATGACTACAGACTGCTCAAAGAGAATAAGGAGTTGCAAGCCTTGTATTCTGTGGAGGTGAAAAACAGATTCTCTATGCTACTGGAGGAAGAATCTAGTGAGCAGAACGATCCCACGATTCAGTACGGAAAGCTTATGGATGCCGTGAAAGCAACCAATCATAAGTTGCTTAAGCCCATCCCAAGAAGACAACGTAACAACCCCTCCCAAGATCCTAGGGTATCGGAGAGGAGGAGAACTCTGTTTCAGGCCAAAGACGCATATCATGAGAATCCTACAGAGGAGAGTAGAGTGGTAGTTAAGGAGTGTAAGGATGCACTTGCAGTGAGCTACAAAGAGGTAGAGGAGGAGACTCTTGTTTCTCGGATCAGGCGGGCTGAGGATGCTGCTGACAGGTGCAAGAATAAAGAAAGCTGGGACCTTATTAATGACATAAATGGCAGGAAAAGCAAGCCATGCAGCCTGGTTGATGGAGGTAGTGCAGAGGGGAGATTGAAGAGCTGGAAGGACCATTTCACTAAGCTCCTGGGTCAACCACCATCTGTACCTGACCAGGAAATAGTTATCCAAACCATCCACCCCCAGCAGGATATAGAGACTGGTCTGTTTTGCAGGGAGGAGTTAGCGGAGGCGAGGAAGCAGATCAAGGAGGGTAAGGCCTATGGTGATGATGGCATAGCTCCAGAGATTCTCAAAAGAGTTGACATGGACGACCTGATTCTAGAGTTCTGTAACAGCGCTCTGGTTGATGGAAAAATCCCTGATCAATGGCGGCAACTCAACATCGTGCCTGTGCCAAAGAAAGGAAATCTAACTAAAGTGGATAACTACAGAGGAATCGCTCTTACGTCCATTGTTAGTAAGACCCTGAATCGTATGATCCTTAACAGAATCAAACCAGCGATGGAGAAAATCCTGAGGATCAACCAAAACGGATTTCGGGAGGGACGCAGTACCACCAGCCACATTCTGTGTCTAAGGAGGATCTTGGAGGGGGCTAGAGACAAAAACCTGACCGCCCTTCTCTTGTTCATCGATTTTAAAAAGGCCTTTGATAGCATTCATAGGGGTATATTGATGAAGATACTCCTGGCATATGGGATACCAGAGCCCATTGTTAGGCTGATAGATGCTATGTACAAGGACACCATGGCACGAGTCATCACGGAGGATGGTCTGACTGAAGCTTTCCTTATACTTGCTGGAGTTATGCAGGGAGATACACTGGCGCCCTACCTCTTCGTGATTGTCATTGACTATGTGATGACAACAGCACTTAGAGGCAAAGATCTGGGCTTCACTGTCAACCCCAGAAGAAGCAGGAGATACCCAGCAGTTAAGGTGACAGATGTCGACTTTGCTGAAGATCTTGCACTGACAACAGACACCGCAGAGCAAGCGCAAGATCTTCTCCTCAGTGTGGAGCTGGCTGCTAACTCCGTTGGACCCACCTCAACGAGAGTAAGACGAAGTACATCAGAGTCAATCTCTCTGAGTCTGACTCTACCGTCATTAAAGTAGCAAGTGGGCAGGAGATAGAGCAAGTCGATGACTTTGTCTACCTTGGAAGCAGAATAATGAGTGCGGAGAAGGACTTTGATGTTAGGAAAGCAAAGGCATGGGGGGCCTGTCATCAGTTAAAGACAACCTGGAAGTCTGGAATGCGCAGGGACTTAAAGATCCGTGTCTTTCGAGCAACGGTTGAGCCCGTACTCCTGTACGGCTCTGAAGCTTGGACGATAAGCCAATCCACGACTAAGCGGATCAATGGATGCTACACTAGAATGCTCCGGATGGCCTTGAACATACGTTGGCCACAAATCATCAACAACAGTGATTTATACGGCAACATCCCCAAGCCATCAGCGATGATAGCCTCCAGAAGAATGAGACTGGCTGGACATGTAGCCAGGCATGACGACCTTCTGGCAAACCAACTTCTGTTCTGGGACCCTCAGCATGGATACAGGAGACCGGGGAGGCCCCATCTTACGTTTCTGGACATGCTAAAGAAGGACACCAGCCTTTCCTGTGTTGAAGAGATAAGATCTGTTATGCTTGACCGCGACGTGTGGCGAGGAATTGTAGTTGCTCGGACCAAGAAGCCGACATAAGTCAGTTCTAGGAAGCCTGAAACAGCCCCATAGAATTGCACTGAAATTTATAACGATGGAATAAAGGTTAGGGTTAGGGTCAGGTTCGTGTTTAAATTAGGGTCAGGTTTAATAAAAGGAAGTGTAATACCTTCCGGCGGAATTCTACCGAGCCAATAATTGTTCATAAATCAACGCTTTATTAATACAGGGTGGGCCAAAAGTCAGTACCCATACGTTGGCCTTAATAGCTCCGCCGTGTTTTATATTTGAGAGCTGTTGCTTTGCAGATGGCATACTGTACTTACTGGTTCGAGGATTCCGTCGTCAAAATTTGAAAATTCGAATATTTTAGACCACGCCCATTCAATATTAAAACACCTATATTGTTTTCTCTGAACATACTGAACGCCTAATTTTTTTCAGAGACGGTAGATTATCAAATGTTGCATATATGATCTGAAAACATGGGGCAAAACGGATTAGAAATGACGAAGTTATCAAGCATTTTCTGTATCTCGTTAACAATATTGACTGGGTGATTATGTGACACCGTGACACGACACCTTAATTGGGCACCCTTAACAATTCCCATAATGTTTAACGGGGTAGTTAACGGGGGCACCTTATCACGTGATTAGGTAAACCAATCACCTAATCACACGTAATGAATAAACTCGTTATGCTTCATATCTCGGTCATCTGAGAAGCTACAGTTCTAATTCTTTCAGGACAAACGTAATTCGAATGGCCAAACACAATTCAATAACATTTAGCTTGATCCGACTATCCAAACTATCAAATAAATGTGAAAATGAACCTCCATTTGAAAAAAATGAACGCGAATATTTTTCGAGTTGACAAATTCCTCGAACCAGTGGTGGTACTAAGTCATACCAGAAAGAAGTATTTAAATTGGGCACTCAGTGACTGAGCTATAAAGGCCAACGTATGGGTACTGACTTTTGGCCCACCCTGTACATATATTGCCAACTGTTTTCTATCGATATCATAAAAATTTCAGATATTATTCGACAGAACTGAGTGACTTAATGATGAGCTTATTATTCAGCATGAAAAATGTTGTCAGAAACAATTCTTGATTAAGCTTTTGACAAGGTTAGGAAGCATCCTAAGTGTGAGATAAATATCGAATATCAATCCAATGTGATTAAGGTGTGATTCCAAGGTTAAATCATATTCTAATTATAACTATTGTTGGCTTCTATTTGCACGCCAAATTTACGTTGAAACTCGGCGGCAAGAACAGACCAAGCCATGGACTACAATCAAGTACGAACAAACAATTGCAATGCTGGGACCATCATCATACAAAACACGAGTCTAGCTATTGAAACGACCTAACTATCAACATTTAACAAAATGTATACTTAGTTCAGTATGAAAATAGTATGAGCTGGGGGAGCGCTCAACTACATTTTCCGAGATATAATTA